CCCCCCCCCTCCCCCACCTGAAAACCGCCTTTTCGAGCAAAAGAGACTAACTGTCAATATCTTTCTCGTTCTTGTGTAGTCGATATGATCGTTACGGCGGAGGCCAACAATCTGGTCGATTTGGAGGTTATGGCAATGTATTTGGAGAAATTGGCCCTTACGGTATTCCTCAGACACAAGCTTCTTTTCCATACAATATGGCTCCTTATGGCATGTACGGTCAACAGTATCCCGCTAACTTTCCAAACAACTCTCAGTCAGCTAGTAATGCCCAACAGCAACAGCAACGACACGGTGGTCCATTTTCTCCAGTAGGTTCTCCCATTGGTTACCAAGGTTATCCTGCTCAATTTGCACAATTTGGGCAGCAACCCATGCCCGGCTCTGGTGCTGCTGGTAGTGGTGCTTATGGCTATCAGGATCGACCTCAACAACATCATTCATCATCCAACTCATCGAATAGCGCAGGCAACACCACACAGTAGTAGCAGCTGCATCATACTAGTCTTTCTTTCCTCTCTCTCTCTCTCTTTTTTCTAATGTTATTGTGACAATTTGGTCCTCTTTTACCACTCGGAAACTCTCAGCAAAATTTTAGAGGTATCTTGTTGAACAAGCCTTGTCACACAAATCTTCTATCTCTCTTTTTCCTCTCCACACACGCACGCAACCGTTGGCAAAAAATCACACACTCTTCACCTCTCGCCATTTCGCACCCTTAATACTATTCACTATTTGATGATTAGCTAAATGAAATTTGGGCAACAGTGTCCTTACTTTCTTATGATAATGTACATAGAGGAAACAAACTTTTGTGATGAAAAAATATATACAACATCATAAATAATCGTAGGCTTGTCACGCACGGCCCTTGCCAGTGCACTGTAGGATTGGAAATGTGAACTCCGTGCATGGTGCAAGGTCAACTGTCTTTGAAATGGTTTGGCAAAGAGAATGAAAGCTGTTCGGGATGTGACACATTTATCAGAACGCCGCACACTTGCATCCTTATCCCCCTCCCCCCAAAAACCTTAATAAATTACAAGTACACCACCTCATTTCAGGCACACAAGATGCAACCACTTGTTTATTACAGAGGTGTTGTGCTCAGACAAAGTATCTGCGCCAATCTATGAAGATGATAACCATGTTTTAAGGGATTGCTCCAAGTCCTCTTTAACCAAGTTGCGTCCTATAAATACTAGTTTACCAGCATCATCGTCCGTGCTGTCACTGCCACCCGCGGCTTGCATATCATAGAGATCCTGCACGCCTTGAATGATGATGCGCTCTTTTCCTCCTTGAGGTGTGATGATGCCCTTGAGACGTAACACAGTAACTTGCTCTTCCTCGGATGATGCATGTTGCTGGTGCTGTTGCTTGTCGGTGCGTGGAACCATTTTTTCCCATAAGAGCGTCTGTATCCAACGTTCCAATAGATCGACATCTCGGATAGGCTGATCCAGCTGTATGCAGATGGTTTCAACCGTCTGGAAGAGCAGAGTTAGAAACATAGAACGAATTGCCCCCCACGCTCAGCACAAAACCACAAATTCTACTTTACCTTATCAGGGTGGACGTGCGTACTAGCGTGTTCATTAATCTTTTGGGATTGTAGAGCAAGACCGTTGACGTCGGTTATATCGTAAGCATGAATATCTAAAACAAAGTCTAATGATACTCTGAAACGAACATGAATGAATTAGTTTTGTAACGTTAGGTGACTTGTTGTCTTTTCGTACTCACCTTGATCGCTCTGTTTGAACTAGGGTTGCAACCGAGTTGATTCCACTTATAGTGTTTTCAAGCTCGCTCATTTCACTTTCTGATAGCAGGTCTTTTTTGTTGATAATGATTCGATCTGCAATGGCAATTTGTCTACAAAGGCACAGAGAGAGATTAGATGCAGTAGGTCTATAGTGCGATAACATATGGGTCGATGCGACTTACTTGGTTGCTTCGTTGATGGCTCCATCCTCTTTTTTATCCTTGATATGCTAGAATAGGATGTCGCGTTAGGTACATCCATTAAATCGACAAATTCGCCTGACAGAATTCTTACTTGAGAGATATACTTTGCATCCACCAACGTAACAATACCATCCAAGTAAATATCGCTGCCGAGATCATCGTCCATCCAGAAAATAGATGCAATTGGTCCTGGATCGGCTAATCCGCTATACGAGGAGAATAAGTCAGCAGCCTAGTTCTCGCACAACATTTTAGGCAACATGATCTCACCTCGTTTCCAGTAACACATAGTCGAATTTGCCTCGCTTTTCCATCAAATTCTCGATAGCTTTAACGCCATTGTCTCTACAAAATCAATGTATGTTACTTTGATGCACTTGGTCGTACTAAGGTCCGCTCGAGTATTGTGAACTTACTTGACTGAGCAGCAAAGACAACCATTACGTAATTCTAGCCATTCTTCATATAGTGCACCTTCTTCATTGATGGACAACGCCTTTTCGATGTCGCTGCCTGTACCATGTCAACAGGAAATTTAGCTCACGTAGAAGTACCAGATCGAATTCTGTATATGTGTCAGCAACCTGTACTTACTTTCGCCAAATTCATTCAATATGACAGCTATTTTTTTTTCATGCTTCTCCGTGAGAATATAATTGAGAAGCGTGGTCTTGCCACTACCCAAAAAACCTGTGTATGGATCCAGTGAGTTGGAGAACATACAGTTATAGCAAAGCATTCGAACATACCGGTAACAATGGTGACTGGTATCTTTTTCTGGCCATCGCTATTGCATGCTGGCTCAATAGGTGGCTTTGGCACAGTGCTTTGAAACGAAATTCGGACTTATGAGATCAGGAGCGATAATGGCAACTATAAGTGCACACGTCTTACCTTGTCTCAACGACTGGTACAAGATCTGGAATGTCGTCAAAGTCGTCTGATTGCATTAGTTGTGGTTTAAGTGAAAGTAGAAATGCTTTGTCAGTAAATTTCACCGTTAAGTTTCAAAACTGTCCTAAGGGTCCAGTCACAAAAACCTGAGGCGTGTCAAAATGGTAAGTGTCGAATTGGCAAGCACTAACGCAAAGTATATTTATTTTGCGCTCTTCCTATGCATACTGAACTGAACTTAAACACCAAGCTAACAAACTCTTAAAACTCTTTGCAAATTTCCATTCGCTATTTGCCCTACACTCGCATCATTTATCCATACAATTGGTGCGTATTACGAATGCACTATTTATTCACAATGAGAACATGGACATTGATAGTGCTCTAATCGTTCGTTTTTGTATGGGTAGCGGTCCGAAATTTTCGTCACCAACCACTCGTTTATTTGGCAGCCTTGGCAGCCTTGGCAGCCTTGACGACAGCTTCGCTACCGCGCTTGACGAAACGTTGGTTCTTGATGAACTTGGCGTCAACCTGTGTACGATCAAAAAGAGAGAAATTTGTGTGTCAGTGATGGAAATTTGGTCAGTTGTAGAAGAGAGGAATGTCTACATACACCCTTGAGGGAAGGGTATCTGTTGCGCATGGGCTTGCGGATACCGTTACGGTGAGCCTTCTTGTCTAATAAAAGATGGCCGGTTAAACAAAGGTTGTTTCGCCTAATTCCAGTGCTATAGCATACTTTACTTACTCTGGTTGTGGTTGGTGTGGTTCTTGGACTTAGACATTTGAACTAGATTTCGACCTATAGATTCGAATAAGATTGTAATGAATAATACGCTCAAAGAAATATTGACGTTCTGCTCGAGATTTCGATATTATGCGCTATTCTAGGTGAACATTCTCCATTGTCGAAATTTTGGTAATGTCGGACCCTCATCAAAGATGAAATGTTTGAAATGAAACAAGTGTTCTGAAGTACTCGATGGTATCTCTTCTCAGGTATATTCATCCATCCGTCGAGGTTGATCTGTATGCCTGTCGTATGATATAGTCTAATAGATGGCTGTGATCATTACCTTGGCTAAAAAGGAGGATCCTATGGTTGCCTGAGATGGATAGCCTAAAATGGAACGGTCGATTTGGAAGGGCGATGTCGTCACGAGCTATTTTTATGACAAATTTCATTCATCACGGTTTGGTTAGCCACATGGCATACGAATCAAGTCGAAGGACAGGGTCCTCAATGCCCAAACTAAACTCAACATTAAACGTTTTGACGAAGCTGCTCAATATACTAATGATGATACTTATTCAAAAAACTGATCGTTGATTTATAGAAGCCATTGTGTTTGTCACATACTTGCCTGTGCAAGTACCACGCCTTCATTACTGGTTAATGTGGCTCACTCAGCATATACATTCTGATAAGACTTATCAGCTAATGAACTATTACAAGCTCAAGCACCATTCAAAACACGCTCATCCAATGATTAGATAGCTCGCTGAGCGCGCCCCTAGGCCAATGCTGACAGCCTTTCCAGTTACTTCTGGCTTTCAAAAGCAACAGCCAAACCCCTTCCCCATCCAGAAATCTCAATGCACGTGCAAATCCTCACTCCTTTACAACCATACAACCACTCTTGCTTAACGGACACGACGTTTAAAACTGCTATTTTGAACCAAACCAATGACCAGAATTATACAGTGTCATCGTTTTTTAAGCGCTGAGATGAGTTCCAGTTTGTTGCGTATGGCTTGGAAAGATCGTTACTGTATATCTATTGGCTGTCAAATACTCGTCGTTGTCCTATCCAGCAACAACAACGATGACATACACCATAAATGCAGAAGGATACAGCGACATATACTAAATCATTACCTTCTTCACGTATTCAGAGTTACATTCGAAAGGTTTGTTTAGCTGCAGTAGAGAAGATACTATCCACCCACATGGACTGAATTGAGTGGTGGATGAGAGCCAGAATTTGATGGGGTTGATCGGCACTTCAGGCCAAAATGTTGGTGTTACAAAGCTCTTGTGACCATGACGCTGAAAATGGATTGTAAATTTTGAAACAAGCATTGAGAACAAGCAGTTTCTATGTGTCAATATTGATTTGTATAAAGCGAAACGAGACACTGTAAGCAAGCTTTCTACAGCTTCAAGGATTCTGTACTTCAATAAAATTTTCGCTAAAATTTTGTTATTTGGCTGTTTTCAAATACCGAATTGATGATTGTGTTCTGAGTCCCTGATTTGACCCAATCAGAGACCGAGATCTCCTGATCTTTCGACCGATATAAAATCCAAAGGAAAACGGTGTCTCAGAAATAACGAGTCTTCTTTTTAACTATATAATTTGAAACTTTTACTACACTATGAAGATTATCGACAAGATTAAAAAGGCTGAAGAAGAAGGCCGTATTTACTGGTCATTCGAGTACTTTCCACCAAAGACTCCATTGGTAACGATCTTTTGATATAGAACTTGTTTTCATCCTCACTGCTTTTCTGACATGATGTATCTTCAGGGTGTCCAAAACTTGTATGATCGTATTGAGGTATCTATGCACAACCAACATCTGTGAATGGCCATTTCCCATATATTAACTCTTCGGTTCACAGCGCATGAAACGCTTCGGTCCTGAATTTATTGATGTAACTTGGGGTGCCGGTGGTACTTCTGCCGACCTTACCACCGAAATTGTTTCAAACGCTCAAGCCGTATACGGTATCGAAACCATGATGCATCTCACCTGTACCAACATGCCTAAAGAGCAAGTTGATTTTGCCCTCAAGGTAAGTCGTCGCATGCAACAAAGCAACAAAATTCATGTTGCAACAATTTTTTTTTTTGACCTATGACTTTTAACACTCCTATTTCATTCCCTGCATCAGTCTGCCAAAGATTGCGGTTGCCAAAACATTTTGGCTCTGCGTGGCGATCCTCCTCATGGACAAGAAAACTGGACTGCCGTTGAAGGTGGATTCAACAATGCCATTGACTTGGTAAAGTACATCAGACAGGAATATGGTGATTACTTTGGTATTGCCGTTGCTGGTCATCCCGAAGGCCACATTGACAATCCCGACAAGGAAGATGACTTGAGACACCTCAAGGCTAAGGTCGACGCTGGTGCCGACCTTATTGTCACACAATTGTTCTACGATGTTGATACCTTTTTGAACTTCGTTGAGCAATCCCGTGCCATTGGCATCACTTGCCCTATCCTTCCTGGTATCTTCCCCATCCAAAACTATAACGGCTTGAAGCGCGTTATTTCTTTCAACAACAACAATGTACCACAAAAGATTTGGGATGATCTGGAATCGATCAAGGATGATGACGCTGCTGTCAAGGAATATGGTATCGAGTTATCGATGGAATTTATCAATAAGTTCATTGAAGCTGGAATCAAGGGTGTCCATTTCTATACCTTCAACTTGGAGCGATCAACCCGCATCATCTTGGAAAGAATGGGCTTTGTACCACAGCAAGCCACTGTCAAGCCTCTACCTTGGGCTCCGGTATGTGAAAAAAAATGCAACATTTTCGTTTGATCTCTCTTGCGTTGAAATTAACCTTTTAAGCTTTCCGCCTTTGCAGTCTCTTCACCAAAAGCGCACCAAAGAAAATGTCCGTCCTATTTTCTGGAAGAACCGAACAAAGAGCTATATTAAGCGTACTGAATCATGGGACGAATTTCCTAATGGTCGATGGGGAGATTCACGATCACCTGCCTTTGGTGAATTGGATGGATATGGTGTGTCATTGAAGCACCCCAAAAACGAATGCCTGGATATGTGGAACCACCCCACCTCCGTAGAGGACGTTTCAGCATTGTTCGCCAAATACTGTACCGGTGACCTTGCAGCTCTTCCATGGTGTGCACAACAGTTGGACCCTGAATCCGAGGTTATCCGTCAACGTCTTGCCACTATCAACACACAAGGTTTCTTGACCATCAACTCGCAGCCTGCTGTTAATGGTGCAAAGAGTTCAGACAAGATTCACGGTTGGGGTCCTTCCAACGGCTACGTGTATCAAAAGGCCTACCTTGAATTCTTCGTTTCTCCCGAACAGCTCGACTCTCTCATTGCCAAGATTGGAGCTAAGAAAGACATCACTTACTATGCAGTCAACTCTCAAGGAGACTTGAAGACTAACAACAACAACCATGGTCCCAATGCTGTTACATGGGGTGTCTTCCCCAGCAAGGAGATTGTTCAACCTACCATTGTTGATGCTACTGCTTTCATGGCTTGGAAAGAAGAAGCTTTCGAACTGTGGGCTCAGTGGGCTAACTTGTATGAAGCGGATTCTGCTTCTTCCCAGCTTTTGAAATCCATCAAGAGCCAATGGTACTTGATCAACATTGTCGACAATAACTTTGTCGTTAGTGATGGTATCTGGAAGCTTTTTGACGTCGAGGCTTCCGATGATCTTTCATCCAAAGTTAGCGAATTGAACGTTGCTGACCGTTAAATCTTTAAAAGTGCTGGAACAGCCGGATCGTGTATTCAACATACAAATTGAAAACAAAATTCTTACATCCCTCTAACGGGAACACTCATTGTACAGTATTCAACATACCCAAACCCTCACACCCTGTGTCTCTTTCTTTTTCAGTATTCTTGTATATTCTTCAACAGACTCCTTACTTTCCTCCTTATTTCCGCTATCCTGTTTCCTTATTACTGGTTTTTTAACCTGACTCGGCAATTATCATTTTTGCCGAAAAACATAGTCCATCTAGCATAGTTCTATTCTGATAGAGTATATACGTAACCTTTCAACAGAGATGTATATGCTTCCAATTATCATCGGTGTTACGTAGCTTTCCATTTGATCGAAACAATGAACCTCCGCATTCATGACAAACCGAAAATGCTGGCGATGAAATTTTGATCTTCACTAAACCAAATTCGCAGCGCGAAAGGAAACGGGTACGTCAGTCCGCGTCAACTTCAAAGGCAAGTAGTAGTTATATAAACTCGAACCTTAGGCTAATATACCTCCTGTTGACCCAACCGATCAATATAAATTCAGATGTCTGATTCTAAAGGTACCTTTGCCACTTTGCAAGCTTTCTCTAAAACGAACCCCATGCTGTCCACCATCGCTGTGGTGGCAGCTACCATTGCTGTTGCAACCGTCATTGACAGAGCCCTTCGTAATAATGCTATAGCCAATCCCTCAAAATCTCTTTACGATTTCAACCTTAAGAACATCAAAGGTCAGGAATGGAGCTTGGATGAGCTCAAGGGCAAGGTATGTGTGGGAAATCCTCAATCTGATCGCTACAAAAGTAACTTCATTGACGCATGGTCTGGTTGATAGGTGACTCTTGTAGTCAACGTCGCTTCCAAGTGCGGATTCACTCCTCAGTACAAGGGCCTTGAGTCTCTTTACCAAAAGTACAAGGATCAAGGCTTCACTATCATTGGTTGCCCTTGCAATCAATTCGGTTCTCAAGAGCCTGGTTCATCTGACGGTAAGCTACTGATCAAACGGGTACGTTGCTCTCACATAAACTAACTAATCTTTGCAACAGAAATTGTCAGCTTTTGCTCTCGTACCTACGATGTCACCTTCCCTCTCACTCAAAAGTTGTAAGTATACGGCGCGCATTTTTGAGGGCTTATCTCCGGGTACAACACGGCCAACTGACTGACTTATGCACATTTTAGGGATGTGAACGGCACAAATGAACACGAGCTTTATTCTTTCCTCAAGTCATCGCAACCTGGTATTTTGGGGTAAATACCATTTCTATTGTGTACATCCGTGTGTGGATACTGGTATCAATTAGAATCTAATATCTCTACAATTTACAGTATTCAAATGATCAAGTGGAATTTTGAGGTATTTATCGGCTTACCAGAAAAAAAAAACCGCAGAAATCATATGATTTTTAGTACAATTGCTCATCTTTTTTCATTACAGAAATTCTTGGTTGATAAGAATGGCAAAGTCGTCCGCCGCTATTCTTCTATGACCAAGCCAGAAGATATCGCTAAAGATGTTGAAGAGTTCCTCAAGGCTTAAATGATGCGATACGGCATTGGTGCGGAGATTTTTTTTTTTTGCCGATTTAACTACCACTGAAATCTTTATGAAATCTTAGCCGCTCATACAAAACTGCCATGACAACCTGCCCATCGAAAGAAAAGGCGTTATGAAATAAATGTACATCTACAACTTGTCATCATATACTTTGCGTTCAAACAATCATGATTTATGTATAATTCACAAGATTATGTTACATTCACCGTACCCATATCAATAATATTTAACAGCATGTGTTTGCAGCACAGCAGCAGCAGCAAATGGCAGCCAACCTAAAGCAATGCATGTGAATAAGACAACGTCGGAAAGCGGTATACACAAGCATAGTTTACTTACAGAGGTATGCAGCCTCCGCCATGTCTTGGTGGTGGTCTACCATATGGTGCCATCGGGGGCTGACGACCATACCCTATACCGCAATTGAACATTTAATCGAAGCCCAGCGGTCAAACAACACGACTGCAACTCACCTGGTGGGGGCATGCCATTGTTGTATCCGGGTTGTGGACCGTATGGTTGCCGTCCATATTGGGACATTGGTGGGCCACGACCTTGAGCCATAGGTGGCGGCATGGGTCCGCCGACGGGATGAACGCCTGGGGGAGGTGGAGGAGGATAGCCTTTTCTCATAGTTGTTTTATACTTTATTTGTTGGGAAACAAGAGGTTCATAGCAATATTTCGCGAGCTTTTCTTATAACAAAACATCAATGCGGTTTCACATTTCCAGCGAATCATGGCTTTAGAAAACGACTTTATCCCCCGAAGCGACCCAACTATGACGTTCGTGTTCGATACATCTCCAGGTATCGGAAGTCGCCAAGACTTTCAATGCTTATCTATAAGACAGAAGGAGATATTGCTGCTGCTGATCCAAGTGAATTCAATGAATATGAAATTTTCTCTATCAATTTCTTAAATTTACATATGGTGAATGATAGGCACCAATTTTTTTGGTATCGATATTTCTCAGATGCACTGCTTCTTCGACGCTGTCCCAAGCTATGTTGGAGCTTCTTGTGATTCTTCATATAATAAAATGAGACAATGCATAATTTACAATGATTGGCGTCTTGAAATTCTATCTTGCGTTTATTCGTAATGATGCTTTTCACGCTCATACAAAAGACATATGAAGTTTAGATTTGAAAGCAGTGCTAATAAATGTTGTCTTGGCTAATCCACTTCATTAGGTTCAAAACCATTTTAGTGATGAAACCAGCATAGTTACCAAATGTACTGGCCGCCTGTCTTGGATACCTAATAGCATCTCCGCTCGGAAAGTCCAATATTGATTGTTTACCATGAATTTTATGAGTTAAAGTTTTCGAAGTATCATGTATAATAGCCACGATATCAGTACAAGTGGATCTGTTAGACGTTTCTATTGATAGCTTTGAGCATTTGAGATCGGTTTTGAATATCTTACCCATGTTAGCTTCATTATTGCCCACCCAGCTGATCCATACCTTCATCCACATCTTCCGGGATTAAAATAGTCCCTCGACAAGACCATCATGGGAAAGAGATTCCCCGAAGCGTCTTTGCAAAAACTGATACCATCTATCCATTCTGCTATTTGTAAAACAACACCTGTTGGTTATTAGAAGATGAAATATCAATATACTGTACGTCTTGGATCCTTGCATTGACATGAAGTAGTCGTTGCTGCTTTCCAATTAACATTCTGTTATCTCAGCAGGAGCGCACTAGTATTCCATTTGCAAGAATAAATTGGAACATTTGATTATGCTACCTCATTTGATCCGTGAACTCATCGTTCAGTTGGCTTCTTTATACAATTGGACTTGCGGAAAAGAGTTGTTGTAAGTGACTGACGCTACTGGGCCACATTGTCTGCGAGATTGCCAGCGTCGAAATATGCAGCTTGATGTGTAACATGCGATATCTTCTTACGCTGACGATTAGGCAAAAGAATGCGATGATATATCAAAGACAGCCCGACGTTATGTAGTCTCAAGAATTTTGAGATCTGAAATATCTCGTGAAATGAAATAAAAGTTCGAAAAAACCCCATTTTAGACACATAATACCATGGATTTAAGTTTATATTCGCATTACTATTACTATAACTTCCATAAAGTATACTTGTAGATGGCAGGTCTATTCGTTCGTTTGCTATGCATAGCTCTAAGAGTCAATGGAGATCAGTGTAGCCAAAAATTGCTTCTTTGTTTCGCTGGTTTAGGTTGAGCAGCATGACATGCTCATGGCCAAAGGTACCAGCGAGGTGTTTGAAGATAGAAAACCTTTTCTCTTTTACAGTAATGTTGATTAATACAAGCAAAAAATTGAGCTAATACCAAACACTATGCTAAAATATACCTCAATGTGATACGAAAGACATTGGAAACGACGAAATTGAATACTTTGATATCAGCATAGGTTACATGCCTTGCAGCGGAAGTTAAAAATTACGCTTTTTTTTTTTCAAAGGTCGAAATCAATTTACTGCATATTTTTGTGACGTGAAAAAAAGTGGCGGACGCTGGGTTCTGGGCGGCGGCCTGGCTGCAAAAGCAGTTGGCCATCACCAGAAGCGTGCTCCTCCTCTTTCATTTTCCCAAATGGTGCGTACCTACTCTATTCATATTGAACAATGGCATGGCTGTTTGTATCGATGAATCGATGGATGGATGCAGTGGATGATTGCATGCGTCTGACCACCTCGACAAATGTCAACACCTGGACAGGACATTAGGAATTCGACATTTCGCAAATTGGATAATTGCACAGCACGTTCGAAAAATACATCGCACGCCAAGGTGCTAGCACCACACTCTTCTAGCAATCGTTGACACCTACCTCCAACAATATTCACAGCCATGCCAGTTGGAAAAAAAGTTATACGTCAACACCATGTCAAACGAGATACTAACGATTTCTCCTTTTTTTTTTTTTTTAACTTGCAAATAGTCGCTCCAAGTTCCCGACAAGAACCAGGTAAGCTGAATGGTTAGAGAGATGCCATCCGAAGTTGGTCACTCCTTACTCACCATACTTTTCTCACTACAGTTTCAGCACATTTTGCGTCTCCTCAACACCAACGTTGATGGTAAGAACAAGATTATGGTTGCTTTGACTTCCATCAAGGGTGTTGGTCGTCGTTATGCCAACATTGCCTGCAAGAAGGCTGATGTTGACCTTAACAAGAGGTACAGTATCTATTTGAATGCAGTCCAAATTTTTTTTAAAAAAAATATCGAGAATTCACCACTAAACCCGCGTTATATTTATTTCTACCAGAGCTGGTGAGCTTTCCAACGAAGAATTGGAACGTATTGTCACCATTCTCCAAAACCCCAGCCAGTACAAGATCCCCAACTGGTTCCTTAACAGACAAAAGGATATTGTCGATGGCAAGTACTCTCAAATCTTGTCCAACGGTCTTGACAGCAAGATGCGTGAGGATCTTGAGCGTTTGAAGAAGATCCGTAACCATCGTGGTCTCCGTCACTACTGGGGTCTCCGTGTCCGTGGTCAACACACTAAGACCACTGGTCGTCGCGGTAGAACCGTCGGTGTCTCCAAGAAGAAATAAGTAAGTAGAATGATTTTATCATTGCTTGGGTCTTTTGTAACGTGCCTAGGTTATATGATGCTCGATCAATCTTATCTACATTGCCTGAACCATTGTGTCGACAAATTTCTATGATTCTGATATTGCCTACACGTTACCTGACTCAAGCATGTCTTGCGTATTTCTTCATTCCATTTCTCATGCTAACTACTCAACTCACAGATTACCCTTCTGGAAAATTGTGCACCACATCTGTGTATGTGTTCTTGCTTTCCTGGAACCAGTGACAAAAATCATAATAAACGAAAATCTTGTAACCTAGCTGGTCAATGTATAGACGGATGGGGCGTGTCTACCCACGTTGTGTTGTATAAGTGGATTAGCATGAAATGTACAGTGATGAGGTGATTTGATTAGAAAGAAGTAGGTCTTCACTGGTAGCGGCTCCTGGCTTTTGTGCAGCGGGATGGATATGACCAACTGGTTCCATATGTGGTAGCCGTATTACGGATCTTCAACTAATGAGGGTCCCTCATAGTACGCGTTAAATAAATTGATAGAGAGATAACACAAAGCAGTGTTGGCTTGCATCTTGTCAAGGAGTTTCAAGTATGCAGCAGCAGTTCAGGTTGCTTGATGCTTGAGCTTAAAAAATAAAATGATATAGACGTAGCTCATATCACCCATCGTAAGCTCTGCGGTTTGTATAGTCAGCATTATGACTTTGTCTCTGATACACTTACAGGGACATCGCAAAACTAGCAAAGGAAACGGCCATTTCCTTTTTCTGGCGTTTTGTTTCGTGCCATGTTACCGTTGACCAACGTGGGATGCTACCCTACGCAGGCACAAAATACGCCACCAATGCATAGCACTGGGCATGTCTGTGCACAGCTTCCTTTTGTAGCGGATTCGAAGGCTCTTTGTAACGTTTCTCTTGGATAGCAGCATTTCAAAGGTGTTCATACGAATTAAGCATTCTCACGATTGCAAACAGATTACCCGTCCCTGATCGGCATTTTAAATTGGGATGGAATACTGGGTTCTGCACGAAGTTTCCATAGACAACTGACGCAAAGCCAGTGACATTCAATGAACAAACACAGAGTGACAGACAACCAAGACTGCATACATAGTAGGTATGGTTTACAATACTTTATTCGTCTTTTCAACAATATCTCTTCAACAATATCTCGGACTTGAGAGTTCATCGATTCTTTATACGCTTTTGTATTCAATATACCGGCCCAGCCGCCTACAACCTGTTTTTTTTTTTATCACAATCTTCTCGGTATTTTTCTTTTAATGTAACTGCGCAAAGCACTTTGTTCTCTCACTATCTTATGCTAGCTTTCGTTTTCATTTGTGACTATGCCTTTGAACTATGCCATAGGTGGCGCAAACTCTAACATTCGCTCGTTCACGGCCGAGAACCCGCCTTCCTGTTCTTAATTTGTACATTAGCAAAGCTTACCCATTAATGAGAAGTCACCGGAACTAGAATTTTAACCGGCGGTATGGATTCGTAAACCTCATGGCACCGAGATGCACAGATGTAAGCACGAGTCAAGAGGCTTTGCATTATGTCCTACGTGGAAATCCCATAGAAGGACAGTGAAGCAAGTGACTTCATCGTCTCGTTATGGAAGCACTTGCGAGTGAAAGGCATGGCGTAAAGTGAACAGAGTCACAAGCCAAGGGAAAAACAAAAAACCAGCAATAAACCGCTTTGTAATGCTAAGGTCGAGGCACGTAATGTCTCTAGGCAAGTTTGGACACAAATTCATGTAAACACACTATCGGTTGACAGTTGACGACCATCTCAAACCTTTTTTTCAACATGGTTTTACTCCATAAATTGAAATTTTAAAAATAATATGAACTAGACCGTGAAAAGCAGAAACTTTGAAGCTTCGGTCAAACGGTTTTCCCCAGCATAGTGTGGGGTAGCTATCGTGGAGCTGAAGTTAGATTATTCTCAGATTTAGACGAAACTGGATACATTATTTGTACCACTGCCAGGTGCATATCTTTTAGGCTTCTACATAGTTCTCATTACCACGATAATGGCTGTATTAGATTCCGTCTTTTTGGTACGCCATGGAAACCTAATTCGGCGGGATGTTGTGACAAAATATGATGAGATATTTCTGTTTTATTTATTCAAGTACTACGATACAAACTCACACAATGAATGGTCATTATTATCACACTATAAGGGGGAGTTGATGAGAAAAGGACTCTAAATATGACTGTGGGTAAGACGTGATCGATTGGATTCCGAATCAATGAGTATCTCATAGATTAGACCAGCTAGAACGGCACCAACGAAGGGTCCTATGATAGGCACCCAAGTATAGCTTCCAGAATTTGTGAAAACTTCACTTCCGTATCCGGCTACATTGAATATAAGACATTAAACCAACGATCAAGACATTATGATATCATATTATATTGACTTTGTACTCACCCATAGCTGCAAAACAACGAGGACCAAAATCTCTGGCAGGATTGACTGTAGAAAAAAGCGAGGATGATGTTAAGTCAAAGAGATTGGAAGGTAGATGGAAAAATGGTGAGAAAAACTTACTTGCATAACCAGTTTCCCAACCAAGAGAAATGCCAATGCCTGCTACAGTGAAAGCCACCACCAGTGGTGAGTTCTTCGCTGCATGCATATTATGATCATCTGCTTGGCCGAGAATCACAAGCAAAAGAATGCAAGTTCCCAATACTTCAGAGAAAAAACTGCCTTCAGGGGTCATGAATGCTGCAGGATAAGTCGAGAAAAGGCCTGCTGTTGCATTGGTACCAGTAACTGTGTACACGCCTTCTCCTGCAAAGCTGGATATCGCCTTACGATAATCCGCAAATACGATAGCTGCACCCGTCAATGCACCCAAAAATTGAGCTAGCCAGTAAGCGGGTACTTTTCTCCAAGGGAAGCCGCGCCATACAGCCATACATAAGGTTACCGCAGGATTTAAGTGAGCACCCTATGCATACATCTCAATTAGTTATTTGTGTCAAGTTGATATACCAACGTTTCAAACTATCGCTTACCGAAATTCCGCCAGCTATGTAAATGGCACACATTACGGCAAAGCACCACCCGAACGAGATAGACAGGTATTGACCTTTGGCATTGTCGGATAAGACGACCTGTGCTACAACGCCATCACCGAGGACGATCATTACGCAGGTTGCGATGAATTCTGCCAATGGTTCACGTAACTAAACAAAATTGAACAATCAGGGGTGATATGCAGGAAACCATGTAAGTCAATAAGCAGAGCTTTCAGTGAGAAACAACAGAGGCTATATGTACCTTGTGTCTTAAACGGCCCACAAAATTGCGTTCCTGAGGCAATTGATAGTGTCCGTCGTTGATCGCGACAGAATCATGGTGCTTCTTTTCTTCAGATGATGTCTCTGAGTGATCTGGAATGTCAGCAGGATCGAGCATTTACTTGGAGAAAGGAAAGGTGAAAGTAGTCGGTTCGAGGTTATATGGGTCTTTTTTTATAATATAATTGAGATACAGCGGTTTTTTTTTTATGTATTTCATCTGACTATGATTTTTTCTACTTGCTGCATTCCAAGCTGTTTTTGGGGGCTGGAGGAGATCAAGTAAATGCACCCCCACACGGTTAAACTTCCTTGTTGGTCTTGAATCCCGCTATACTTTAAGTAAATCTGAGAAGATTTGTTCGCCGTACCGTGAGGTCATTCAAATAATGTTGTAGAGTGCCTCGGGAAAATGGGACTCGGGCACCAAGCCATGCACTTATTTAGACATTAGTAACAATGGGAGGACCCATCATAAATGGTGATTAGCTTTGATCACGCCAAAGAGGGGATTTCGTAATCAAGTATGCCTGTGGAGATTTGCGCCGCAGTGACCAATGATGAAAGCACGCTAGCCTTCCCCGCACTCTGGAAACAAAAAAAAAGCTATTTTTCGATCAATGTGAATCTGTGCAAACGAAGCTCAGCCAACCCTGTGCGTTTACCCGCATGGTTTTTTTTTTTTTTCAATGCACGACTTTCCCATTCACAACTGGATTCCGCGGTTTCCTTCGTCAGCCAGCCATATGGCGTATTCCTGCCACTGTTTATTTCTCGGGTTTAGGCGGAAATAGGCTTGGACGAGCGTGCAATATGAGCCCCAGACTTCTATGAAAATAGCAATTATGGTTATGACACAAGTGATCATTCACGAGACTGCTTGCACTACTCCAGTATAGTTTCCCACCATTAATTGAGTTTGCCAGAAACATCTTGCCATTTCGGCTTGCATTTACTTTTTTCACTTACACATGTCTGAACTTGACTGACATTGGATTACACCTGTCGGGTGTATTTTTTTGGGTGGCGTTACATACAACTTAGTAAAAAGAAATAGCTAAGCACTCAGATGAATGAAACGCTTGGACTCGGGGTACTTGTGGGAAAGTCTTGGAACACCCTTAATCATTCGACTTTAATTCTTGGCGTAGCTTTTCTATGGTGCCATTTTTTCTTTTCCGTCAATTTGGTTGCTTGCCTCCCGTTTTTAAAGAAGTGCACCTACGGCGCGCGAAAGGCGCTGTGGTCCGTGCGCGCTGCCCGAGGCTCATTGGCGTTAACAGTCACATCACGTGAAACAATGCAATTTCTCAATCTTGGTTTAGACTTTGGCATTTTCCCTCCATCTGGACGGAGTATGAAATATCCGGAGTAACTGAAGGCACCAGGAGAAATAAAACTTGAAATAACTCGAACTCTCTTTTTTTTTTCCTTACCCACCCCACCTTTTCCCTTCTGACCATGCCTAGCTTTGTTGGTGCTATTGACCAAGGAACCACTTCATCAAGATTTCTCGTCTTCAACGATGAAGGTGCTATTGTTGCATCGCATCAGATGGAGTTCGAGCAACACTATCCCAATCCTGGGTAAGTATCGTCCGTTTAAATTATTGGAAATCCCCATCGTTCCCATATTAACTTGTACGGCTAAACCAGTTGGGTAGAACATGATCCCTATGATTTAATTGACTCTACTCGTACCTGTATCGAACATGCTATCCGCAAGTTCGAGGAACTTGGACACAGCGTCTCTGACATTAAGGGCATTGGCATTACCAACCAAAGAGAAACCGCTGTGGTCTGGGATCGCATTTCGGGCAAGCCATTGTGTCCTGCCATTGTATGGTCTGATGGCCGTACTGCTGAAACCGTCAAGAAGCTTGCTTCCAAGAGCGACAAAGGCACTGAGGCTATCAAGGATGTGTGTGGTCTGCCACTGACTACTTACTTCAGTGGTGTCAAGCTGAGATGGATGCTGGATCACAATGACCATGTCAAGCAGGCTCATGACGAAGGTCGCTTGATGTTTGGTACTGTCGATTCCTGGCTTATTTATGTAAGTAGTTTTTTCTTGTTTCATTAGTTTCCTTGATTTGTATGTTCTGTTTAGATGACTGACTCCCCATTTAGAATTTGACAGGCGGAAAAGATGGCGGTTTGCACGTTACCGATGTTACCAACGCTGTAGGTTGATTTCACATACTCAAAACACGGATTGTTCATTCTTACTAATATTCACATTCATTGCAGAGCCGTACCATGCTCATGGACATTCACACTCTCAAATGGAGTGACCAGATATTAGAGTGAGTCAAACATTTCTTCGTTTGGTAAATTGTCTGACCAGAATAACAGAAACTCACCAAATTTTTACTCCCCCCTCCCTTTTCATGATGCAGATTCTTTGGATTCAATGCAGATATTTTGCCTCGCATTGTGTCTTCTTCAGAGATCTATGGCCAGGTCCAAGGCGGCTCACTGAACGGAATTCCTATTGCCGGTTGTCTTGGTGACCAGCAAGCTGCTCTTGTCGGACAGAAATGTTTCAACGTCGGCGATGCCAAGAACACATACGGTACAGGTTGCTTCATGTTGTTCAATACTGGCGACGAAGCCGTCATTTCCAAGAACGGCCTTCTGACTACTGTGGGTTATCAATTCGGGGACAATAAGCCCGCCTATGCCCTCGAAGGTTCCATTGCCGTTGCTGGTTCCTCCATTCAATTCTTGCGTGACAATCTAAAGAGTAAGCATGCTATACTAGAATTGATGATGCCTTTATATCTAGCTTACTAAACCATAATTTCCATTTTTCCTTTTAGTGATCAGCTCTGCCCCTGAAGTCAACGTCTTGGCTTCTGCCGTCAAAGACACCGCCGGGGTCTACTTTGTTACTGCATTCTCTGGTCTATTTGCTCCGTACTGGAGAGATGATGCCCGTGGTACCATTTGTGGCATCACCCAGTTCACTACCCGTGAGCACATCGCACGCGCTACCTTGGAGGCCTCCTGTTATCAGACCCGCGCTATCCTCGATGCCATGAATGCTGACTCTGGAAAGCCCCTCAAGAGTCTCAAGGTCGACGGTGGTTTGACTAACTCTGATCTCTGCATGCAAATTCAAGCTGATATTTTGGGCATCGAGGTCGACCGACCTCGCATGAGAGAGACCACTGCCTTAGGCTCAGCCATTGCTGCTGGTTTTGCGGTTGGCATATGGCAGAGCTTTGATCAACTCCAGAGCATCAATGCTGAAGGTCACACTATCTTCAAGTCTGAGATCTCAGAGGAGGATCGCAACAAGAAGATCAAGGGCTGGGAACATGCCGTTGAGCGATCCTTTGGTTGGGCGAACTAAACACTGCACATGTTTTACTCTATGTAATCCCCTATCTGCTTTTCAACATGATGTGTAAATGAAATTTCTTTTTTAAATAAACTATATTGGTATACCCTTTATTACACAGAGTCCCATTATTCCGTCAAAGGCGGGCTATACAAAAATACATGCACACGCAAAAAAGAAACGAATGAAAAAAAAAAATTACAAGTCTTTCTTCAAGTTGCTTGAAGAGGGCATTCTGGATGGCAAAGGAACCAGCATGCTGACATGTTGTTGGTATCTCTTGTATTCGGGGTACTTTTCAGATGAAATAACCTCAGTGATCCAAGTGCTACCGAAGAAGAGCATGTGGAGGGCGGCAGCACCGGTAAGACTCCAGTTCAAGCTGACACCGGTTGCAGCGACAGAGAAGAGATACACAGCGTACCAGATGCTGATTTCACAAAAGAAATTGGGATGTCTGCTGAAGCGCCAAAGACCGCGTTGAGTAAGGAAACCTCGCTTATAATCACCGTAAAGGGCAGTCTTTTCCTTGATCATCTTGTACTTGCGAGTTTGGAAATCGAATTGTTGCTGATCAGCGACAATCTCAGTGAACCAAATGGCAGCAAACAAAGCGGCAGCAACATAATCCAATGTGACAAGACCCTGAGATTGGCCAGCAGCAAGACTGGCAACGTAAATGGGACCAGTCAAGGAGAGCAACAGCAAGTTCTGGTAGGGAGCGATGAAGGTAATGTTCAACAGCTCCATACCGACCTTTCCGAGCCTCTTCTGGATGTATGGCCAGCGATAATCTTGTTCACTGAACTTGTAGCCTCCCTTACTAGAAATTTTTTTGGATTTTGGTCTTAAAAATTTTTTCTCTTCCTTGATGCATGAAACCCATCGATCGAGGATCGCGCGTGACACCACTTACCGAGCGAAATTGTAGGTTAAACGAGCACCCCAAACGGTCACCAAGGCGGTCACCAAGGCAAGTCTAGGATGAATTTGGCCGCGTACAAGATAGTCGTGAACTGTGAAGTGCCAGCTATAAATGACAGGAAGAATAGACCAGCATTTGTCTGTTCGCGAATCAATTATCAGTTACTCCTTCAATTGATCAGCCCTATCCCCAATACTTACCAACTTGGCTGTAGTTGTTACTAACCAGAGCAAGGAACCAGTGAGCAATGGAGAAGACGGTTGCGATGGCAAGAGCTGTGATCAGGGGATCAAGGGAGGTATAGGATTGCAGCAGAGATTCAGGAGCGAGGGTGGTGTTCTTCAAGTAAAGTGGAGCTTGGTTTTGAACGAAATCAACCACAGTTGCCTGCATTTCTTGAACGGAGACTAGGCCGGCCATGGTGGAGAGATGAAGTCTGACGAGCCGGTTTTCCAAAGTTGGGGTAACACTTTATGAATTTTTCCTTCTGGGGTCACAGACGCCACGCCACGTAGCTGACTTTTTGGTGGTAAAAAATTCCAGCGATCCAAATCTTGTAGAACCTGCTCCAAACTTGGCAATCCATCGCTTTGCAAGCAAATATAGTCGAGATCTCAAGCGAATCAATCGACAGAGAACGTATCATAATTACATTTGGTTTATTTTGTTTAGTTAAGAAGCATAAAATTCGGCTACAAAGTGCTGGCTGGCATCCAACAACGTCTTCAAACTTTCTCATCTTCGTCATAATTAAGTGGTTTGCCACTTGTTTGGGAGGTTTGGATAGAATGAACATCTTCATCCGTATAGTCCTCTTCTTTGGCCGGCATAATTTGGACGTCAACCTTAACTGCGCTTCGATACGGTGACAAGTCATCGTTGTCATTCGATCGTGAGACATTTGCGGCTTGTTTGCCTGCAGGCAATTGTTTTTTACTGTCGTGACCATTCGTGACCTAATATGATGTTTGAGATTAATTGGAAATGTAAATAGTGTATCAAAATGCTATTCATACCCAATGGATGGTCAACACATTGATCTACAGCATTGGAAAGATGAACGCATTAGATGATGAAAAGATGGCAAGCATACAATAGGGTTGTTCTTTTTACCGTGACATCCGCAGTACAGAACAAGAGGCAGGTTACGCCACGCTCTGCACCTCCAACAACAATGAGTGTAAGGAGGTTAGCAAACGAGACAAGGAGACATACCACGGCAGACACCAGGGTACGTTTGGCTAGACGGTACAATCCAGAACCCTTGCGATTGGCTCTGAGACCTCTACCAACGGTCAAAATTGGTCTCAAGAAGAGAATTGTCAAGTAAAGATTGAACACCTAGCCAAAGTCATGATAAGAAGTGTGATCAAGGACGCAAGGGATGCAGGAGTTCAAAGAAAAGCGTTCTATACGTACAAAATCGTAGACCTGTATGATAAATGTAGACAATACATGAGAAACAGCATGCGTGACCATCTAATATAAATTTTGCTGCAACTGACCATGAGTGGAATACTGGCTGTAGGTTGAAGACCGATTGAGCAAGTGCCATCATCATCTATGATGGTAATTCTGTAAATAACCTGTTTTTTTGTTGGCATTTACAAAAAAAATTAGTAGAGGAGATTTGGTAAACATGAGGGGAAGTCTCAAATCGAATCGATGCATACACCAAGGACGAATAGAACGGCGTAGGGACACTGCAGGAACAAATGGAACTTGTATTGCCAAGTCTTGAGGCGGCTCGTCTTGAACGCTGTTACCAGCCAAATGCGTTCAGATAGCCTTGTGTCAAAGATGATTAAATTAGATCAATGAAAGAATGACCGGGAATCAACTTTAACTTACCATTGATAAATGATCATCTTTGTACCAGCATAAAATACATCACAGGTGTATGAAGTTAGTATGCACGAAATATAATTATCTAAGGAGGTGAGGGCAGCATTCGTTGCAGTCAGTTGATAAGTGATTTTTGGGGGAAGATGAGGGAAAGGGGACGAGAGGGCTAAACGTCATCTGTATATATATTCTTTTCTTTCAATGCTGGAAACACATACGGTTGTTGGTAGATACAAGGATGGTTGCGATAATGGTAAATGCCCACGACCAGATATAAAGGCCCATGATCAAAATTCGGCTGACACTCAATTCTCCAAACCGAGTATCTCCAGTCTTGCTGCCCATAATCATGGATAACACAGAAATTGAAAGTAGCGATATAATCTGAGATATGAGCTCTTCAGTGTCCGGCGCACTGATGTGACTTAGCGCAGCAGCAATATCGTCGGATGTCGCCTGCGTTGAGTTCATTGGTCGGGGGCGGTGAGAGGGAACGAAGAAGAAGGGAAAAAAAGGAAGATGAGGGATAAACCAAAATAAAAAAATCTTTTAGAACGAAACAGCAACAAGATCATGATATCTGTAGGGTAATAGTTGATTTCAGATCAAGTGTTGGCCTCCCTAACGACAATCACAGCCGTGTAAAGCTAACACGGCACACCAAAAAAAGATTAGCATAAGTACCTTTAGGGGATTATGTCCATGAACACTTCTTGTAACTATTTTTCTGTCTCCTTTTTTTTTTTTTCTTTTCTTAACCCTAAATATGAGGCGTTTATGCTAGTGATGTCAATTAAACGCCATCTCTGATCTTCTGTGCAAATCGCCACTTCTTTCTGGCTAACCCTGCCATAGGACTTCCCCACGAGCAAGATGACTGTTTTGCAAGTGTACTCGTTGGTTACGCCGGCCCTATTTGTTGCACGAAAGCATGCCCTAATAAATATGGTTTGCATTGCTGATCGTTGTCCATATGAAGAACCTGCACACCTTAATCATCTAAACCATATCTACATATTTCCTCATCCTCTTGTCGATGTTCCATGAAAATCTTCACATACTAACATCGAATATCAAATTCCCTGGGATAAATGGATATACATTTCACTCCGTTGAAATCATGTGACCATCAACCTAGTGTTGATGGGGCATGCCTTTCTTTGGAGACATGAAGCCAAGATGGTCACTATCCAGAAGTAGCAGCGCTCTGTCAATTTTCCCAGTGACCCAAAATGTATATTCTCCGTGACCGCAGGCTCAATCATGGATTCTTCTCATCATCGACGGATATAGAACTTATCTTGCCATCAACGCCAGTAGTTTCAGTACCCTCTAACTTAAAAGACTCTTTCTCCTAACAATTTGTTGACATTGACATTTAGCGCTCGGCACAAACAAAAGTAGCAAAAAAAAACATATATTGCTATTAAGAATGAAGGCTTTCTACAGGTGTTATTCCGAATAGTGGACGCAGGCAGACAGGAAAAAGTTGAGTGAGAACCTATGGAATTTGACAGGGTAAAGTAAGGCTAAAAAAGTTGGGCATGATTGAGGAAAAGCGGAAAAAGAGCAATTGAGTACAAATAGATATATATCCTATTTCTTAGTCTTGACTTTCTCAACTTCCTCCTGTTTGAGTAGTTCCTCAGCTGCTTTCTTTGCTTCTCGTTCTCGCTTTTCAGCGTCGGTTTTCGATTTGTCCTTGATTTCTCTCTGTTCTCGCTCTTCTTGTAGCTTTGCCAATCGTTCTTCCTCTTCTTTTCGAGTTTTCATTTCCTCCAAAACAACCTTTTGCTTCTCGTGTTCGACCATTTGAGCGGCGGTGGTGAAGATATTCTGACCCCATCCCTCCTTGTAAGTGTTGGCTTCGGCTACCACTTCCTGCAATTCCGCCATAGTTTCTTGCTCTGCCACAGTAAATTCCTTCCACAGATCGTCACCAACCGTACCAGCGCGAAGCAATGCATTTAATGGTGGTTTTTCTTGTTGGATGTGAACGAGTCGTTTGACGTCGGCCATGGCACGACGGAGTAATGCTGCTCGCAAATGATGTTCAGGAACAGGTGTGCTAGAGTTGAGTAGAGCAATGTATTGCTCCTTTTCAACATTAGGTCCAAACCAAGGTTCTATTTCGCTGACAGCTGTGAGAAGAGGAGAAGTTTAGCGAATCACTTTTTGATTTCAACCAGCTGGGCATACGGATTCCAGCAGAGATCATGCGGACATTGGTCACGCTTTATAGATCCATTGACAAGCTAGGGGATATATTACCTGTAGCACGTCTGTATACGAAGGAGAATGCTGACATGGCAGCTATACAGCCGCCTAGATAGGCGGTTGGCAATAATAAGGAAGTGGCCATTGGATGAAGGAGACAAGAAAAACTGGAGGGTTGGGTCAATCAAAATGGGATATTGAAAATGTATCGCGCTTTGATTGGGCCGTTCAAAGTGAATTTTGGACGAGCGACTGTGACGTCGGGCTCTGATATGCACCTTACTGGATGGCCCTGGCTGCCAAAAGGTAGCTCAAGCTTTAAAAACTATGGCAGCCATGATCTCAGACGAACCTGAATTCATTGCTCAGTACCTGACTAGCTTGTCATCCCGCTCCGTGCGATATGGCGCAAATCATATTCCATTCCGTCCTCACCCCAAGAAACTCAAGGTGTGTTTCACAGTCTATAGCTGCTCATCCCATACCATTATGCACACTGTATTCATTCAATCTTTTTGGAAACACAACAGAGACAGCCACCAAATAGATCACGCGTGCAACCAGTAGAGAAGCCGGCAGTCAACTTGGAAGAGCCTACTAGCCGTAAGTAAATACAAAAGAACCGTCCTATTCATTAGTTATTGGCAACTCAATCATTATATCGGGTTGGTCGTAGAGTCCACCACGGAAAATGCAGCTGCAACCATCAAACTCACCGTCAAGACATTAAAGCCTGCATCTCAATTCGAAATATTCAATTTAAAGCTCACAGATACCATCGCCACATTGAAAGATCGAATCTCACAACAGCGATCTATTCCAATGAAGCAGCAGCGACTTTTGATCAAGGGCAAGGTCTTGAATGATACAAAGCCATTGGCAGAATATGCTATGACGGACGGCACTGTTGTCCATTTGATGATCCGAGCAACAACCACCGCGTCCGAGTCCAAGTCTGAACCCATCCCAGCATCACCTGTTCCAGCAGTAGGAGCACATGGAATTTCCAAGTCGGCAGAAGATTCACTCAAGCAGCCAGAAATTTGGAGAAAGCTCCATAATGTATTAAAGGAGCAACTCGGTGAAGATGACGCTCGCACAGTAGTGTCAAGATTTTTGCAGTCAGAAGACTGGTCTGGAATTAGCTACGAGCAATTACAATAAAAAGGAAAAAGGCAATATACAGTGAACAAAAGGTATGAAGGGGGGCATTATAATTTTATTGTGGGGAGCGAGTTCTTCCCCTGTCGGGCAATGTTAAGAGTAGAAAAGGACATCGAACCATACATTATAAGTCAAAGGACATCTATTAAGGGAGGTTGAGTAAAAAAAAAATAACAAATAATTGGGCCGTTGCTTTAGCAGCCCAAGAGCCATTCTGCTACTGCACTTTCGTCTTCCACATCATCTTCTTCCCATTCATCGTCCAAAAACCATTCTTCGTCACCATCAATGACGCCATGCTCGCTGACTTCGCTTTCGGCAATCTCAGATCCACCCGTATGCGACGTCAAGTCTCCTGTTTGGACCGCTTGGTCCACTGCAGGGAAGTCTGTTTGCGTGCCGGCATCGACTGCGACGGTTCGGTAAAGGGACATTCGAACAGCCTTGCGACTGGCAGCAATACGTTCTCGAGCTTGCTTGACGGCTTCCGATGAGTCCAACAGCGTCAGATCGGATCTTTGTCGTTCAAATTTGCGAACCTTTTCAAGCACGCCTTGTGGGATGACCGGCACTTTAGGGTTATTGTTGTATTCCCGGCTATGGTCTCTTTCCCTCGGTTCCCTGGCCTCCGTCTGTTCTCTTATTTCAGTGGGCTCCTTTGGCTTTTTGACCTCGGTTTCCTCATCGTTGCTGGAATCAACGTCAGCAATGGTGGTCCCAGCTCTCATTTGTGATCGCCTTCGAATGAGAGGGTGCTTGGAGTTGTGCTTGAGATAATCATCCCACACCTTGACGGACATTTCAACCGATCCAGCTAACTTTTGCTGCTCTGTCAAAGGAAGGGTTCCACTCATGGATCGACGCTTGGAAACAAAGCTTGAAGGTCTTGGTGGTGAAATGACAATACTGGTAGGTCGATCAGGTGTGCTTGGGCGAGACAAAATCATGCGCTCGCCTCTCTCAACTGCTTCGCTTGGTCTTGGAACAGGTTTAGGAGGCTCGGGAATCGTTTGAGCTTTCGATGGGACAGGGCTGTTCATTTCATCTGGCTCCTCCGTGATCTCTGCTTGGGTTGTAACGGCAAGGCTGACTTCAGACACTGATTTCGGTAATACAGGCTTGGCTGCGTTAGACTTAGCAGCCTTGGCGGCTTCAAACTTGCTAGGCGGTATATTAGTAAGCGATACAGTTGATCTCATAGCAGCGTCGGATGTTTTCTTAATGGTGGGTTGGGGTGATGAAGTATTATTGCTATGACCATTTGTTCGGGATTTGGATACATCCTTCGTATCTTGTTTAGCAGTGGTTCGATTAGCTTCCCGCACCAGGCTAGGCTGTCTTGCTGTGGTATTGGATGTTGCCGTTGTATCCGATGCTTGCTCAGATCGAGTAGGCGTAACTGCTTTTGTAGCAATAGGTTTTTGTCTAGGTGGTCGGATGGGAGCATCTTTGTCTGTTGCTTCCCCTTGATCTTCGTTGGTGACGTCCTTTGCACTGGAAGCGCTGACGACCTCATTTTTCGCGTTTTGCTTTGAATCTTGCAATATGCTTCTGACCATCTCTTGTCTTGCAATTTGAACGCTGTCTTTTTGTGGCGAGGTGGGGGTAGCAGGTTTAACAGGAAGTTGCTTGGCTGAATCGTCCACTCTATTTTGTCCAATCGCTGCCGATTCCTTGCCGTTGAGTTTGAGGGTTTCTGGCTTTTTCGTTTGCTCAGCAGATGGTGGATTACTGAGTCCTGTGGATGGTCGATGAACTTTGGCATTAAGATCAGGTAGTGAGCGATTAGTGGGCTTGGAAAGGGTAGTTTCAGAAGGATGCTTCATAGTTTGTCCTAATGGTGCTGGCTGCGTTCTGGTGCGCTCAGTAGGAATTTTCTTTGGCGACGGCGGTGATAAAGCAGTTGTAGGAGATGATAAGAAATCCAACGGAATATCAAACATCGTTGATATGGCTGGTTTCTGACTAGGTTCTGGTGTATGCGATCTTTGGGTTTGTGATGTTGGGGAAGACACTGGTAGATCAAGCAAGCTGAAAGAGTTGGATCTCGGTAGAGGTGGAGGCTTTTTGTTGGCGTGATTGTTGGGTAGAGACTTTTGGCTTGGTTTTCTATCCGCTTCGCGAGGACGAGGTCTGGGAGATTCCGGACGAATACTAGGTAGCTTGCGAGCCCAGTCATCACCACGATCCGCTTGTTGTGTAATTTGGTCTTCGATCTCAATGGTGCGAAGTCGATTTGGAGTCAAGCTCATCTTCATTGTACTTCCAGACCGTATCAGTTCTTCGAAATTTAGCCCCGGTGCTTCTGGATCATAAACGGTAGTACCGCGAGTTTCAAAACTGTGGAAATCAACAGAGTGTCGTTTTCCATTCTTGTTAAAAAGTTTAAACGCTTTTTTGCTGTTGATGGAGCCATGTTGACTATTTACTGTGAGACTGCTAGGTGTACTACTGAGCACAGAAGTGGGTCGATAAGTTGATCCAGTATTCCCTCTACCACCGAAATTGTTGGTCATCGGGCTCTTTCCTCCTTTATCGGATATATGCAAAGTGTTGTTGTTAACATCCAGGTAATCCTCATCGTCGTCCATATCATATTGGTCAAAATCTAATCGTTCTGTGGAAAAAAATCAACGATAATGAGCATACATACTAACCATGGGACATATATGAGTTCTGGTAGAATGTGTTGAGTTGACTTACGGGTATCCAAGGCTTTGGTTGGAGGAGTGAATGTGATGGGGGTATTTGGGCGTTGCTTAAAGCGAAAACCAGAAGCTACCAAGCGTTTCTAAATAGGAATTATGAACCAAGGTTACCAAAAGTACACATCATACCTTTCTCTTGACCCTTAGTTTTTGAGCTTACCTCAAGACGCTCCTTCAGTTCCATTTTTGAGAAAGCATCGGACACATGTGAGTCGTCCACGAGAGCACTAAAAACCTCTCGCACGCGAACGAACTCGGTATCCTCTTGTTCAGCAGCCACCGCCACAGTCGTTAGCAAATATTCTGCTAAATGTTCAATGATGGTGGTAACGTAAATGGCCAAAATGGGTGAAATGACCGTCTTGTCCGAGATATCATTGAAACTTGCATCTCCTTCTCGATCGGCCAGTGTGCTGTAGTATAAACAGCGTTCTCTCAGCTGTTGAATGGAGCTTTGTAATGGGAAGTTTCCGTCGGAACCAAGCTGTCTCATGCGTTCGTAGGCTTCATAATCAATGACTTCCGTCTCAGTCAATGTTTTGACCTCCAATTCGGCCTCAACGATGGCATTCTTTCCCAGACTACTTGGTAGGATCTGCAAAGCTACTGCTTTGATACGAGATAAATCCAAAGACTGAGCTTTGGACAGTAACATGCCCAGAATCTCATCCAAAAACTGATTCAATGCTTGGAGCGCGTCAGTGGAGATTCGGTATGGGCCCACCTCTGATATGATGGCATTTGCAGCGTTGGAAGATACATAGCGAGCTGCATACGGAAAAGCCAAATGTTTCAGTTTGCGGAGAAAAGCTTTGGAGTCAGGGACGAAGTGTTATATTTTGACAAGTATGGAAAGTACATATTACCTCTACTCATAATAACCAATGAATCTGCAATTAAACGCAATCAGATGCAAATCTGGAAGGATAGATGGCCTTTTGAAAGGAGATGACGGTCAATGCAAAGTTTGGATGAGTGCGGATGAGACCAACAGTAAAAAAAAGGGCCTGAAGCAGTGCCAATTCGAGCCACCAGAGTGAACTCCGACAACAAGGAGCAGTCTTTCAAAAAAAAAAAAAAAAAAGGTAGGAAGGAAAACACTAAGGAACTTGATCAGTCATGAAATTCCCTGAACTATGCGCACCTTCTTTTTCAAAGAACCTTTTAAATGCCTTGTTGGAGAAGAGATATAAAAGCGTCAGTGAGTGCTTCTTTGGCAGACTGCTCCAAGGTATAGAAAATCAAGTGTTCGAGGATTAGCTTTCCCCATTCTGGTTCGCGTGCAACATGAATTGGTCAAACAAAATGAGCCCGATTCAAATCCCGACAGCACTGCCAAATATACTCACTGTGGCCGTACTCCTGAAAGAATAGGAATGTTTTCGTTTCAGTAGCAACACCATGCATGTTCATTTAAGAAAAATAAATAGGTCTTTGTAGTGCTGAAAGAGCCGTGAAAGGACTCATTCACATGAGTGAACGGAGCTTAAAGGGCAGCCGAATATGTTGGAAGAGCAGTTTCAAGTACTGCTCCTTCATCATCAGCAACTTGATCCACTTTCTCGCTATTCAGTGGACGTTGTATATAAAACTCTCGGATTAACGTTGACGTAGCGTAATATGTCAATGCCAGATTGAATACGTATATTGCCATCGGCTAACCTAATGCTTTTTGTCTGAATTCGAATATGCAATATTCAAAGGCAAAGTTGCGTGAATGCCGGTGCTTTTTCAATCGTACCGACGCCAACAGATCACAATTACATTCTCATATATGTAAATGCAGTAGCAGCATTAAGCAAACATTCATATAAAAGAAAATCATTCGCTCTCCTGGCTATTGTCTACTTTATTTTTTGGCTTATTTCAAGGAATTATTCATTTCATAACCAGGTCTCCGATAGTTGCCTGCAAAAATCAATGAATGATACTTTTTGTGTCTTGTCAAGTACAATTTATGTATGTCCTTGGGCTAGTTGCTAGAGTGAATGCGGCGATGTCGGCCGACTGCGATTTTTTCGCGTTGACTTGCCTGGCACCTTCTAGATAGCACAAGCCAACTCCTCCCGGGCCCTCCATCTGCCCGATAATTGCAAAATCTCCCTTCGCCACGATGATGACTGTAAAAGGACAAGATTATTTTTCATGTTGTCCAAAATTTCGCCATTGTCCTGAATGCTGTACGCTTCCACCCTTCGGCGTTGGATATCCGCTCGCTTTTCAAAAACCGGACTTCTCCGGTTGATTATACTTATCAAGTGGATCCTGGGATTGTTTCCACATGTTCTGAGTTTACTTGGAGAGTAAAATAAGACCTTTGGTTATCAGTAAACTCTCTGGTGGAAAGGTGGGTTGGCTACAGTAGAATGAAACTTCTAGCGCTTAGGTTGCTGCAACCTCCGCCAAATGAAAAAAAGTACAATGCATGTGACTGCCAAAAGCAAGACTCAAATTTTTTTCAATTGACATTTTCTTGTTGGTGCATTCCTTTGCCCGCACCAACCAACCATGTCAGCACAAGATTCCGTCACGCAGGTCAACGAGATGTTTGACACCGTCCTTATTCTGGATTTCGGTAGTCAATACTCTCATTTGATTACTCGCCGCGTTCGTGAACTTGGTGTCTATTGTGAGCTCTTGCCTTGCACTCAAAAAATGGCCGACCTTCACTTCAAGCCTAAGGGTATCATTCTTTCTGGATCCCCTTACTCTGTTTACGACCATGATGCTCCTAGAGTTGATCCTGCTGTTTTCGATGCTGATGTCCCAGTCTTGGGTATCTGCTATGGCTTGCAAGAAATGACAAACCATATGGGCGGAAGCGTCATCCCCTGCGATCACCGTGAATACGGTCACGCTATGCTCACTGTTCACAAGCATCCCAACAATGCTTCCATGGACAAGCTCTTCGCTGGTCTTGAAGGCGAAGTTCAGGTATGCATGGGTCTTCTTCAGCTACTGCACAACAATATCAGTTTGCTGAGATGTAAAACTTTTTTTTTTTTTTTTTTTTAGGTCTGGATGAGTCACGGTGATCAAGTTAGCAAGGCTGCAGAAGGTTTCCAAGTTATTGCCAACACCCGCACCGCTCCTTTTGCTGCTGTTGCTCACGAATCCAAGCCCTTTTATGGTATCCAATTCCACCCTGAAGTCACTCACACCGTCTGTGGTCAAGCTCTTCTCAAGAACTTTGTCCTTGACATTTGTGCCTGCAAGGCTGACTGGACTATGGAATCCTTCATTGATAAGGAAATCGAGCGTATCAGAAAGATCGTTGGTCCCACTGGTCGCGTTGTCGGAGCTGTCTCTGGTGGCGTCGATTCCACTGTTGCTGCCAAGTTGATGCACGAAGCCATTGGTGACCGTTTCCACGCCATCTTGGTTGACAACGGCGTCATGCGTCTGAACGAATGTCAACTTGTCAAGAAAATGCTTGGTGACCATATGGGTATTAACATCAAGGTCAGCGACGCCGCTGACTTGTTCTTGGGCAAACTCAAGGGTATCACTGATCCCGAAACCAAGCGCAAGATCATTGGAAACACCTTCATTGAGGTTTTCGAGGCTGAGGCTGCTTTGATTGACAAGGAATGCGGTGGCGAAATTGAATTCTTGTTGCAAGGAACTTTGTACCCTGATGTTATTGAAAGTATCAGCTTCAAGGGACCCAGTGCTACCATCAAGACTCATCACAACGTCGGTGGTCTTCTCGAGGACATGAAGCTCAAGTTGATTGAACCTTTGAGAGAATTGTTCAAGGATGAAGTTCGCGCTCTTGGTAAGCTTTTGGGTTTGGATGACGAATTGGTCTGGCGTCACCCCTTCCCTGGTCCCGGTATTGCTATTCGTATTCTCGGTGAAGTTACTCCGGAACAAGTGGCCATTGCCCGTCATGCCGATCACATCTATATTGAGGAGATCAAGGCAAATGGCTACTATCGCCAAATTTCTCAAGCATATGCTGCTCTTTTGCCTGTCAAGGCTGTCGGTGTCATGGGTGACAAGCGTACGTACGAGCAAGTCATTGCTCTTCGTGCCGTTGAAACCAAGGATTTCATGACTGCTGATATTTTTGCCAGCGCTGAATGGTTCCAATGCTTGAAGCGAATCAGTTCGCGTATTATCAACGAAGTCAAGGGAGTTAACAGAGTTGTGTATGATATTAGCTCCAAACCTCCTGCTACCATTGAATGGGAGTAGGTTTATTAAATTACTCTATAGAAGTTCTTTTTACAATTCCATTACATTTTTTTTTTCCAATGCTATGCTTTACAACGTGCCCACTTACTGACTTTGGAGCCAATGTGCGTGAGCTCCTATTTTTGTGAAAGCGCTGAATTTGGGCTTGTGGTAATGGATAATATTTTTTTTTTTTTTCAGAACACACACTCCTTTTCACTTCTCCCTTCCTTTCTTTAAACCCGCCACTTCATGCCTCCACTAGGCAGATCTTCTGCATTGTCAGATGAAAGTTATCTCGACTGGAATCCCGAGTATAATGGCAGCTCGTCTATGCTCAACTCCTCCCAAACCCACCCGACCTTAAGCAGTGTATTTAGTGATGATGACGACGATGTCAGACTAGGCTCTCGAATCAGCAATGGCACCTATAATTCTATTCAAGGCGATACGCTTATCACGTCAGCTGGCTATCATGTGCATCAAGCCGAATCAGCTTTGATCACACTTAAGGCTATTGCCCAAGATGAAACCAGCTGGAAAAAGGCGTTGAAGCACAAAAGTGGAGTGATGGTTTACATGCGTTCAGGTACCGTCAAAGGCGATAAAACTCCAGTTTTCAAAGGAGAAGCCATCATTCAAGGCTTTTCGCCACAGTCGATTTTTTATGTCATAGGCATGCGGAAATTGTGGGATGAACAGTGAGTTTGGGGGGTTTTTCCTAGAGCTTGAATGTAAACAGTACACCTTGCTTCTTTGGACGATCCTTTTTATTAATTTTTTTGGCCGTAGGTACGAAGATGGAAACCTGATCGAAAACCTCAACGACACCACTTCTCTAACCTATGAAGTATGCAAACCATCAACAGCATCAAGGTAAGCATAGAAGCTCTCATTCCATACAATGCAAACATACTAAACTCCTTTGCCATTTAGCAAACCGCGAGACATGGCTTTGGTGGAGAAAATTGAATGCACAGCTGGCGGTGTCATTCTGTTCGCTTGCACTAGTGTTGAAACTCCCAAAATTCCACCTATTCACGGAAAATCAAGAACTGAGGTGAAACTCCAAGGCTGGATCTTGGAACCATTGGCTTCGTCTCCGCCAGCCACCAAAGTGACCTACATTGTTCAAGAAGAAATGAAAGGTTGGGTGCCCGGCTTTGCAAAAAAATCCCTCGCTCGACGACCACTTGTTATCGCCACCATTGATGGATATTTACAGAAGAAAGCAGACCGTCTAAGGGCTCAAAATCGTATGGCCCAGCAATCTTCAGCAAATACTACCATTCGTAAACTAGGTAGACGACCTTCCATCATGAATATGGAACCCATGCCAATGTACGTGAAATCTTGCGCCTCGAGCACTTTGATTGGAATGTTTACTGATGGACTCTCCATTTTTCATTTTATAGTAATGGTGGCGCTGAAAGATACAATCCCAAGAACGCACCTCAAAGCAAAAGTACCCCCTTGGGTCGACGTTCGCCTGTGCTCGCCCCTACGCCGCTACCTGGCTCGAAAAAGCGAATTACCTTTGCCGAACATGATACTACATACTCAGCTGATTCCACATCGGGCGGCGATGATAATTCTAGCGTTCAACGTGATTCTATGTCCACTCAATCCTCTTCTGTACCTACTCGCATGCTTTATCCTCACCACCGTCACCCCAATGTCAAGATGGAAAAAATGTCGAAACTCAAGCATTTATCGGCTAGTTTGGATAACTGGAGTTTCGAGGGTGATCTCAAAGGCACCAAAGTATATTCTCGTACCCTGGAAGACAACAAACTTGTCCTCCGAGCCGATAGCATTATTCTCGACGGCTGGACCGCGGAACAAGTGTGCTCAGTGGTACAGAATTTTGGAGCTCGCAAAATGTGTAAGTGGGATAGCAGTGAACACGCTGTGAGTTTTTATTTTAGCCATCCATACTAAATAGCCACCCTTTTTCTTTACGTTACAGGGGATTTACACGTCATTGACGGAAGGATCGTTGAACGCTTTAGTCAAAAAGATTACCTGATCTATCTTCAGCTTCGATTCCCTCAGTTTGCAACCCCTATCGACCTGTCTGCTATAAGCACCATTGAGACTGATCCTGCATCTGGTGCGATTCACACCTTGATCACCAGTGTAGCAGATCCTCTATTGCCTGAAGACACGACTGGAAAATACAGCCGCTGCAATTTAGATCTACAAGGATGGGTGTTTGTACCCCAGTTTGATGAAAATGGGATCACCATGTCTGTCAACGCTTCCTTCATATCCTATGTCGATTACGGTTTTAGTCTTCCATCTGCCGCCATCCGTAGTCTAAAGAGCGAGTCATCCCTCTATGTGGCTCAAGTGCAAGATTATTTGGTACAACACGGCTGTCCGCCTTACGTTCGCCGTGTTGCTGGCAAAATTATCAAGGAAGACTTCAATTGCACAGCAAAGTCTTATGAAATCACCTACATTGTCAAGCATGATGCTTCAGGGTCTCGTCGGAAACAGCAGCCTGGCGCCATATCATCTTGGTGCACAGATATCCGCATTCCTCCTGCTAGTCGCAAAACAGGTCTTCAAGTACAAGTTTCACCTAGTGAAGGCATTAGAGTGGAAATGACCACCGATCATGCTAGTTTACGAATCTATTCTGTCGAACCCTACATGGACGGCAAAGTTGTGATCCTGACTATGGAGGATCATGTTAGTGGTGCAGCCAATACCAGTGCTAAATTCACACTGAATGGTGAAGCACTTGTACCCCGCCTCATGGTTGTTTCGCAACAAACCAAAGATACCTCATCCACTCCAGATATATTGAAACCCCAACCTCCAGTTGATCCTGTTCCCTCAAGTCGGGAAGTCGACAAAATACCTGTACCAGAATCACCTGGCACCAAAACGGAAATATTGAATGTTCAAGACGACTTCAGTGGTCTTCGAAATCGCAAGAATTCAGCAGATTCCACTCACTCCTCAGGTAAGACGATGGTTGTACTCGTCAACTTATCTTGTAACCACAGTTTTAACCTGATTTATTTTAGCTGCACCATCTCAATCCGACGCGGCCGAGCCAAAATCTTTGTTCGAAACTTCACAAGCAACTCAGCATGGTTCTGACAAGTCACACATCCGCCGTGGCTCTGATCTATCCCACGACAATTTTTCAGTTGCATCTTCAACGCATAGACATGCTCTTGTTCCTAGTGGCTACGCTATAGTACCACAGTCACCTCAGGTCAGTAACTCGCCTAACCATTCCCACTTATCTTATCCTCTCACTCACATTTCTCTATGCCTCTTACAGCGTGCCAGTAACCCAAATAATATCATAATTTTTATTAACGAGGATCTGACATTCAACAGCCAGCAACTCTCCGTACTCTTCATTGCTATGGTTGTTTGCTACTACATGGGTAAATTCGGTTGTAGCTGTTAGAATGTTATTTTGGCGATTCCTCCTTCCTCTCCTTTGTTTAAAAAAGAAAACTTACTTAACATGTCAATTTATTGTATCAACCATGGTTGTAAAAGAAAACGAAAGATTTACCACGTTTGTTCACTCCTAAAAAATCATAGTTTGCCTGGATTTTGGTGTTTCATCATCTTTTATTTCCATGTGATATTTTAGTGCCTAGTTCTTTTAACATATTCGTCTAGTGCATTGCCTTCCTCTTCGCTGGCTCGCTGTCCATCATGAGAGTCAACATTCATAGGTTCAGGTCCCTGTCGCAAATGTAGCAATGTTAGAATCAAAAGGTTACTCCAGTGCATGCGCATTATAAACACTTGCCTGTTGGCTACTGTGGTGCCTCCTGCCATGGTGTGCTGCCTCAGCGTCATCGTCACGTATCATGCCCTCCTCCTCGTCGTCATCGCTTGTTCGTTTCTTTTCAGCCTTTTCCTATATAGGATACAGTTAGAGGATAGGCAACGAGTTACCAATCAGTCTACAGAAACACATACGTTTAGCCTGACAATAAGCTTGTCAAACACTTCCTTGGCAAGCGTCTCGTCTTTGAGATCATGGTATTCTGGCAATTGTGTGATGATGGATTCAAAATCCTCCCACTTGCTGGTAGTTTCAATGCTTGGCTTGAGTCGCTTGAGTGCAGATTTTAGCGCATCCTGCTTTCTTCGCATTTTCTTTTCCCGTCTACGCTTCTCCTCTTTTGCTCGGCGAACCTCTTTCTCTTGCAACTGGGGGCGGGGCAGATGTATTAGCAATCATCCAACGCAATCAACTTTTTTTTTTTTTTTCAAGCGTAGCAGTAGACTTACATGCTCAAAGGTCAACTTCAAATTCTCATCATCAACGCGTTCAGCAACCTCCGGGTATGGCTTGAGAACCTCCTGGAACTGAGCGAATTCGGTGTCTGCCGTGATTTCATACCGTATGCTCTGGTACAGGAAAGCAATGAATTTATCAGCACGCCGCATTATCAATTGGACAGTCGCTATTTCATACATACCTTGAGGATATCGTAAATAATGCGCTTCTGTTTGTAGAATCGCTCTCCCAGGTCATCGACCATATCCCAGAACAAGTCGAGAGGCGTAGATCCTGGTTGACCCAACATGTTTTGGTATCTCAAATCGTCCTTCAAATGGGGGTAAATCTCCATCCAATCCGTCTTCGCATTGATGAGTTTGCCTGCTCGCAATTCAGCCAAAAGTTCCTATCAAATCATGTTTGTTAGCGTCGTGGTTACATTTGAACCAATACACGGGAGCAAGCAAATAACCTACTTTGAATGCATCTCTATGCTTACGATATGTACGTTTTCTAGCATCGGCAACTCTAGCTTTCTGATCCGATTCAACTTGTTCCAAATGTTTGACATGATCCTCAAATACAACCAAAAAATCAAGTTTATCCATGCCTTTGAATCTCCCTTTATCAGCATACTCTGGGCGCGCAGAGTAAAGTTCTTGCGCCGCTTTCCAGGTTGTCCTGTGCGTGATTTCAGGAATAGATCGCAGCAATTCAGCAAATCGATCCATGCTTTGCTTTCGAAGCTCTCGCAATTCATCCTTTTCTTTCCTGCTGAGCTCGTGTATGTAATCGTCGTATAATGCCTGTCTATATCGTTCGGATGTGATTGCACCCCATGCCGGCTCCTTTTCTAGTAAAGCTGCTGCTTTGCGATACCGTGTTGTAATACGGATCGCATTTGTGCTGGAAAGTAAGCTTATAAAGTCCTCGCGTACTTTCTTTTCAGTTTCTATTTGTTCTTCCTGAAGTCAACAACGCAATCATGATGTTAGAGGGCTTGTAATGATATACGGTCAGTATGTTATTTACCTTTTCTCTTCTTGTCTCTTGTTCAATATAGGTATTGAAAGCACTCTTTCTTTCAGCCAAAGTCTTCAACGCGCGATAAACGGGTTGTGTGATAATGGATCGCATAGTTTGTTCCCAAGTCCAACTTGATTTGACACCCTAAAATAATAGACACGTTAATCATAATGCTCGCGATGGGACCGAAAAGCTCTGGATGGCGAGGGCTTACAGTTTTGCGTAGTAAGTCAATAAAGGCTGCTTCTGCTTGCTCTTTTGTTGCAAACTCCAAAACGGTAGGTTGAGTCATTTGCGGTTTTGGATGTGGGATGTTAACCGGTGGTGCGATAGCAACCGGCGCAACATTGGGTGGTGACTCTTGGCGTTCGTGCAGGTTGGGAGGCATATTATTTTGTTCTATTTGCTCGATCCTTGCTTCAGCTGCGGCTCTATCCAAATGTAAACTACGTTAGCGAAAATAACGAGCGTGAATGTGACAATCATGTTCGGAAACTTACTGTTGCTTTGCCGCTTCAGCTTGTTGACCCTTTTGAAGAGATTCTAGAAGCATATTGAGTTAACATTGACAATTATTGGCAAGGGATACGATGGCTATGAACTGTTACCTTTATATTCCTCTGGCATCTCCCATTTGGACTCCTTGGTTGATTTATGGCTGTAATATTTTTTGCCTTCTGGTGAGGTGAATTCTTGCCATTCACACTCTTTCAACGCTTTTTCTACTTCTGTCAACAGCTCTTCTGGTTTTTCCCAAGTACTTGTCTTTGAAAAATTGTTGTACCAATATTTGCGGCCTTCAGCCGTCGTATGTTCAGTCCATGTCTAGATTATGATAGATCACTTCGAGATTAGAAGACTGGGAGTCACACTCTAAACAAGATCTAAGGGAAATGAAAACTACCGGTCGTGGTGGTGGGACATTCATTCTAATCAATGGAAGTCAAGCACTTGATATTATTGGATCTGTGTTTAGATAACAGAATCAAGCCCCTCTGGTCTGTTGTTCCTGAATCGAAGATTGAGCAGGTTGACGGCGGGCGAGTTTATGTGCGCAAAAACGCAGGCGAAAGACGAGTCACAAACGGGTTGATGGATGTCGAAACCTTCTTGCGTGTCTGCTTATGGATGAATTCGCTTCGAATAATAAAGTCGATAGATCGTAAAAGCAGTATATTTATAAACTAGCCATGACCATGCAGATAGTGCACTGCTTTCAAGTCATCTATACTTCAGTTAAATTTTCGCGGCCCTACAGCTCTTCCACTTGACACCCTAATACAGACGTATTGGCGTGTCAAGTCGACTCCAACTAAACCTCCTTTGACTACAGAAATGTCATGTATGTCTTCCTTTATTGTTCCACGTCATAGTGGACGCAAAAGTGGTGAAGCGTATTGTTCACGCTTGTAATTGCTGTTCACGTGAGCGAAAGGAATAGCGCTGTGGAGATCAAATCTATGGCAAATTCACCATAGCCTAATTTTTTGCATCTCGCCCAAACCACATTTTCCTCCTAACATGGCCGCAACAGACAAGCCAAATAGCGATCTCGATATCGATCGCTATCTAACGCAATCAGAGAAGCACATGGAAATAGATCGCATTCTCTCAACTTTCAAATTGGATCCATTCTCCATCATGGAGCTCCCATATAAAGCAGTTGACCCAAAAGAACTAAAAATGGCTTATCGTAAACGTTCACTCATGGTTCATCCTGACAAAGTCGATCATCCTAAAGCACAGGACGCATTTGATTTACTCAAAAAAGCAGAAAGCGAACTCGGTGATGACACTCGTGTTCGATTCATTCTGGGTATCGTCGAAGAAGCAAAAGTGGAAGTGCTTCGGAAACAAGGCATCAAGGTGAAAATGATACCCAGCAAAGTAGAAACGATAGTACCCAAAGATGGCGAAAATGCAGATGCCGAACCAGTGGTGACGATGGTCCCTGCACGAATAGACGAAAGCGAATACCCATACATTACGTCGGCGGAAGGACGGCAAGGCGTCAAAGACCAGGTCAAGGAAATTCTGATAGAGATGGAACTACGTAAGCGAAGGCTGCGCAAGAAGGAAATGGAAGCGGAAGGAGAAATAGCCCGCAAGACAGAGGAGGCAATCCAGGAAAGAAAGCGCAAAGTGGAAGAAAAGCAAGCTTGGGAAGCCAATCGAGAAACGCGGGTGAACAGCTGGAGAGATTTTCAAAAAAAGGGAGGAGCAAAGAAAATCAAGAAGAAGAAGACAGCGTGAAGGAGAGCATGATAACGAACAACAGTTTGCTTTTCGTTGTAGACTTTTTGCCAAATTGCATATTTCAAATTTGAATAGTTTCCATAATAAAGTTCATGTATACAACTTGCACTGAAATTTTTCTACTGGATCTTTCACAAAATGCTCGATCCTGCCGAAGGCACGGTGCTTCTGCTCGAAGCTTGCGCTACCGGAAGTGTAGAGACAGGTTGGTAATCATGGCGTTGCAACCGTGATCTGGTAGCGATTGGAATTAATTCTATTGACGCAATGCAGTATCCAACATACTTCGAAGTTTAAATCCCCTTATAAATATCGACACCATGCGCAATCAGAATCTACAAACACCATTGCATATAGTGTGCAAACGGAAAGAAAACTACGCAAATGCAACAGCCATAGCAACTCTCTTGATTGATCACGGATGCGATGTGAATAATGCCATTTGTGACAATGACGGAATGCTACCTCTCCATTATGGTAAACCCGCTTTTGTTAATATCCGTCTATCTTCCTGAACATATTCTAAACCACATATTTTTCTTTTATCAGCCGTACTCTCAGGGAACGTTGATTGCATCATTCTGTTGCTGCTGAGAGGTAAGTATCTCATATGCTTGTTCTTTCAATCACTTGAAGTTCACTAAAAAGTCTGGGGATTGTGTAGGAGCCACAATACCGATATCCGACCCATTTCGATTAACTCCTCTCTTGCTGGCAAAAGCCGAGATCGAAAAAAACGAGCGGAGGCGTTCAATACAGGCACTCCAAGAGTCTCGTATCCCGAGTATGTGAATAACATCATATTTTACTCTTTCATGACACAAGTCATGCTGACACTATTTCGTACCAGATGATGCAGACCCTTCGATAAAAAATCTACGACGAGTAAGCGATAAAGAATTTGTGATCGAACGGTGTCAACAACCTACTAATATGACACTTTAGATAACCTCATTACTTTTGGAGCATATCCGGGAGCGGCATATCGAGCAAGTTGCCAATGGAACAGCCGCGGCACCGCCAAATTATGGCTTGTCAAATACCTTGCTTTCTAAATCGATGCCATCCTCTAATGGCATCGAAGGCGATCTTGATGTACCCTTGATAGTTGAACGCATGCGATCAATGAGTGTAGATACAGATGACAATATCGACGTATTGATATCTAAAATGCAGGCATTTGGGGTAAAACCCACATAGCCCTGATGCTCCTCCTGCTCCGACATCGTTAAATAGACTCCAATTATCTTTGAAACATATAACTGTACAAAAAAAAATTATATCGCTAATAATACAAACATAGAACCACTCTATATTGACCGTTTATTCATCCTTCTTTTCATTGAGCCCGCAGATGCTCTCTATATTATACTTTTTGAGATCGTAGAAATCTTTGACAACAGAAATCATGCCAATGGTCTGAGAGATGCAAAAAAGAGATAAAAGAAATTGAGAATCGGGGTAAACCAACGCTGAACCTCTATGATGCGAAAAGTTTACAAACCTGGATGATTTCAACAATAATGACAAGGTCTGGGTTCACGAGATCGACAGTATGATCTTTTCCAACCACACCAGCCAAGCTTTTGGTGAGCTCCTGTCTATCCATCTTTTCGCAATTCCGGATTCGGCAAACAATAGCAAACTACATCCAATATATCAGTACGGTGGTGCTCAGTCATTGTTGCTTGAATAATCAGCAAAGCATACCTTCTTTGGCTCTATTTTTCCATCCTCTCCAGCAGTATGAAAGTAAGGCTTGAACAATTCTTCAGCCATTCTGACAATTTCCGGTATATTTGAATTACATGTCTTCGCGACGGGGAGCAAACGTGACACGAATCGTGTGCGCTTCTTTTGTGTCGTCTTAATGTCCGTCAAAATATGGTGTACAAAAGAAACGGGGTCAACGGGAGGATTTGTTCGAATGAATAGTACTTGAAATTCGATTTAGTATCTCCCTGGAATAGACATCAAAATTTTCTAGCCCAACTTACCACAATCAGTATCAGTTTGAAGATTGACAAATCGTTTCTTGGATTTTGGCTTATTAGACATTGCCTTCACTTCTTTTGCAATCATAGCTTCAATATCTTCCTCTTCCTCTTCATTTTCCTCCTCCTCCTCTTTGGATGCTTCCGCTGGATATAATTTATCTGCGTACTATTAAAAAAATAATAATTAAGGAAATTGCCATCCTATAGACTCAAGCCGTGAAATAATGTACTATACCTCGTTGAAAATGTCTAGAATTTCTCTCACTGCGCGATCCTCCTTCTTTCTAGCACACATAACCATCACTCCAGCAACATTAGTTTCGATGCAGAATCCTCCCTTCCGTGGTGATTTCTCCTGGATCGCCCATATGGGCCAAATGAGATATAGAAGAACCTGATCTTAGTTGTAGTCACAATTCTTACCTTGGAGATGTGGTAGGTTTTCGCCTTCTTTTTCTTTTCGTCGGATTTGAACCCTGCAGCTCGTTTTGACATTGTACAATGGACTGACGAGCTCGATCTGTGCTGCACATTTTTTTTTCCGTCGAACCCCCCAATTAGAAAAACAAGTCACCCCCGCACGCAGGCGAATTAAACACTCAAGAATGATACACTTTCAACTCATGTATTGCTTTGTATCTATCAGACCTGCTGAAAAAAATGGATATGGCTGAAAAGTTATGATATAAGAGAGAAATGCAATTGTCTATAATGCTACTATCTACTATTTTGGTGATTTAATGGAAACAACGGTAGAGTACCAACGCGCAACCATGGATTGCATCGCTATTCGATCTCCTGCAGTACCAAATCATCAGCAATGTTAAACTTGAAGCAGCATTAAATTTGTATCAACTACTCACCTTGGCGACCACTTAAAAATTCTGATCTTATATACATTGCCAGTAAAAAATCTCTAATACCCATGCCCTTGTCTTTAAGAAGGAGTATTCTATCCAGTGTCGGTTTTGGTTGACGTTTCGGGGCTGCATCTGATATTAAGATCGCACCATTGTTTACTGCTTTTCGATGAGAGACTTTTTCAACGTAGAAAAGTAGGTAGTCTATACAATCGCTAGTGGTCATGAACCCTTTGGTTTCTGCGCATTGCAACCACACAAGCACCGCATAACGTGTTTGATCTTCCTCGTCTATGTCTAAAGTTGAAATGATGTGTAGCAGCCGCCTAAGGCCATTCACAGGTGATCCAGACCAATCTCTTTCGAAGCACGCCATAGCCGCTGCGGCACTGAGGGTGGTAGATGAGTCGTTCCTATCCACAGCCTCCAAAAACATCGTCTCCAGTTTTTCAAAATGTTTCTTCTCGTCAGCCGCTATAGACGAAGACAGCCTTTCGCACTTTTGCTGCCATGTATCTTGATCCTCAAATGTGCCGTTCCGGATATTAGTGGTGAGTGTTATTTGGGTATCGTTGGCTTGCCAATATATTTTAGTTTCAAATCCTTGGGTTGCATTTAAGGACTGATGGACATCTGCGAAAGTGGCTTTGAATGTGTTGTCTTTAGATGAATGATCCAAATGGAAGTATGTTGGAAGTTTCGGTTTAATTACGAATGAAGAAAGAGTAGCTTGGCGTTTGACATTCTGATTTTCTTTTGCGCCTTCACGCGGTCGTTTCATTCTGCCTTGCACTGGTGAAGTCCGTCTACTGGCAAATTTTGCCATCCCGTCGATGGTAAGGTCGGTGTTCACACTGGCCAAATCCCGTCATATTTCATAATATCAATGTAAATTTACCACGCTATTCATTTGTGTTTTCTTAATACTATTGATAGCAATTTAAGACAAAGATATCCTACTGCCACTCAGTCGCCTTACAGTCATCTTTACTGAAAACATCGCGGCTATTTTCAAACAATTGCCTGCTCGCTGCAGTTTTGAGGCGCGCCACATTGTAATTTTGGTCAAAAGGGCTTAGCATATCCCGCTTTTCGCCGGATGCCGCAAAGGTTACATTGTCAAAGGTCGCTTACCTTTGGAGCTTAGGTATAGGATGGTATAAAGGAATGCCAATAGAAGTAGCAAATGCCTTTAAGCAGCTCATAAATGGACCACATAACGATATTACAGCCAATGGTGAGTGGCTGGAATTTTCGCATATCGGAGCCTAGGACAAGTTTCGTCATTGTGAACCCCGTAAAAAGGGAGGCAACGCTCAAATAATTCGGGACACTTTCAAACGTTTACCCAACAAACATAAAGTGAAATTGTGTCATGCACCGGCTAATCACTGTCAAACGCCGTTTGCCAGGTCTCTTGTACGTCCAGCATACGCCTAGTAGCTATTATGTGACGAGTCGAAAACTACACACCTCAAGAACAACTTCACAGCAAGAGTCCGGATATTCCCAGGCTATGTATTCGGAATGGAAACGGGATCCCCAAGCTGTTCATGAATCCTGGAGGAAGTATTTCGAGAGTGGCGGTGCTCCTTCAAGTGCAGCTGCTTCTAGCTCAACTGTAGAGTCGCCCGTTCTGGTGCCGATTGGTAGTGCACGGTTACCAAGTTTGCCCGACGCGGTACCTCTTGACAGCAGCGAAGATGTAATGGACCACATGAAGATACAGCTACTTGTTCGAGCGTACCAAGCGCGAGGTCATCATATCGCTAAGTTGGATCCGCTAGGGATTCTGGACCCCGACCTGGACCCCGAAGCTCCCAAGGAACTGAAGCTCTCCTACTATGGATTTAAAGACAACGACTTGGAAAAGACGTTTACTCTGGGACCTGGTGCATTGCCTGGTATAGGACAAAGCAAGTTAACTCTGCAACAAATTGTTGACCACTTGAAACATATATACTGTAAGTATCTGCATTCTGTCTATTCATGCTAGGCACCACCAGCTGAATTCACTCTACTTCACTCTTTCAGGTGGTTCCATCGGCACTGAATACATTCATATACCCAACAAAGATGAATGCGATTGGCTCAGGGAAAGACTAGAAAAGGTCAAACCTTATGAATTTTCTCGTGATGAAAAGTACATGATGTTGGACCGTTTGATGTGGTCTAGTATTTTTGAGCTATTTGTGGCAAAGAAATACCCAGGAGAAAAAAGATTTGGTCTTGAAGGAGCCGAATCTTTGATAGCTGGAATGAAAGCCATGGTACGTAATTGTGTGTGTAGTGTATGTCACGATAAGCAGTAGAGATGCTCATGTTACTTTTATTTAGGTTGATCGCTCAGTGGATCATGGTGTTCAATCTATTATCATAGGTATGCCACATCGAGGAAGACTTAATATCTTGAGTAATGTGATTCGAAAGCCAAATGAATCCATCTTCTGCGAATTCATGGGTGTGCAGTCGTCTTCCGTGGAAGGATCCGGCGATGTCAAGTACCATCTCGGCATGAACTACGTTCGGCCAACACCATCTGGAAAACGAGTCCATCTTTCTCTGATCGCAAATCCTGCGCACTTGGAAGCAGTTGGTCCTGTAGTGCTTGGAAAAACCAAAGCTTTACAGTTCTACAATGATGATGAAGCGCATGATAGTGCACTTGCCATCATTTTACACGGTGATGCAGCTTTTGCTGCTCAAGGAGTCGTGTATGAAAGCATGAGTTTCCACGACACTCCTGAATACGCTACAGGTGGTTGCATTCACGTTGTTGTCAATAATCAAATTGGTTTTACTACGGATCCTCGATATGCTCGATCAACACCCTATTGCACTGATATCGCAAAGTCTATCAACGCACCTATCCTCCATGTAAATGCAGACGATGTGGAAGCCGTTACCTTTGTCATGCAGTTAGCCGCTGATTGGCGAAAGACTTTCAAGAAAGACATTGTTGTGGATTTGGTATGCTACCGACGACACGGTCACAATGAAGCGGATCAGCCGTCATTTACACAGCCAGCTATGTATGACAAAATCGCGAAGCAAAAGCCTGTGCTGGATCAATATATCGAACAACTTAAGAAAGAAGGAGTGTTCTCAGACAAGGACATTGAAGAAAATAGAAATCGAATTGAAAAGCTTTTGGAAGAGAGCTATGCTCGTAGCAAGGATTACAATCCTACTTCGCGTGAATGGCTTTCCAGCTCCTGGCCAGGTAAATTGGATGTTCTAGATCGATATAGTCTCAACTTATTGTACCATGTGTGACTAACGCGCCTGTATTTGTATGCTTAGGCTTCAGATCTCCAAAGGAAGTCGCTGAAAACATTCTTCCTCAGCCAAATACTGGTGTGCCTAAGGACATTTTGGAAAAAGTAGGACGTGCTATTAGCCACACACCAGAAGACTTTACTGTCCACCGGGGTGTTCAACGAATCTTGAGCACTCGAGAAAAGAACATCCAAGCAGGTAAGGATATTGACTGGTCCACTGCTGAGGCTTTGGCTGTCGGAACACTTCTTTTGGAAGGCAAGCATGTCCGTATCTCTGGACAGGATGTTGAGCGTGGCACATTCTCCCAGCGACATGCCATATTGCATGATCAAAAGAAGGAAGAGCAATACACTCCACTGAAGCACATTAGCGAGGATCAAGCAAAATTCAGCATCTCCAATTCTACCTTGTCAGAGTATGGTGTTTTGGGCTTTGAATTGGGCTACAGTTTGGCGGATCCCAATTCTTTGGTGATTTGGGAAGCTCAGTTTGGAGATTTCGCTAACACAGCCCAGTGCATCATTGACCTTTTCATTGCCTCCGGTGAAAAGAAATGGCTACAAAGAACTGGCCTTACCTTATCTCTTCCACATGGATATGATGGCCAAGGACCAGAGCATTCCTCTACAAGAATCGAACGGTTCCTCCAGCTTTGTGACGACCATCCCTACATTTATCCTTCGGAAGAAAAATTGCAGAGGATACACCAAGATTGCAACATGCAAGTCGTTTATCCTACTACACCAGCTAATTACTTCCATGCTTTACGACGCCAAATTCATCGTGAATATCGTAAACCAGTAAGTGAAAGGACATTGAATAACATGAGACCGAGCCGAGCATCCTCGTTAATATATATCGTTTCATCGCATATCAGTTGATTTTACCCTTTTCCAAATCACTCCTTCGACATCCACTTGCAAAATCGTCTTTGGAAGATATGACAGGCGATAATGGATTCAAGCTTTATATACCAGAGCCTCATCCAGATAGTCTTGCTGCTCCCGAAGAGATTAAGAAGCATGTATTGTGTTCTGGCCAGGTCTACTATGCTCTACTACGTGCTCGCGATGAGAATAAATTGAACGACATTGCTATATCAAGAATTGAGCAGATCAGTCCTTTCCCATGGAGCCAAGTCAAGGAACATGTTGACAAATATCCTAATGCACAAATCGTGTGGTGCCAGGAAGAGCCGTTGAATATGGGTGCATGGCAATATGTTCAGCCACGCCTCATTACAACTCTTGCCGAGACGCAACATCATAAAGATACCTTCCCCATCTACGCCTCACGCCCTCCATCTGCCTCAATAGCAACCGGAAACAAGAGGCAACATAAGCAAGAGGAATACTCATTCCTGTCAAAGGCCTTACTTGGAGTAACAAAGCCAGAGCCCAAGGATGTGGTGTCTGGTGTGCCTATCTGGGATATACCCTCAGATGCGGAACGCGTCATCGACAACACCGTATCTTCCAAAGACACCGGGCGACCTCCTTCTCCCAGTGTCCCACAACAAGCATCTTCACAGCAGACATCGTCTTCATCTCCGTCACCCAAGGAAGATGGTCATAAGGACGCAGTTCTCGAAGCCTTAGGCGGTGCAGTCGACGCTATTCCAAAAGAGGAGCAGAACGATGCACCTCAGAAAGAACAGCAATCAAAAGGATTTTTTGGATGGATCTCTGGAAGGCGATAGGGAAACATTTCTAATGTAAATTGATGTCCCCCTTTTTTTTTGGTCTTGAGATCAAACCAATATACTTATCACATCCTTCCAACCAAATCATATCATTCTTTCTCTCTCTTTTTTCTCATATAAAGCTTCTAGCTTTTTATACGAAGTGAATACATGCTATGTGATAGAGACGGTCACGATAACCTAACTTTACAAGATAGGATATGCAATAAGTTAAATGTTTTAGGAGGGTGCATCATGTTTAGGCGGGCTAAGCAGTATGGGAATAAATAGCATCTCTAGTAGAGTACGTTACGGACATGAATAGACACCCTACGTCTCGATCCATTAGAAACGACGGCGAGCATAGAGTTGACGTCTACGCTTAGAGGTGGAAGTGCAAGCTCCTCCATCTACCCACACAGAGCTAGTAGATGAGGGAGTCTCAGATTGAGTCCACCACTTGGCTGTCCAGAGATGTCCATTGTAAGTAACTGTGCTTCCTCCAACGTAAGCAGTAGTGCTTGACCATGCAGCGACACCGCTGCAGTTACCACTGCTGCCAGTAGGAGTGGCTGAGGCAGTTGTAGTTTTGGTAGTGGTGGTTGTAGTGGCAGGGGTAGTGGTGGTGGTGGCTTTAGTGGTGGTGGAAACAGTAGTGGTGGTAGTGGCCTTTGAAGTGGTAGTAGTAGTAGTAGTAGTAGTGGTAGTAGAGGTGGAATTGACACCGCCGCTGCCAGAGCATGCGCTGACTGAAAATGACATAGTGTGGTTAGATAAGTGGAAAATGAAAAAAAAAAAAAGTCATGGATGTTCCTTGTCAACTTACTAGGCATCCAGTCACCATTGGGATCAGCAGTAGGAGCGCTCTGTGACCACCACTTGGCTTCCCAAATGTATCCGTTGTAGGAGACCTTGGAGTTGGCATTGTAGGTGGTACCAGAAACATAAGCAGCAGCACTGCAAGCTGGGTATGTAAAGGTACCTGAGCAAGTGCCCTTGGCGGTAAGAGCACTCTTAGCAGAAACATCATATCGGCCATTTGCGTATGCCTGGGATGCATCTATTCATCAAATAATGTGAGTTAGTGACTTTGTTTGTATGCGGGCGAAAACCATGTTTTCATCATTTCAACTAACCCCAGAACATGAGGCCTCCAAAGCTGGGGAAGTCAGCTTGAGTAGTTTGGGCAATAGTGGCAAGGGTTGAGGCTGAAACGTAACCGCCACCAGCTGCACCAGAGCTGGCTGGTGCACCGATGTAGATCTTGACATTCTTGTTAGGAGAGACGTTTCTGGCCCAGTAGTCCCAGATACCGCTATCGTGATATATTAGAATGCATGCTCCTGACAGTCGATAATCATTTACTACTTACAAATTCCATTGAGAGGGAGCGTTGTAGTTTTGAAGACCGCAAGGGTTGTTATCTAGAAGAGTCAAAGCTGTAAGTATAAGACTACCCATCGCAAACGCTGGGAGAGGATCGGCTCACTTACAGAATTGAACGTAAACGGCGTCGAAGGCAACAGAGTTGATGACAGCACCTAAGTTAGCATCAGGGTAAACGCATTGAGGAGCGGCAGTGACATAGTACTTCTTGCTAGCAGCATTGAAGTGGGAGCGAAGCTGTGTGACGAAGGCAGCGTAACCTTGATGTGCAGAAATTGTGATTAAATTACATGCAGCTAATAACTGGTTTAAACGCTTAGAACACTTACCAGTAGAGCCACCATTTTCAATATCCAAATCAATACCATCAAGCACAGCTGATCCAAAAGGACGGGTAGTGGAGGAACCTCCAAAGAAAAGGTTCCAGAGCTGGTCAGCGAATGATACACCTTGAGCATCACTAAATTCAGGTGATTTAAAAATGTTAATTTCATAAATTATGACATTCCAAATGTGGTCATCAATAATCTTACGAGCCAAAGCCGACGCCACCACCAGCACCACCCAAGGAGAGAGTAACAATCTTTCCCTTGGACTGGCAGAAGTTGATATCAGTGGCAAGACTTGCGCAGTTGGCAAGGTTAGTTCCGGGGAAGGTACCATTGTCGACACTGTTACAGGTCTGATGTCGATGACTCGTTAGCAACTAAAAGTTCGTAATACTATGGCAAGCACGTGGGTTTCCAAAACTTACGTTGGCAAGATTGATTTCTGGGTCGCTACCAGTAGAAAAGAACTTGTTCAAGAATGCAATGGGGATGACATCAATGGTGTCATCTTGACAGTAGTAGGATAATGTCTTTTGCCAGTTGGCGGGGTCATTAGCATTAACAGCACCATAGGAGTTCTGACCCCAGTCTGAACAAGTCGAATGGTTAGATATTGAAAACAAGATGATTTTTTTTCAAGTTTACACGAGATACTTACAGACAGCAAGGTTGTCATTGCAGTTGTTCTATTCAACAGAAAATAGGTTAAAATTGGATGCTTCAGCAGGAGTTCAGACCAAAATCGGAATACATACATTGTAAGCATCTGCAGTAGTTGCAAGAGTGGCCAAGATGGCTGCTCCTGTGGAGAGTAGCAGGGATTTTAGCATTTCCAAGAGAATGAGAGGAAGGTGTGGTGGGGTATTCGGTACAGCTAAGAGTGCTTCATTTATATATTGGAATCCTGGCCGCATGTGCCACACCACTTGTGTTCCGGCCCTAACCCTTCATTACTCAAACGAAGTAGAGTCTTACAGCAACAGTGCCCCAATTGCTTATCATGCGACACCATAGTTGCTTCGGAAACGAATGTAGCACTGGTACGACGCGGAGGTATTTCAGCCCAGGGATCATCCTCTTTTTCTATTTTCAGGGTCTTCTTTCAAGCGCTGTCCCGTGGTAATCCAACAAATTAAAAATATACAATCTGTATAATTATATCATCCACGACAAAGTATAATATCATCATAGAGATTGGCTTCTACTGAAACTTTTTGACTGCTCCGAACGACTACATATTATTCGCTTCAACAAACTTAAGCAGCGCAGACCCTGCATGGTCATTCATCTGGTGACTTGTTGCGTACTGCTGTGGTGTATCCAGTGGAGATTATTATTAAGTTGTACAAACAAGATAAGGTGGTGCAAAAGCGTGCCTTCGTCAGTGGGAAAAATTGGCCGATATGTGAGAGCAGGAAGCTGCCCTTAATCGTGCAACGTTTCTCCAAAGACCCTGTTACAAGTTATGCTCTCGTGCGTCCCTGAACCCCGATTTTGTAGCCACGCACCCCATTCAAGACCGCATATTTTTCGGCGCCAAAAAAGATTGTACATTTCTCATAGTATGGTTAATAGCAACTTAAAACTTTCTGTCAATGGACAATGAGTAGATATTTTCAATACATCGAAACTATTTCTTGTACATTATAGACGAAGAGATACATTAGGTTAATATTTCAATGCCATCATCAGTAACCAACAAGGTATGTTCGAACTGAGCTGATCGACGACCATCCACAGTCACGGCAGTCCAATTGTCCGGCCTACACAAAGCACAAAGATGTATGAGCTTACATAATGGAACATAAAAATGTCTAGGCCTACTCACCATAATTCATCTCTCCAAGTTCCTTCGCAAATCATTGGCTCTATAGTGAAAGTATGACCTGGCTTGAGAACACCGATAGCCTTGTTGTCTGCAGGGTCAGGCAGGTCAGTGCGACATTCTAGTTATATCCAAACGACAAAGGTGATCCGATAACTTACTGGCATAATGGGGAACGTTGGGGGCGCCATGGAAAAGATCATTGATACCATGTCCACAGAATGTTCGAACAACAGAGAATCCGTTCTGCTTTGCATGGTCTTCTATCACTTTGCCGAAGTCGCGGTATCTCACGCCAGGTTTAGCTATGATGGGTGGGATTTTTCATTAAAACTGCTTTGTCCCACAATGGTTTTTTTTTTTTTTCAATCCACGTCAGGTCCACCTACCCATATCAATGGCCTTTTGCAGACATTCACGAGCAGTGTCAACCAGTTTTCGACCCTTTTCGTCGACGTCACCAACCAAATACGTTGCATTCAAATCTCCATGGTATCCCTCGAAGAAGCAAGAGATGTCAAGGTTGACGATATCGCCTTCTTTCAAAGGTCGCTGATCAGGAATACCGTGGCAGATAACTTCATTGACAGATGTACAGCAGGACTTGGGGAAGTTGTAATAGTTCAAGGGAGACGGATATGCTCCACGCTCGATAGTTGCTTCGTGGACAATTCGGTCTAAGTAGCAGCATTAGTAGTGTTGTTTTAATCCGCGTTCTGATAACCTGGTTTTGCGCTCTACTTACCTATTTCGTCTGTGGTGATGCCAGGTCGTACAGCAGCAGCACCGGCATCCAAAACTTCTCGGGTTATCTGGTTAAATTAGATGAATTAGGGATGAATTGTCATACAACGGGCAAATTTTAAAGCGACTGATTGCAAATAATTACCTGGCACACTTTTCTCATCTTCACTATTTCCTCTGGGCTCAAAGATCGGATAACGGAGCTACCTCGTACGCGCTGCTCAGAGACGGGAATGCCTTGGTGAAGAAAATGTTAAGGGACGGAACCATTTAAACCATTGCTTATGCGTAAGATCGTAACTAACCAGTTTCCGAGTAGTCGGCTTAGAGAGAAAACGACGATTAGTAATAGAGTAAGTGAAGGAATTTTCAAGCATCATAACACCTACGTCTTTGGATGTTTTCTGGTACATGTCGCTTTGGTGAGAGAGGATAGCGAGCTCTCAAAGCACCAGTGTATCGATAGTTCTTGAAAGGGTCATGTGGAGCTGCATATCCGAGAAAGTGTAAAAATTAGCACTGCGACTAGATCGATCAACCGCATAGCCATGGCGTTGACTTACCGACTTCTTTAGCCTTATGTTTCGTCTTGTGTGTAGCCTACATGAATCAGAGTGGTGAGCAGCTGAACATTGCGTCATGACTTCGAGACATATTTTCGATCATGGAGGTGCTTACCCAGTTTGATTTAAAGCATTCCTGGGAACAGAAGAATGAACCGGAAATGCCTTGCTTCAAGCAAGTTGGACATTGCAACTTAGCGGGCTTGCCGCAGTCAGGAGATATGCAAGTTTGACCAGCTACGTCGGATGACATTGATTCGTTACGGATTGGTGTTCAATGTTGAGACCGCCACGGAAATTGTCCCTGTTTGAAATTTTGGAACCGTTTTTTTCGGGACAGGCTTTTTTTTCTCCTCTTTATTGGCTGGCTCGTCTTGTTAGAAGAATCTATGGTATGAAGCGATTAGCTCTCAATGTAGCATTAGGACAAATTCTGTCCTTGTGCTTGACATTAACCAACACATCCACCTCATTACTGTGGTTATACTACAATGTCAATGTACCGCCATTACAAAATCTGCTGAACTATGTTATGCTCTTCTCTGTTTATACCACTGTCCATATCCATAAACATGGCCGAGACGCATGGAAGCTCATGATACGAGAAAGAGCTTGGAAATGTAAGAATTGAACTTGAAATACAAATGAACTGCTCTAAAGTGTTCTAATCCTCGTCTTGGCTATAAAGATATTCTATTTGCCATGGCCGATCTTCAAGGTCAGTTGGTGCGCTCACCTGTTTGCCTGCAGCTGCGGTCAATGAATTTTTTTTTTAACTCATTGTTTTCCAATCAGGCAATCTATTTGTGCTTTACGCTTTTAGAAATACCTCCATCTTATCTGCCATCGTCCTGCTTTCATGGACCGTTCCATGCGTTGTTATATTATCGGTGTTATTTACAAACACCCGCTACTCTGCTATGCAATACGCTGGTGTCTCCATCTGCATGACTGGCCTCGCTGTGCTAATATATGGCGATTACGTTAACAATAGACTTGAAACAGGTACAAACGATGTTTATGATGTTTCTGCTTCATATGCATTATGATGCTGACATTCAGAAACTCTAATAGATAATCATAGTTGGATTGGCGATTTATCCTGCGTAAGTAACTCGTATTTAATGGTGCAACAGAAGCAGTCGCATTGTATTGATTTTTTTTTGTCGCTCATGCAGCTACTTGGAGCTACACTATATGCTATTGCCAACCTCCTTGAGGAGCACCTTGTACTAGAAAGTCCTATAGAGGAGGTGTTGGGTCAGTTGGGCATGTGGGGCACGCTCATGTGTGGTCTTGAAGTGTAAGTAGCCTTCGCGATTGTGTACAATTTAGGTCTTTTTCTAATTCAAGAACAGTGTACTATGGGAACGAAAGGCGGTGGCGCTGATTCCTTGGTCTTGGAATATAGGTAATAGCACCTGGTTATATAGCATAGCTTACAGCAGCATGATTCTAACACTTTTTCTGCAGTTGGGCTTATGCTCTGCTACAATTTTGCACTCTTTACTATGAGCAGTCTAGTTCCCATTTTGCTACAGATCTCGTCCGCGACCTTTTTAAATCTCAGCCTACTAACCAGCAACTTCTTTTCGCTTGTCGTTGGTCTGGCGTTGTTTAATATTTCCGTAAGTTGGTGTTAAATGTCAATCACCTCACTCCCGTTTTGCTAATATGGCCGTTGTAGATAATACCTGAATACCCTATTTCCTTTACATTGGCTATTATAGGTATCACGACCTTCAATTTACATTCGACTAATCCAGTCATCCATCTAGATCATCATCGATTATACCACTCTATTACTCATGATAACTGATCGCTCCTCCATTATTTGCATTAAACAATTTTACGATATGGCACAAATTAGATGTATATATACATGTTTGTTAAATTAAATTTAGGTGGCTATGAAAGCCGCCGCTGTCTTTAGCTGCATGTCGTCATGAATCTTGGTGGGAAACCTTGCGTCATCCTCTTCGTACACTGCCAAGCATTAATGTTAGCAGCTATGAATGCATTGCAGCCGTCCTAAGTCAACGTAGATACTTACCACTCATATTGGAAGCCGGATGGCTATTTGGCGTCTGTGCCCATACTGTTTGTGAAACAGCAAACGAATCATCCTAGATAGCATGTAGATGGTTAAAGACGGATCTTCCAATCCGCAAACTCGGGTAACTTACGTCTAAAAATGGGGTATCCTCTTTTAATAGTTTAAGCTTGGATCTATTCAATTTGAGCTTGATGAGTTCATCGAAAAACAGGACCTCATACTCTCGAGGCGATCTTGTCAGGCGATCAGTGATGAACTGGGTGAACATTTGTGAGTTGACAAATTGGGAGAGGTAATCCTGGTAAACAGAGTCAGCTAAACATCAGATCGATGTAATTCATCAATATTGCAAACTGGCCCTACCCTAGTATCTCTATCGCATCCTTTAAGGAAACGCTCCTTTGAAAAAAAGCGAGGCTGCCTGGTAGGATCAGATGATTGCTGTTCGTCCGGAGGGAATGCGGCATCAGACTGAGCTAACGGCGCATTTCCGTTCAGCTCTTCAATACTATAGGCGAATCCGGCTCTGTAGTTCCAAAGCAGTGACGAATAGGTGCGCAAGAAGGCACATACGATCTGCTGTTCGTCGAAGCAGGTTGGGATACAAGGATGAAGAATTTGGTTTGTACACCCTTCATGTGTGATGAGTTTGCATTCTAGTAACGCATTACCTTCATTAGAAATTGTCTCCTCATATCGCTATCGGGTCGCAAAAATTTACCTGTGCAGCTCATAAACATCATTCGTGGTGATAGCGGGTCAGACTCTCTTCCCCGGCTTACATCGCTTTTCATATCTCGACTTATCTCTTTTCCGCAAATGCAGCGATATCCCACATAATCCGTCAGCTCATTGTTGAAAATTTCCAACATACAGTGTCCTTCTACCCATGTACATCGTCTTCTATAGCTGTTTGTATTTTCGATGGAGTTGTCTAACATGGTAGGAGGAAAACTTGCGCGTCCGGGGCCGACATTAAAAGATGAAACGAGTGCTAGGTTTTGCTGCTGAGTTGAATTACGTGCTGTATCGTAGTCCTACGAAACGAATTTTTATAAAGTGAGAAAAAAGAAACCAAATTACATTCATGTAATATCATCCACTCACTTGAAAAGCTGCTTTGGGCTTTGGCATAAGAGCTGACAATCTATTTTTGAGCTTAGACTAGGTTGCAGGTTAGTTTATGAAAATTTGAACAATGGGGAATGCCCTTCCTTCTAGTCCTCCATGTCCCTTACCTCTCTCTTCTCTGTATCACTTGTGCTCCCAGATGTAATGCCACTCGAAGTCATATCGCTATCATCCATGCCAAGGACCCCATTCCTGCTACTTATGGAAGAACTATTGGAGTGTCCGCCTTGTGCTCGATTTCCTTGCCCATTGGCTGATTCAGTTGCAGCGGTTGTGGCTGACATATTCGAAAAGTAGCTACTCATGATGGTTGTTCCAGGAGAAGGAGGCAACATAGGTCTGGAATGCAAACCACTATAGGATTGGGCACGACTGAGTGGCGGTGTGGATGGTGTGGGTGCTGTGACTTGTGCTATGACAGCCGATCCTGGTCGTTGTGGTAACATCGCTGCGGTAATATCGACCTCTGATGACCCTGTAGGGAACTTGCTCAAAGATCCAACACTCTGATTACCAGTAAGATACTCAGATAATGGCCGTGAAAATATGCCACTACCTTGCCCATACGTATGGTTATCTGCAATGTTATCGTATCGAGGTCTCCTTTGTTCTAGAGGCAGCATGGTTTTGGATCGCCCATTTGAAAGAGGCAGTCGTCCATTTGGATATGCTTCTCGAACAGGCAAAGGAATACCATAAGGTATTTTGAATCTAGTGTGCAACGCTGCAAATTCCTCAAATCCACTTAAAAGTTTCCTTCTCTGTCGCACAGGTATAGATGGAGGCGGAATCATTTGGTGAATTGTATTAGTGTCCAAATTGATCACGCACGTCTGGTAGAGTAGCATTGTGAGTTAACATAACCAATGTGCATCAAAAAACAAGACACAGGACCTACATCTTCTGGTATATCTTCACCAATTTCATCCATGGATCCATTAAATCCTATTATATATGGCACAGGTGCCTTTTTCAAATGGGTTGATCAATATTGCCCGGCCCAGAATCGATAGATCTTGCTCATGTTACTGACAAAAGATCAGACCACTGACTTACCTGTAGACATGTTATCAGTCTCTTGGGTAGTACTGGTATATACACAAATTGCCAATAGAAGGGATAGAGTAGGTATTGTACCGATTCTCCAGCTATAGCAAGCATACCAATCTTCTTACTGAGGAACAGCACCTTGCCCTCGCTTAGTAAAACCTATACGCAATAGAGGCTAAATTAATGCAGGGCCTTAAATGTCCTATCACTTGCTCTGCACCTTACCTCTATAATAGCTAATATAATATTTGGTGACAAGCATCGAAACAACGGATATAACGAAAACTGTCGGGGGTATCAAACATAAGTACGAGTATAACCTGCCAACCTGTTACTTTCTGGGTTTATCACTTACGTTTTTTAAAATGGGGATATCGTTGAAACTTGGCCGGTTAAGGTAAAGGATGCGCTCATTGATCGTGATACCGATTTCGTAAATACCACGAGGAGGTATACGCAATTCATGGATCAAGTTATAGATGGCACTGCAGGCATGGTTGTCAGTATATCTTTCGACTGTTGCCATCCATCTCCTCCAGATACTACCTACTTTTCTAGGCTAAATTTCTTTGCCTGCGGGTTACGCTTTCCTTTGACTCCTATAATGGCATCCACTACAATCCTGATCCAATCGCTCATCAGCTCAAACCAAGGGAGCTGGGTAATTACTCCAACTGATTTTGGAATCCAGCATTCCTCAGGTTTAAAATTTGCCAATTTCACAGGCTCTAAAAGTTCCCTATAAAGAAGAATTTTCTCTTGAGTCACTCTCAGCAATTCCTCCACTTCGTCTCGTTCCTCTTGTATCCACGATGTCGTTTGCAAATGTGCCAACTGAATCTGCCTTTGTCTATGTTCTTTAAGTTGATCCAGCTCTACGTCAATCTTTTCCTTCAAATGCTGTGCATATTCACGTGTACTAGATGACTTCAGGAATGCTTTCAACACGCTAATACTTTACGTTTGCATAAATTCTTTGCCGTCTATTACATACCATATTGCCCTTTACCCAATTTGCGACACATGCCTTTATGTCTTCGTAAAGGGATTTGGGTAAGCGCTCATAGAAAGTCACGCAAGTCCCATACTTCTTATTTCCGTCTTCGTCGGTGGTAGACTGTCATGATATGCACATACGTAAATTATATTGAACGACTTCAATCATGATGATCGTCTCGCTTGGAACTTACAAAAGAATGTACAGTCTCGGGAGGAGGGCTGGAGCCGTAATGAAACGTTATATCATTGGGGAAGCAGAACTATGCAACCAATTTCATTAGTTTATATCACAGGAAGTCAATCGGTCGGCGATCAAGATGTTGTAACGCGGTCTTACCATTGGGGTATGTGATGGAAATGGATCTAATGGCGAATGATCTGCTTTAGGGTAGCGTAATAAAACTGCAGGAGGGAAGGTTGTTTCGAATATATTGGGCACCTTATCCTTCTCCGCATGATCTATGGGTGGCGACATGGTTGTCTCCTCTAATAAGATGTTCAGTCACTATGTTCGTGGGAAAGCTAAACGGCCACCATGATGAAATTACCATTACCGGAAACAGAGTGGCGATCATTGGATAGCGACCTACGATCGGTATCATTGATAGACGGGCGATCCAACGCACTGATTGATTTACTTGACGGTCTAGACGTGGCAGAGCTCATTCTTCGTGTGCCGGATTTCAATACGGCGTTGGTGGCCGATGCGACACTCTTACGCCGGCTGGGACTAGGTTGACCGGTGCCGTCCCATACAGCAATGACGGTATCCCGAGCCATATCTCTATCCTTATCAAAGTTTTGAATGACTGTGGCGACGTGGTCGAGCATGGTATTGTCTAAAGTTGCTACACCTTGCGTCTGTTCTTTGGGCTCCGCTGCATTCACGTTAAAGTAGGATTCATTGGAGATGGATCCACCTGAAGATCTGGCAGCTTCATATTTAGTTATAATGTCCTTGTCTTGAATGCCGACTACAAAAAAGTAGTCTGCCAAGCGCAATGGTGGAACATTTGAAGTCATTAGGAGAACGAAGAGGTTTCTACCCAACCCATCAATTTACTCGAAGAGGAAATCATTTGTCCATGACTTCATGACCTCATCAAAAGTCACCAAATTTAAGTTGGTCTGTAATGGCTCGTTTTTCTGCTTTTGTACCAACTGTCTTTACCGCAAGGGAGTCCTTGGCCGCTATCGAAATATTTCTACGCTGAAACAAACTCTTGCTTTACCTTCAACTTTGTCCATAACATAAGTAAGCGCTTTTGTGCTCGTTCTGACCCTTCGAAGTAATGTATGAGATTTTATTAAGGCTATAGGCAACCGATGTGCGCCTATAATTATGGGACCATTCTCGTTTCGGAAACTTCATGTTGTCTATGTGGTGAATGGGATCATCTGATTTACCTATTGAAAGCTGTGAGGTTAGGGAAAAAAGTCAATACGGTATGTCAGGAAGATCGAAATAGCCAGATGGGAAGTAGCAAAGATATAATGAAAAGAACCGTATTATGCGCAAGTTATTAGATGGTCGTCTCATGATTGCTAAACATAAAGAAAATTGGGTAAAAATCTATCCAGTTGCAAACTTTCTATGCTCAAACGTTCTTGGACGAACTCTGAATTATGCTTTGCTTGTGTGAGCCATCCCCAAAGGAATACCATGTGTACGAGTTTACCTTAATAGCACTCCATTTAAGCTAGTTTCATTCATCTTGTCGCGCTTGTGAATGCCGTGCGTTGCGATATATCCGCAAATTTACCTCCTCCGCGGCAAACTTTACTGAATCCAACCATTCTTCTTTGGGCGGTGCTGTGTTGACGACTAATATCGTCTCAAGCCATAGCCACCGCCTGGGATCTTTCCTCATAATAAAGAGCCTTGAATATAAAGTATACATGTCGCTTATGCTCGCAAGTAAATATGTTTCAATTATGATGGATGAGTGAGGAGGTTTCTGATGTTCTTTTCACAGAAAGATATAATAAATCATTCAGGTCTATGGTAGTGATGCATACTGCATTGATCTACTTGGAGCGATGAGACAGCAGAAAAATCCCTTGCGAATTTTCTGCAGTTCGAATAGAAGGCTGAGACTACTTGACTTGTGGCATTTCATTCATAGCCTATAAGCATAGAGAAAATGCAAACAAGAAATGGCAATGGCGAAACACTTTCAAAAGTATTGCAAAATGTCAAACCATGCGACACCTAAAAAAACGCCACCGAAGGTACACATTACAAATGGATGAGCTTCTATTTGCCTTGAATTATGCGAAGAGGTTGGACAAAAATCAGCAGGCGCCGAGCGTACCACTCAATCCACAAACAAGCGAAAAAAAAAAACTGTGCAGCATTGATTCCATCATGATGATGTTGCACATTGATTTTAATCAATGAATATAAAAAAGCTGATTCCTCTCGTAGGCTTTTAGGCTATATTTTCGGAACAAAAAATTTCAGAATGTCAAGAAAGTGTGCAGTAATCTTTGGTGCCAACGGTATTAGTGGTATCGCCATGACAAAGGCACTACTAGCCAGTGACGAATGGGGTCCAATCATATGTGTTTCCCGCAGACCACCGCAGCTAGAGGAAGCCGCCAACGACAGCAGAATTCAATTTGTGTCCATTGACATGGTAAAGTCTTCTGCGGACGATTTGGCAAGCAAGCTTTCTGCAGCCGGAGCAGCCGTTGCTCAGCACGCCTTTTTCTATACATACATTGAGAAACAAGATTTTAAGGAAATGAACGATGTCAACCTCATGCTGTTGGAAAAAGCATTACATGCATTGGGTCTTGTTTCGCCAAAACTCAAGTCTTTCATGCTACAGACGGGAGCCAAGGTATTTTCATGCACGTCGTATAATTCGAATACCAATTTTTAACGCTTTTACTGCCTCCAGTACTATGGCTGCCATGTGGGTGGAGCCGAAATGGTCCGAGACCTCCCTTGGAAGGAAGATGCTCCTAGACTCTGCAAATCATGTTTTTATTATGACCAAGAGGATCTTTTGCATACTTATGCCGCAAACAAAAGCTGGAGGTACCTCATTACTCGACCCAATGTCATCTTGGGAGTATCCAAAGTTAAGGTAAAATTATTCACTAGAACAAACTGATTTTAACGCTCTGCAAAATTTGTAGGAAACTACATGAATTTTGCGGTCTCCATTGCTTTGTATGCAAGCTTGCAAAAGAATCTTAAAAGGGATTTCATCTGGCCTGGTAACGAAATCGAGTACACCACTCACTTTGACCATTCTACCGCCGACAACAACAGTAGATTCCAACTCTACATAAGCGTGAACGATAAAGTTCCCAGTGGTGCTTACAATATCAAAGACAATGACAAAACAACATTTTCTGAGCTTTGGCCAAAGATTGCAGAGTAAGGATAGGAGAGAAGTGCTGTCCTGGTAATTAGATATCGTAATTTTGAGCATGCAAGTCTTTCTTCAGATATTTTGGACTTAGCATCCCTGACCCTCACTTCAAGGATGAGAAAGCGAAGCACCCCAAGGAACAATCCATGTACTGTCAAATGCCTTTGACAAAGTACGCTCCTGAAAATAAGGAAAAATGGCACGAAATTGCTAAGAAGCATAACTTGGATCCATCTGCTTATGATTATGGTAAGCCTTCTTTTAAAGCAACAGCCTTGGATGGCATTTATTGACGTCAAACTGATATTTTTTATTGTAAAGCAACATGGGAGTTTGTTGGTATGTAATTAGCATGACTGGGATATCAGCATCAACCTCGCACTAATACTACCGTTGACAGATGGTACCGCTGGCCGAACTTGGCCAGATTACCTTTCCATGGAAAAAGCCAGGCAATATGGCTGGAAAGAAGAACGAGACACATTAAAGAGCTACTATGAAGTATTCGATGAACTGAAGAAGATGAAGATCATTCCAGAGTAGTCATCCAGCCAGAACCGTTTTTCGTAAACTATGTTTATATCCCAAAAAAAAAAAAAAAAATGCCAACAGTCAGCAATTTGTTCTAAATTATATCCTTGCTTTGGCAAAGACTAGTAAGAACATATCGCCTCCATCCAAGGCTTCCTAAGCAGCTCCAATGGTAACCTATCCAGCAAGGTCCAACAATGCGTACGAGGACCTTAACAGTGTTCCATTTAAGCTAGTTTCACTTAACTTACCGCGTAGCTGAATGACGCACGCTGCGATATATACACAAATTTACCTTCTTTTCGACAGCATACTTTACTGAAGCCAACCACTCCTCTAGGGCGGTGCTGTGTTGATGAATAATATTGTTTCCAGTTATAGACGCTACCTGGATCTTTTCTTAAAATGCACAGCGCTAAGCTTGTTGGGTTGATCAGTAAGGGGATTCTGGTGTCCTTTTTCACAAAAGAGACACAGTGAATAAGGTCTATAGCTAGTACTGATGAATTAATTCTATATGAAGCGATAAGACAACCCAAAAAAATCCTTTTTTTTTAAAAAATTTGCTGCATGCCAAATAGACTGAAGCTGCTTAACTTGTGGCATTTCCATTCATAGCCTATAAGAATAAAGAAAGCTCGAACAAGAAATTCCGATGGCGAAACACTTTCAAAAGTATTGCAACATGTCAAGCTATGCGACACCTAAACACGCCGCCGAAGGTACATGATGAGCTTTCTATTTCCTTTGTATCATGCAAGAGGTTGGCCAAAAATTGGATGTGCCGAGCCTCCAACTTAATCCGCAAACAAGCGATTTTTTTATACATAAAAAAAAAATAACATTTGTGCCAGACCTCGAGCGGCATTGGTTGCCACCACGATGATGTTGCACCTTGATTTTTAATCAATGAATATAAAATACGGATGCTTTCGTGGGCTTTTAGAATTTATTTTCGGAACAAAATTTCAGAATGTCAAAAAAGTGTGCAGTAATCTTTGGTGCCAATGGTATTAGTGGTATCGCCATGACGAAGGTTCTACTAGCCAGTAACGAATGGGGTCCAATCATCTGCGTTTCCCGCAGACCACCGCAGCTAGAGGAAGCCGCCAACGACAGCAGAATTCACTTTGTGTCCATTGACATGGTACAATCTTCTGCGGACGATTTGGCAAGCAAGCTTTCTGCAGCCGGAGCAGCCGTTGCTCAGCACGCCTTTTTCTATGCATACGTTGAGAAACAAGACTTCAATGAATTGAACGATATCAACAACATGCTGTTGGAAAAAGCATTACATGCATTGGGTCTTGTTTCGCCAAAACTCAAGTCTTTCATGCTACAGACGGGATCCAAGGTATTTTCATGCGCGCCATTTAATTGGGCCAGTACTTTTAACGTTGTTACTGCCTTCAGTATTATGGCTGCCATTTAGGTGGAGCCGAAATGGTCCAAGACTATCCTTGGAAAGAAGATGCTCCTAGACTTTGTAAGAGATACTTCCATTACGACCAAGAAGATTTTCTGCAGACTTATGCCACAAACAAAAATTGGAGGTACCTCATTACTCGACCCAATGTCATCTTGGGAGTATCCAAAGGTAAGGTGAATTCATTCAGTAGAACGAACTGATTTTAACGCTTTACAAATTTGTAGGCAACTACATGAATTTTGCGGTCTCCATTGCTTTGTATGCAAGCTTGCAAAAGAATCTTAAAAGGGATTTCATCTGGCCTGGTAACGAAATCGAGTACACCACTCACTTTGACCATTCTACCGCCGACAACAACAGTAGATTCCAACTCTACATAAGCGTGAACGATAAAGTTCCCAGTGGTGCTTACAATATCAAAGACAATGACAAAACAACATTTTCTGAGCTTTGGCCAAAGATTGCAGAGTAAGGAGATGACGGAAGTGCTGTTCCCGTAATTAGATATCGTAATTTTGAGCATGCAAGTCTTTCTTTAGATATTTTGGACTTAGCATCCCTGACCCTCACTTCAAGGATGAGAAAGCGAAGCATCCCAAAGAACAGTCCACGTACTGTCAAATGCCGTTAACGAAATACGCTTTTGAAAATAAGGAACAATGGCACGAAATTGCTAAGAAGCATAACTTGGATCCATCTGCTTATGATTACGGTAAGCATTGTTTGGAAGCAGCAGCATTGGATGGCATTTATTGACGTCAAACTGATATTTTTTATTTGTAAAGCAACATGGGAGTTTGTTGGTATGTTATTGGGCTGAGTATGGGAAATTAGGCATCGGCCCCCGCACTAATACGTCTGCCAACAGATGGTGTCACTGGCCGAACTTGGCCAGATTACCTTTCCATGGAAAAGGCCAGGCAATATGGCTGGAAAGAAGAACTAGACACAATACAGAGCTACTATGAAGTATTTGATGAACTGAAGAAGATGAAGATCATTCCAGAGTAGCTATCCAGCCAGTTTTTTTTTTTTTGCGTAAACTACGAAGAAAAAAAAAAAGCGATATGCCAATAGTCAGCGATTTTTGCAATAAAACTCTAAATTTGGCCTTGCCAGTCAATTTTCATTTTCCTCCTTGTTGACGCACAAATAACAATAGCAATGCCTGACAACCTGTTACTCGACAATGGCCAAGGAGTGATCGATCCCGATACTTACTTTGAAACAAACAGTCCTCCTTCAAATCTGAATGAATATGACGAAAAGACATCTGAATTTGTAAAGTACCACGGTGCTCGAGGCACGCCAGTTGTACTCATCACCGTAAGCTGCAACACTTTCTCTTTGTTTTAATATGTAGTCTACATTGCTCTCACTCACCCGCCTTGGAACTTGTATTTTCTAGAGTGGTGGTACTATGGTTCCACTAGAAAACCAGACTGTGCGGTTTATTGACAACTTCAGTGCCGGAACGCGCGGGGCTGTCTCAGCGGAAAAGTTTCTAGAGAATGGCTATGCTGTGATTTTCATGCACCGTCAGTTCAGTCTTCAACCCTACAGTAGACACTATACACACTCAGCAAACGGTTTTCTGGATTACATGACCTTGAATGAAGAGGGTAAAATCGAAGGTAAGTTTGGATACTTTTTATATGGTTTAAGATGAGTGTGAGAAACTGACATGTTTCCCATTCTGACAGTTGACGCAAAATACGCACCTTCCATGACCGAAACTTTAGTGAAATACAACAAAGCGCGCAACAACAACATGCTGCTTTTGGTCGACTTCGTTACTCTTAGTGATTACTTGTTCAAATTGAAGAGCTTTACCAGGATAATGGCTACGCTAGGTCGAAGTGCCATGTATTATCTTGCAGCAGCCGTGAGCGACTTCTTTATTCCCGTTGAAAAGATGGTAATTATACGCAGAGAGTTAATACTGTTGAGAAATAATGTGCCCAAACTGACTGACACTCATAGGCCGAGCACAAGATCCAGTCAAGAGACGGAGCATTGACATTGACTTTAGACCAAGTTCCCAAATTTCTCAAGCCTTTGGTTAGCGTATGGGCGAGTAATGGCCTGATTGTGTCGTTCAAGGTTAGTGACATCGTAAATTGGATTATGACAGTGTGTAGGGTGGAGCTAACTTTCATGCAAAACTCCTTTAGTTGGAGACAGATGGAAACTTGTTGGTACCAAAGGCTAGACAAGCGTTAGAGAAATACGGACATCAAATTGTCATTGGCAATATGCTCTCCACTCGCAAAAAGACAGTGACCTTCATTACACAGGACTCAGAACGTGTCATGTCATTGGATCAAGAAGAGTTGGATAAGGATGTTGAAATTGAGAGCAAGATTGTACCGGAATTAATTAGATACCATAGAGCATGGATAAACCATGGAACATTAGATGTATAATGATCACTTTTTTATTTTGAAGTTACTAACATATTAAATAAGGCTATTCCTTGAAGATGAATGCATCCGCGTCCATGTTTTTTCGGCCTCCGTAAAAATAAGTGCCAGAAAAACGGCGTTTGAATTTTGGACGCTGGGCTCGCCAAAAAGTCTGTCCTTTGTCATGTCGAAATTGGTGGCAAAGTCATTGCAAGGATTTAATGTAGTCACCGTACAAGGTCGACATTACCGAGTGGCCGCTGCCTCGATGGACTACCAAGGGGATCGCGCACCTGCTAGTAAACCAGGTATGCTTTTGTGAATATAGTAGATTTCGTTGCAGCAAGCTAATTCATCGTGGTACTTGCAGAGAAACGACATCCCGAAAGCCAAGTGGAAGACGACACTGAACTACATACCTGGGTTGAGCACCCAGTGTCCCGATCGATGCATGGGTACATCATAGGTGATACATCGTTACGACAGAAGCAAAAATTTCATCGGAGGCGTCTGACATTTTTTTTTCATCTCCTCATAGGCAAAGGAGGCAGTACACTGAAGCGCTTGAAACATGAAACCGGCACTCGTATTGATGTTGTCAAAGGAGAGGATTTTGTCAAGATCAAAGGCACAGATGAAAACATCGAACAAGCGCGACAAGCCATCGACGCATTGGTAAAAGAGGTACAACTTTCTTTTCGTCTACATGCATTCACCATACTACACTTTCTGACTTGAATGCAGTCTATTGACAAAGCACAAGCGACCCACTTCTTAGCTTTCCCGATCCAGTCGCCATTAGTCTCACGCAGGCTGGAAGAGTTTTACAAAATACTAGGATCACCCAGTTTCAAAGAAGATGGTATCACGCCAGAATCCATAGCGCCTATACCGTCATTGCACATCACCCTTGGCGTCATGAAATTAATGGGACAAAGTGAAATTGAAGCGGCAGTGAGGTTTCTAAAGGAATCGGCAGCAGAGACGATCAACCAACTGATTGGTGAACGAGGACTGACTGTTCGATTAAAGAAGTTAGATATAATGCAAGGCGAGCCTGGTAAGTTTAATGTCGATCTATTGATGCATAGATGGCGTTCTCATTGTTCTGCTTTTGTATTGACAGCCAAAGCGCGGGTACTATACATTCACATCCAAGATGAATCTGAGAACAAGATATTGAACGAGCTTTGTGGTGAGTAGATGCTATGTAGCTGTGCTGTATGTTGAATAACAAGCTGACCAAGAGCTTTGAAAACAGCAAGTTTACGTAACCAAATGATGGAGGCTGGCTTGTTGGAAAAAGAAAAACGACCATATAAGGTGAGTGAGGCTGTACCATAAGGTAGATGGCGCTATTGCTAACTGCAGGAACCTATTTCTGGTAGATGCATATGACCCTAATCAAGAAAACCGGCACCAAGCCGAAACACCATCATGAAGAAGAGGAAGAAGCTCAGTCGGACAGCCATGGCTGGTTTGATGCTCGGGGTCTTTTGAAAGAGTTTCGAGGCATGGACCTTGGCACAGTGACGTTAGACAGCGTTCATATTATGAAGATGGGACAGAACAAATTAGGACAGTATAAGAGTGAAGGGGCTGTGATGTTGGACAGCGCATTGTAATCTTTATTGATGGGAACCAGCCCTCCCTCATTGTACGTAACTGATTGTTCAAGGGCAACAAGAATAGTCAACATCATTAAACAGCAGATGGTGAAAGGAAAAAAAAAAAAAAAAACCACCAAAGCAAAACTAATCCGTAGGCTCATGCTTAATATCTGATCCAGAGGACGAAGAATCGGAAGATGATAAAGACGGTGAAAAGGCTGGGTTTGGTCGAGATAATACAGGAGCAGAGTTTTGTTGTGGAGGGATGTGTTTAGCAAAGGTTGTATTAATGGGCGGTAAAAACGGTTTGTTCGATCTGGAATCATGCAGGGAATTGGCGCGGTTCAGCTGTCGGCCTTTTTGGATTTTAGCTTTCAAGGCTTCCATGACTTGATCATGAGAAGGAGTTGGACGATTAACTCCATGGGTATCAAAGTGATTAGCACGCGAGCGTTTACGAGGACTAGAGGTTTCAGGGGAGATGGGCGATAGTTGTTGTTGATGTGTAGCGGTGGGAATGCTATGAGGAGATAAATGCTGTTGGATGGGTGGTAAAATAGTAGGTGAAGAGTGCATGGATGAAGGTGTTGCGTAAGTCTCTGATTCTTTGCCAGTAATACGAGCAAGCAATTGTTGCTGTAATGGCACTAAGGTCGGCTCTGTCCGATGTTGTCGACTTTGCTCTCTAGCAAGTTCTAAGTCCAAGTACTTTAGCTGTATCCTGGCTTGCTCCACTCTTAAAGTTTCTTCTGCAGCTCGTTTCTAAATCTCTCGAGTGTTAGATGAATATGAATGGGATCATTGGCAAAAGGGTATATAATTTCCCAAACCTTATCTTCCTCAGCTTTGGCTGCCAAGACGTGCTTCATAAGTTCTTTATCATCGCGATACTTGTCCAAGATTTCCTTGATGGAGATGTCTGCATAATTGGCATGAGCGGAGGAAGGCGGTATTGAAGTGGACGGAGCATGCTGGTTGGAGGGCGGCCATGCAAATGAATGCCCTCTTGAATTGGTAGGTGATGACATGTTGTAAGACAGTGCTGCCAACAAAAAAAAAAAAATAGAAAGGAAAGAAGACTGGTCTAACAACTTTCCAAATCCCAAAAATCTGGTTTATAATAAATTGAGAATTTTTATATAAGTTGCCGCTGCGTAATGACAAAAATAAAATTGGAGGTTATGGGACCCAAAGGTTAATAATACTGTAAAATGATACATTGGAAAAGTGGTATAAAATATGATGAAGAACGATCGAAAGAGATATATAATGGAATTATGTATAGATAGTATATGAGAAAAAAAAAAAGGAAGGGGAAGCTTTCAATCTTGCTCTTTGTACAGATGGGATAAACCGTGGAAACTGTGCCATCTGTTTAAGGATGGTTTGCCTGGATCATTCATATCGTAAAATGATGGCGGTGTATAAGTAGATCGTTGTGAAACAGGGGAAATAGATGGTGGTGGGGTTGGAATTCCGCCGTTCATTGGGAAGAACGGGGCAGCACTATAAGATAGTCGTTGGGTGGGTATGGGGTCTTCTTCTTCAGTGGACATCGATACCGGACTGGCATTGACACTGGTTCGATGATGGTGAACATACTGCATGGTCAAACTTGGGTTCGACGCCATGCGGGGCATCTTTCTAGTGTTACCGCTAATTTGCAGTTGTTGCTGCGTTTGTTCCACTAAGCCATCCATCGACATAGCTTTGGGTCGATAGCGTGGATTATCGTAGAGTTTGCCACCCTGTCGGAACTCTTGATCCATCATATTGAGTTTCAATAGATGATCTCCATACCGTTGAAGTTCAGGTATCGATATACTCAAACTGAACTTGTTGATGACTAGAAACTCCAGTTCAAGGCTATTCAGTTCCGAAACAGGTAAGCCACCCACCTTGGCATAGCGGGAGTTGGTATAAAACACATCGTCAAAATATTTACTGGCGACGGTGATACCAGCAATAATCAGCCGATGAATATTATAACTATCAATTTTAAACGGTTTGCCAGTCAGACTGAGAGTATTTTTGCTCATTCGATCAAAGTAGACCAACAAGCTTAAGAAACTTTCGTTCTGACAAGGGCAATATTTGGCTATTCGCGTAAGATACGACTGGATATCAACGGAGGGTATCGACCGGGCATGAAACCTAGTATAGTTGGACCGTCGTGGGCTGTTGCTTAGTTGATCATTAGCTCGAGTCATGCGTTCAAGTAAAAAAGCCAAAGCTTTGATAGTTTCTGCTGTGGGGTATTGTGCAAGGTCGAACGTCGTCGTTGACCGCATGATGCATTGACGAATGGGATGATGTGTGTGTGTGGGTACAACAAGGGCCAACCCAGCAATTGCAAAATTCCCAATTTCCAAAGCAGTGACTGCTGCGAGAAAATGACCCCCATACAGAAGACCATGCTTTGGAGCCACCCTTTCCTTACTATTAATTCATTATGACTATCGTCATGAAAGGTGACGATAGTTAAGGTACAGATTCATTTTATGCAAAATGCATTGGAACAAAGCTATATTAGAAAGGACAGATTGTATTGTAAGTTTAGTATAAATTATATCTTCACACTTTCCTGGCTACCACCCAAACAAGTATGTGGTGCTTAATGAACAGATTGTGTAAATCGCTACTTTGCTCTTTTCTTTTATGCGTTTCAACCGTCTTCATTACTACAATATGCATCATAGCCGGTGGCTGTAGCCCAATTCAGCATTTGTTACGGTCACACTGGACAACCCGCTTCGTCCGTATTCCAAATTAGATGACATCCGGAAGCTATCAGTAAATATTGACATGGTATCTATAGAAGTCATCTTTCAATAGAAGTCGTCTCGTTCAGTTCAAGCGTATAAGCAGCGATTTCAGTGATGACGTCTTTTGGCAACCAGAGTCTCTTTGGGATTGGGGAATTCCCAGTCAGCCAGCCAGAATTTTTTTTTTTTTTTTTCGTGAGGTCGCCTTACCGCAGAGATTCAGATCGTTCCTGCATTGAGACCCCAATTTTTCGTCCTTTCGGCATGTTTGGAAACTTCTCTTCAAGTCAACCAGCTGCCTCCACACCGTTGTTTGGAGGAGCTAACACTGCCTCATCACCCTTTGGCTCAACGCAATCCACTACTACCACCAATGCTCCGTTGTTTGGAGCATCCGCTTCCACAACACCAACGCCTGCATCTAATTCAATGTTTGGAGCTACTCCTGCAGCAACCACCACCACAACCGCACCACTCTTTGGAAACGCGTCGACCGGCGCAGCGTCAGCAGCTACATTTGGTAGCAGTTTGACGGTTCCAACCAACTCCCCATTTGGTTCCACCGCGTCTGGTCTCAATACCAGTGGCACTACTTCTTCACCCTTTGGCGCCGCTTCTAAGCCTACCACCAGCACACCGTTGTTTGGTGCAGCAAATACCACAACACCTGCCACATCTGGATTTTCTTTTGGTGGCGCAGCTGCATCAACCGCTACAACTACACCCTCCCTTTCATCGTTCAGTGCAGCTCCCGCAGTTGAGGCGAAATCTGCCTTGTCTGACGGCACTGTACCGCATTACACCATTGGTCCTCATTCAATTATGCGACAGACAGCTCCTCCCCCTTCGTCGTCTGCCGGCTTTATGCCAGCCAGCCAAAAGGAAGTCGAAACAAAATTATCCGCATCCGACATCTCGACAAAACCACATACTCCTACGTTCCAGGAAAAGCGAACAGTATTACCAGGATTTTTAACTAGCGTCGGATCATCTCCCAAGTCAGAAATAGTCTCTAAAGTCGGTGGTGATGGAGTGACCAAAAGGTAAAATTAACTGGCATATGCAAACAACCGGTATGTGATCTGAGTTTGTTCATTCATTTTACTTAATCACATAGTACTGGAGCTGCATCAAGCTCAACTTCATCTGGGTTGTTTGGCTCGACAGGTCAAGATTATGGGTACGGAAGTAGAAAGCAAGCATTTGATGCATCCGATGATAATGAAGCTCCTCCAATGCTCTCGATGTGGGAAATTGGTGTTCATCAACCAGCTCCCAATGCATTCCCATCGCGACCACTTGGTATGGGATACTCTTGGAATTCCTTGGCATCCAATAAATTAGGTACTTCGACAAGCGCTCCTACTGGTACTGCTAATGAGATAATGTAAGCTCCATCAACAACGGTCGGCATGTCTTGGTGCATTTCTTGATATTCATTTTACTCCCATTCGTTGATAGGCAAGCTCCCACATCATCCACAATGGCAAGCTTTGGACAAAACTCCTTTGCTTCATCCAATAACGAATACCCATCCACCAGCTATTCCGACTCGGATCAAGCAACCATCAACGTTTGCGGTTTCCCTCCAAGCATGACTTCATATATCTTGGATCACTTTAGACAATATGGTGAAATACTTGATTACCGTAATTCAGGTTCTAACTGGATGACTATCACCTACAGTACACGATTGTCTGCACAAAAGGCCCTCAGTCGAAACGGCAAGATTATCGGAGGCAACTGCATGATTGGTGTCTCCCCTGCAAACCAGCAGAATGTCTTTGGTGCAGTCACATCACCTGAACTCAGCAAAGACGATAAGGCTACCGGTAAACCGCTAGTAGGACGACCGATTCAAGTAGATCGCACTGGGCAAATTTGGCGCCCCAGTGGACTTGGTAGCGGTCGAGCTGGTCCCAGCGCTACAATGGCCAATGGACAAAACCATAATGCTAGTCATGTTGTTGGTGGAGTACTTGCCCATGCTAAGGATGCGTTGTTTGCCTGGTAGAATTAATGAGCCGTCTTACACGGGGTTTTAAATATAATAAACTGAAATGTGATTGGTCCAAATGTTTGAGTCAGACTTGCAAGTGGTAACCAGCCGTCGTTAAGATTGGCTAAAGCGTAGATCGCATCGCTGGAAGACTATAAAAGCCCGGATTCAATGAACTTTTTCGTTTCACTTACAAGCTTTTTCTTAAAAAAAAATTATCTTGTTGAAGAACACCTTGGACTTCTTCCTGGCGTCGACTTGCATTTTGCACCTATTCAATTCGTTCAGTTCTATATAACCAGCCATGTCGGACACCGTCGTATCCCAAGTTCAATTGTTTAAGAGTAAGAACGCACCATGGATAGTTTGCTATCCATTTACAACAAAGCCCCTAACCTGTGCCTGTCCATTTAGATCACTTCATAGCCGGAGCAGTCAGTCTGTCGTTTTCTTACTCATGCATGCACCCTCTCGATACCATTAAGACTCGAATCCAAGCCAATACATCGTCCAGCAGCCTTAGAGCGGTCTTTACTCGAGAGACCGCACGATCTCTCGGAAAGGGATTTTTTGCCAGTGTAGTGGGAGCAGCTGGTCAAGGTGGTGCTCGATTCAGTACCTATGAATACTGCAAGAGCCACTTGCTGCCAAAGAAGGGACAGGCTGCTTCAGTCGGTCAGCTTGGTGTGATTCCTGCCACGGCCCTTTCAGCGGTGATTGGAGATTTAGCGTCAAGCGTGGTCAAAGTTCCTCGCGAAGTGGTTACAGCCAAGTAAGTTGCAATCTGATTGGCTCATAAAAGTAGGAGATAGATTGATAACTGACTGAATTTTGATTTGCCAATAACAGATTACAAACCGACTACTACGCCAATTTCTCACAAAAACCTACCACTGGATTTGTGATTCGCCAAACCTTGCTGGAAGAAGGCCCCCGTGGTCTTTTCAAGGGCTTCTGGGCTATTGCGGCTAGAGACAGTCCGTTCATGGTCATTTTGCTGGTGTCTTACGAAAACTTCAAGGCCCTGCATCATCGATCAGTCAAACGCGATTTGTTGGATCGAGTCAAGCGAAACCACCCTCACGTCGTCGCCACTGCCGCCTTGGAAGATATTGAAATCGACATCCCCACCTTTAAATCTATCATGTTCGGCGGAGTTTCAGGTTTCTTGGCTGGTTATTTCACCACACCTATGGATGTTTTGCGAACCAAAATGATTACCAACAAACGGGTTGCTGGCGTTGCTGCGCCAGTCACCGTCATGCAAACCGCTCGAACTATGTTGGATGCCGCAATGGAAACCAAGTCAACGGTCGGAAAGGTGAAGCGAGTATTTGGCTCCTTCTTCTCCGGTGCTATTCCTCGCTCTTTGTGGTGGTTTGGTATTTGTGGTATTTTCTTCCCTGGCTACGAATCTCTGAAAAGTATCATGGATCCAGTCTCTGATGAAGTCAAAGCTCAACGCCAACGTGAGCAAGAGCGAGTCTTGCGTAGCCTGGTCGAACAGCGATCCATATAGAATTTTATCCCCCTCTACTCATATTTTTTTGTCCTCTTCCGCCATTGTACAGTATTCACACCCCCCTTTTAAGCCATATTGGTTTTTATATAAAAGCACCCCCAGCATCTGATTTTATTAACGCAACATTATCAAGTATTGAGACTACACAAGCATCCTTCGCAACTGTTGTACTACTCATATAATTTCAAACCGCCATTGATTCCCATAGATTATTGTTTCTGAATATGCCTCGAACAATCAAATGACCACAATGGTCCACAGTTTATCTTCGGTAACTGCTTCTATTACCTTGTTCGCCTTGCCCAAGTACTTTACGCAGCCTAAGAATTGTTGAGTAGATGCGGGCATGTATCGTCTTTACCAGCCAGTCCTTTGCTTCATACGCCTTTCTTGATGCACTCGTGAAGCACAATTTTTCTCACATCTGTAACTTATATTGAAGACATGAAATTATCAGTTTGGCACCAAGTATCGCCTTTCAGCAGCAACAAAACAAGCTGTTGCAAGATGTACATTCAGTCTACTAGTTCTCTTTATGGCAATTAATTTACTCTCTCATAATCAATAACATATTGTTGACGCTATTTTGAATACTCATTCATTGATTGAATGAAGGATAGTTTATTTAAGCCATGTGGAAGTAGGAGTTGGTATCGCGTTAAGGCTGTCCTGAATTTTTTGTGCCAACCCCAAGTCACGTGGCCGACGCGCTCTATGCGTTTTGTGAGGGTTTCGTGATTTCGACCCAAATTGGCTATGCGAGTTTGACTTTTACTTCCATTGAATAACGCATCCTGGCCGATACCACTAACACTATCACTGAACCCTTCCGCCTCAGTGGGAATCACATGGCTGAAGAAAAGCCAAGTACCTGCATTGCCGCACAGCTGTGGGTGTCAGACCAAAGGTCTCGCTGGAATGATTTAGGGTCACTCCATTTGGCCGATATTGATTTGATGTTGGATAAACAGCTTCAATGGATATCTGACCACTCCAATATCGAGTAAGTTCCGTATTCACAACCTTTGACTGATCGATTGTGTGCATAGCCCTTACGCTCTGATTCAAACATTACCTTTAGATCTCTCTTGAAACTTGTACCGTCGAAAACCGACTCGATTTCACCAAACGTAACGACGTTATCTCAGCCCCTTGCGCCTGAATATACCCAGAATGTGGATTGTACAACAGAGAAGGAAGAGAAACATACTTCACCAGCGATGAACGTAGACGACGCTCCCCAATGTGATGAGCCGTGCAAGTCCGTTAATGACGACCTACAGATATCTACTGCGTCTGCGACCGTTGATGTCAAACCAGTTCGAGAAGAAAGGGACAAAGATACTGATCATTTCTTTATTGATGCTAATCAAAATCGAAACGATCCATGGAATGATGTAGAAGAATGCTTGTCATCGGAAATCATCAACATTGACGAAAATAAGCATAAAGAGGAGATAGCACAACTAGAAGCAGAATCCGTTCTGTTGGACGCCAAACCAAAGGAAAACGATGATTTTCTCCTTTCATGGCCAATTGTACCTCTCGCGGAGAAAACCAAGACATCCATTCCTGACAAGCTCGAGGATGGTGGATCTGAGAGTCATGCCGAGCACGCGGGTCCTCAGGAAACGGAAATAGAACAATCTGATTCTGCGCAAACTCCTGCAGTTGATCAACACGATACAAATGACAATGACATTGAATCTACACCAGTTACTGCAATTGATCAACACCATACAAATAGCAACGACATTGAGCCTGCGCAATCTGTTGAAGATATTTCACCTATAAACCCTTCTTCAAGTGAACATGATATTCTTAAGGACATCATCGATACAAACGACGTGGATGAAGTAGCAGCCGAACCGCAACCAAGATCAGCCCCAAGGTCGCCTGAGGCAGACGAGAATGAAGCAGCCTGCCAGCTAGAAAAATCCATACTCTATATTGAGAAATTGCAGGAAGATACAATTGTATCCGAAAAACCCCCTTCAAATTCTATGTTCATTATACCCTCTCTTGAATCTGGGTTGAACACAAACGCTTTCAAGTCAGATGCAAAGGATGATGTATTTGAGCCACAGGAATTCCATGATATACCTACCACGTCTGCGTTCACTGAGCCTTCCCCACCGGAACGTATAAACACCATCGTCGAGCTCTCGCCGGCACAAGAAAATATTCCACCAGGTACCACGCCATCTGTTACGCAGCCAAAACCTGTCAGTTCTGTTGGTTCCAGTGGTAGTCATTTCGATGATGACGACGATGATGAAGACGAGATAATTCTAGTTGGAGATAAGAGCAGCACACGGTTGTCACGACCGACGATTCGAAGGGTCTCTAAGATGGTAAAATTTTTGTTTCGAGATGAATGATATTTCGCAGTAAGAAATTCATCTAACTTTTTGCCCATAGCCCACAGTGGATAGGACTAGACCGGCAAGACGAACAGTACATGTTCCAGAAAGGCATGCCAAGCCCATCCGTACAATTACCACACCAATAACAAAATCAGATAATGAATCCGGCAAGGGACAACCTCAGTCATCTACAGAGCCGGCAACATCAAAGACCAAAACCCCTGTTGTTGACAAAGTCACATTGCCGCTGGACGAGCATGAAACTAGCAACATACTATGGGTTAGCAGTAGTGATCGACCCACCAGTCCTAAAAGCATTGACGAAAATCAAAGCAATTGTAGCAGCCTACCTGGCTCAACGCTCATGGCCAAGCTCCAAGGTGTTCATACTGACAAGTCATCGCCTTCAAAGCAAACATCTGAAGATGACAGTCCTATTGAGAAGTTGCAGAAAAGGTTAGACGAAGTCCTTCAAGATGTCGACCGAAACTCTGTCGAGATCAACAAATCGCTATCTGCACTCCATAAGCCAAGACAATACCCTAATTCCAAAATGGATATGACACGAAGTCGTTTACCCCACCATATGTCACCGACCATGTCACATCTCAAACGCCTCGAAGTCCAACAAGCCATGCATCATAAATTACAAGCGAAACTAATGAGTGTGCAACCTACATCGCATTCATCTATAAACAAAGACAAATACTCCACAAATGCACCTGTATACACTTCCGGCTGGCAAGCTCGTCCCGAAGTTTCAAAACATCAAACAGTACGAAAAAAGCGATTAGGGATACTGAACGGTATGAATGCAGAACGACTGAAACTGATGCAGCAGAGGAGCAAGCTGCAAGAACGGGATTTGCAAGGTTCTACTGCCAAAGGCGGTGGCAACTCTAATATAAGACCGGTAAGTACTCGGATCATTCCGCGCGATGTACATATTTCGACACTTTCTAATTCTATAGAACGCTGCCAATGCTCGGGACACGAGTAAAATGACATCATTGCATTCGTTTGCAAAATCCACGTTATCCACCCAGCTCAAGACGCACAAGCCTGTGGACAGCATAGCCAAAACACTCCATAGCGGATCCACCGTGAAACATTTGACTGTGAATGCGTCCAAAGCACATGAGTCAATACGGACGGTATGTTTTGCATGGAACCAACGACCGCTACAATAGCATTAACTAATGTGGGTATTGTTTATAGAAGCCCATGGCGCCAACTGATCGTCTGGCACCTGCTTCATACAGTAGTTCTCAACATGCCACCGATTCAGCCCCAGCTACTCCTTCCAAGAAAAATGCGCAACTCATACCCAATGCTGCTGCTGACAAAAACAAAGCTAGTCAAGAAGACGAGTAAGTGGGAAGAAGCGTTGTTCATGTTTTTTTTAGCGAAACCATGATTACTGATGGGGTACTATTTGCAGCGCAAGGCCACGGAAAAGACCTAAGCTTCCTATACCTGGATGGGCCATGAGCCCTGAACTGAAGAAAGCACTGGAAGAGCAATGTACACTTAATCCCGAAGAAATCTTTGGAAAAATGGCACCACTCCGGATTGAAGGTGAATTTTGTTTGTTGTTGTTATGTCGGATATGATTAAGCAGTGTTTCAGGTGTTGACCTTTATTTTTTATGTTGGTTGATTTGAGCAGACATCTTTACCAGCCGTAAAGCATAGCGATATGTGTAATATTAGCAGTTCATTGGATATTTAGATAGCATGTATTTGAGAACTTTTGTAAATAGAAACCACCAACGAAAACGTATAAGAAGGGGGATTTCCTTATTGAGAGAGTCACGAGAATTTGGGAGGCGCTGGTTCTGAGAGTCAAGAAATTGGTTGGGAAGCTGCTGCCGTGGAAGCTTGCTTGCTGAGTAACATGACTTTCATGGACCTGTGTAGAGCAGACGATCTATCGCCGCCTGCTACTCCTCCAGGATCCAGCGTATCCTCCTCTTCTCCTTCTCCTACATTGCTGACCCGGCCTCCGCAACGTTTGAGGCAGAATTACCCTGATCAATCATTTGCGGACATGCTCATTCAGCCTTCTGCATTGTTTTCAGGATGTGAACTCGATCATCTCCAGCAGGTCAAGGCTGCATTCCAACAAATGGACTCTCAACAAAAGCAATACTTTCTTTTTGAAATCTTAAATTGCTGCGATACCCAACAGCTCAACTTTGTCAGCTCCTACATTGCACCTCGCCTCAAAATTGACTTTCTCAAAGAACTTCCGATAGAAATATCACTATATATCCTATCCTTCATTGATGACCCAAAAACCTTGGCCCGCGCCTCTCGTGTGTCCACTTTTTGGAACTCTCTTCTCAAGGATGAAACTACTTGGAAGACATTATGTCATAAGCACCATTACAGGCGGCGAAACTCAACTATCAATGGTACATCTTTGCTTGGCCCTCCGGCTAGGCGTCTGGATTTTTCATACCGCGAATACTTTAAGCGGAAGTACAACATTGAAGCTGCCTGGGAGAATGGTGGCAAAGTGAGTACTTTCCTTGATAGCTTGGATCCCGGCTTAGTCACCAGTCTCCAATTTGACGACGACATCATCGTTGCTGGCTGCGATAATCACAAAATTGAAGTCTTTGATGCGAGATCTGGAACAAAATTGCGAACCATGGAAGGCCATGAAGGTGGTGTATGGGCACTTCAATTTTTCGGCTCTGGTGAGCCTGGTGATCATCGTATCCTTGCCTCGGGCGGCTGTGACAGGTAAAGTAGACTCATCCAACCTCCCTTTTACCCCATAAAACAGTCTACCTCCTGTCCTTCCACCACCGCTGACCGACCGGTTTCTTTTATCATATCATATTATAGAAATGTCCGCGTTTGGGATTTAGATACCGGCCGCCTCCTTCATGTCATGAGAGGACATACCTCAACCGTCCGTTGCCTAAAGCTTCGAGACAAGAACACGGCTGTCACTGGATCAAGGGATAACACGCTCCGTGTGTGGGACATTGAACGAGGCGTTCAAAAATTTGTACTTTTGGGACATCAAGCTTCCGTTCGATGTCTAGAGATTCATGGTAATCTCGCAGTGTCAGGCTCGTACGATTCCACAGCCCGTATTTGGGATTTAGACACCGGCCGATGTCGACATGTTTTATCTGGTCACTATTCACAAATCTATTCCATTGCTTTCGATGGCGAAAAGGTTATTACTGGTTCGCTCGATACTAGCATCCGAGTATGGAGTGCTGAAACTGGACAATGCATTGCTACCCTTCATGGTCACACTTCTCTTGTTGGCCAACTTCAGCTTAGTGGACATACACTAGTCAGCGGAGGGTCGGATGGATGCTTACGTGTTTGGGATCTCGATAGCTTGGAGTGTGTACACCGCATTTCCGCTCACGACAACTCAGTCACTTGTCTCCAGTTTGACGACCGACGTATCATTAGCGGAGGAAACGATGGTCGAACCAAACTTTGGGATATTAAGACCGGACGATTGATTCGCCATCTTACTCATCCCGCCAAAACTGTCTGGCGTCTTCAATTCACCGACACAAAAGCGGTAATTGTCATGCAACGACGAAGAAGTACCAACCCAGATGAAAGTCGAAGTGCCATGGAACTGCATAACTTTGATCTCTTGGCTGAAGACCCGTCTGTGGTCACGGCCGATGAAGATGTTGAGATGGCATGATGAAGTTTTCTACAAAAACCACAACCCTCCCTCCCTGTTCTGAAACTTGTATTGCATCTCATCGCCACTCTTCTGCTTGTGTTTCCCTTTCTTTCTTTCTACTGTACTTATTATCAACTTCAGATAACCCCCCCCGTCGTTTCTTTCAGCCAGGTTTCTTAATGGTTTTTCATCAACCAGCTGAAACATACCTCCCGCGTATTGTATCTGCTCTTTTTCTTTGTGTGTTCCCTGCTATTACTGTTTATATTACTCCTTTCTCACTTTTGTTTGTTGGCTTTGTTACTTGCCCATGGGGCATCCTTGTTTGGCTATTTTCTTCCGTTGTCATCAGCGTTTTTCAAAAAGCGTTTGTCATATATGTGTTGCTGCTGCCTTGGGAGAAATAAATCGCACGAGTCAGACTCAGTCTGTATGCAAACGATGAGGGTATACGATGTATACTACCGAAGGATGCCATTGCACACAAAAGCTGTATCATAGTGGAATTTTAATTAATGTAGTTTTCGTCTCTCTCTTGAATTAAAAAACTTTCTTCTTTCGTTCTTTTTACAGTACACGTTCTACTACTAGATCAAGATAGCGTTATACACTCCAAGACATGACGGCATCGACTTCGTCTTCGCCTACAAATGGTTGGTCGATGGACTTGATCATGATGTCGCCACACAACACACATTCACTGGCGACAATGTCGTCCAGTTCCTCTTTCAGCTGTTCAGAACGGGCTATCATGACCGACGCATCATCGTTGCCGTGCAACGCTGCGTCGCCAGGGAAAATCACACCTTTCAAATTCCCTGCAGCTGCAGTGATGAACTTGTTTGCCGCCGAGTTGAACCCAGAGGATTTTTGCAGATTGTGTTTTGAATTAAGCTCTTTAGAAAGCTGCTCTTGCAAGTCGAGAAGACGACGAATTTGACGTGTGTTGAGGTATTTGGTGATCTGTATTGGCAAAAACAAGAGCATCATTAGAAAATAAATACGCCAAAACTCTTCTATGCAGGAATTCGCTTTCTAAACTTACTCTATCAACCAAACAATCGGCGTGGAAAGAGTGTTGGCATGGGAAGACATAGAACTGTCTTGTCAGAAGGGGAAGGTCACAGATGTTGCATTTTTCGAGAGATCCAATGATGGCAAATCTGTGCAAGGCGAGCCGTCAGTCTCGAAACTCTTAAACAAACTTCCCACCACCATTTGACTACATGCTCCACTCACCTGCTACGCAATTGGCGAATGTCAAGACGGATATTCTCTGCACTCCTCGTCGCTTCGTCCATATCTTCTTTGAGTCTTTCAATGTGGATATTATATTCTTCCAAAGCTGAACAAATTTCATCCTGTAGGATAGTGTGTCAGATATTATACTGACAAGCTGGAGACTCAATGACTGCAACCATTAACTTCGTTAGACGCATACCTTAAAGTCATCAATTAGAACAAAATCAGGGAAGAAGGGCAAAATGTCTTCAATCTTCAAAAGATCACTTTGCTTGAGGAATTCCATGGCACTAACAGAGAAGAAAAAAGATGAGTAAGAGATGATCATGGGCAGCAGTGTTGAAAAGGTACACCAATCTGAATATTTTACGTTTTTATATCCTTCTTTTCTTGAACAATGTGTTTGGCAATGTTCAGCCACAGTCTCTTCCTCAAAACATCATCTTCCTCTGGCTTGTCTGCGTTGATTCTAGCAAGTTCCAAGTCATGATACTAATGGAGAAAGTTAGGGTGTAAGTATGGAGTATGTGGATGCAAGCTTGTGCATGCAAATGGGTAAACCGCCCCCTTCCTCACCTTGAGTGACAGATTGACAGCTTCTTCGTAGAGACCCATTTGACTATAGATATGTACACAACTTTGCATCCTGTTGTTCTGGCTGCAAAGACGCAATGCGTAGTCAAGGTTGTAGTGCATTTCTCGTCCCTAGTACCATACAAGTTGTTGTTAGTCCCTGAACATCCTATTATTAAAGTTGTAGATTGACTTACTTCATTCTTCAAGAACGCCAACAACGCTGTTTCATCTTGGGTCTGTTGTGTAGCGTACAATGTCAAAAGGTAGTTGTGAATGGCAGGATCTGTGTTTCCAAGGGTTGTGACAACATAAGACAGATAACGAATGGCTTGATTCTGGCAAAGGTTACGCGTATTGGTTCAATATGCTGTGGGAGCTTCAATTCTTTATCGATATCCCAATTCTGATCAGACTTACTTGTTGGCCTTTGTCAGTCACCTTAGAGTGGTCATATCTAAGCAAGGATGGTATAAGCTGGCGAGGGTTGAGATTCGATTGCATCCACAGAGTGACCATTTCATATGGTGAATTTTCCATGAGAGCCGGAGAGTACTTGTAAAATACGTCAGAGTTGGCCTGTAGTCATCTCAGGTTAGCATCCACATAATATAATGCTTATACGTTCTGCACAACACAAACCTGTTTTCCAAGCACTTCTAACGCCTTTGGCCAATTCTCTTCAATAATCCAGTGAGATATGACACGGTCATAATCACCAATTAAGTCGGCATAGTATAACATGGCGCTGCTCCTGCCATGACTAGAAATTAGTTTGTAAGTAGTAGGCTTGTGCAAATGGCCCTTGTACGTCTCGAGGAAGGTTCTAAATTCATCCTCAATATCTTCCTGTTGCTGCTTGTAGTCAGGCATAACGTTGGCTTGCGACGCGATGAGATCGGTGGTATGGGTAGCGGAGGAAGCGAGATCTTCGAGCTGGTTAATCTTGGAGAGATAAAGCTCCACCAGCCAAGTCGCCAGCATGGTCTTTTGTGTCAGATCCTAAAGGAAATAGAAAACACAAAATAAGAAAGAAAAGCTCACACGAACTTCAGGTCATATAATACCACAGAACATACGCCTTTTCTCAACCGATCCAATTTGTTGGCAACATAACTTCGCAGGGCATCGCGTTCATCTCGCTCAACAAACTGAAGAGCAACCTCTTCAAAAGGCACAGCGCTCTCTGCAAAGTACTTTGCACTGAGTTGATATCGCTGTTGGGAGAAGTAGTCGTTGGCTTGTGTGGTGTAGACTTTGTCTCTCTGGGAATCGTCTCGGCAATAATGAAGGGCTGTATCGTATTGCTTCTTTTCAAGGTATATTTTCCAAACGTCTCGACTTTCCTCACGTATGATTAGTTCATATAATGATAGATTTGTGTAAACCCATGGGGAACCGTTAGTTTCGTCCATTGTCAGCCCCACAACATGCTCATTTGCAGCCTAACACAGTAATATGCATTGTTATAAGTGAAATGGAGTTAATAAGCGATTACTCTCAAAGAGCACGATACATACCAAGTTGATCATCTCTTCATATACAATTTCGTCATTGAGGTGACAGATAGCACGTATGCGATCTTTGTACAAGAGAATAAAGTGAAATTCTGTCATTGCGATGGATAACGGAACAGAATCAACTTGTGTTTCGCCGCTCTCTAAAGTATTTGTAGGGTATCTAGAAGTGCCGGATTAGAGAAGCTGCAAATTAAGAACAGTTGGTTTACAATCGCAGAGATCAAACTTACTGCAGAAGTTGTGCGTTGTCTATAACATGTTCGCCAGGATTCTGTGAGCCGAACACCAAGTTACCGTGGTAGATACCAGGAACTAGTGTGGAGATAAATGAATAAGTCCACAACCGCATTCCAGATGATTATGATGACACCTTGTGATTTCTACTTACCGGTCAGCCAAGCAAAACTCTGTGCTACGCCACGCTGCTGCAAATCTTTGAATTGGCTAAAGAAGTGGAGCTCGCTATACGATAGATCGCCCGGAAGTTCTAGAAAGACTGCATAGATAGAAAGATAATATCATCATGTCAGATGAGCGTAACTCTTTTTTTTTTTTACCAATTTCTGACCACCATATCATTCCTTCTGATGTCTACCTGGATTGTTTTCGTAATGCGAGAAGATCCCCTCAAAATTTCCCTTCTTTCGTTTCTCATCACCATCTGCGGAAGCTTTTTGGCTTGCAGGACCCACTACGCCAATGAATTCATAAATACGGGTTGGTGTGGCGGCCATGATAAAGTACTTTCTAGAGTTTCCAGGGAACTGTTCGAAATATAAACCGTTGATAGGCGAAACAGGTTCGTTGATAGCGTACAAAAATTTGAGAGGTTTCTCTTCACGGCGGAAAAAGTCGTCGCTTGGTTCGAGGCAAGCTTCATATATTTGACCATTCTTTGTACCGATCAAAATCTCTCTCGTTGATGGATCGGCAAGGGTTGCTTGTTTGTTCCATGCTACAGAGGTGATGACATGACCCTAGAATACATGTCAGTCATGAGTCGGACGAAAAATATGGTAATTGTCGGTTCATTTATCCTTTACCTTGAGGGTTTTCAACAATTTGCACTTTTGCCACTTCTCATACAAGTAGTAATTCTCGCCAATATCGGTTGTTATGATAAGATGGCGACCGGTTGGATCAAAAAATGCGGCAGTGATTGCACCATCTTTGCTTATTCGCGGGATTTCGATATCTGTTGTGGCCCAACCAAAATCATTTACGGTCAGTATCATGGTTCACACCATATCATTGGGTTCACTCTAGTTGTTCGAAATCTACTTGCATTCAATCTGGTCTCCTTGCAACAAGTCTATCCGAAGGATTTGCGGTGTGTCAAACACTACGACCAAGGTGTTATTCGATACTGCAACGGCTACTAATGTCGCTGATACTGGCAATGGCACTCGATCCAAAACGAAAATCCTGTTATCTGTGTCATTCAGTCCGGTTGAAACGAAGCCGGTCTCCATCTGTAGAGGGGATTGGAACAGTCGGGGTCAGTAAAGGTGCTCTACATAAGAAACGCACTGAATGCAGGGAGTAATAGGCTGGGGGCGTTCTCATGTACTTACGCGAACCATGTTATCGTTTGAGTAATCATTAGCAAAGGAGCCTCCTCCTAATCCATTTTGGTCACCGTAATGAGCCAACGTTGAAGAACCCCCAGGCTCAGTCGACTCCAGGAAATCGTCAATGAGGGACATGAGGGATGTTGGAAGCTGGAGAGAGAGCGGAGTTACGAATGATTATAGCTCGACAAATCCCTTAAAGGCACAAGAAATCGAGCCCAACTCCAGATATTAAGCAACTCTTACGGTGTTCAAATGGCTATTCTGCAATTTGCTCCCATCTCTGCTTATTTCAACGCAATCAGTTACTCCAGAACAGCAAGTATCTATGGATCATTTTTTTTTTATCTCTTTATATTTTTGGGAAGAGCAATAAAAGAACGAAGAAATATCTTGGATTTTAGAACATGGTTTGGGTGAGCCATATAGTACTAATCTATTCCTCATCACCTTCCTTAGCACTGAAAGCAGGATAAGTAGCAACAACCTTATCCCAAGTGATGGTTTCTTCTGAAAGTTCCTTGAGAACTTGAAGGATGACTTCTATCTTTTCACGAATCTGCTTGGTAGAATCACGTTCACGAAGAGTGACGGTGCCATCTTCAACAGTCTGGAAATCAATAGTGACGCTGAATGGGATACCAAGTTCATCATTACGAGCATATCTGCGACCGATGGAAGCCTTGCTGTCGTCGGTACGCGTGGAGATATTCTTTGCGCGGAGTTGTTGTGAAAGGTTGCGGACAACTGGGGTGAAGACTGAGTTACCGGACAAGGGCAAGAGACAGCACTTGTAGGGAGCAACGACAGCAGGGAAAGACAAGACATTGCGGTCTTCATCGTTGTCACGCTTCCACCAGACGTGCTCCAAAAGGGAGTAAAGAATACGGCCAAGACCGAATGAAGGCTCGATGACGTTGGGAGTGTATTCGCGAATGTGCTCAGTAACAGTAACACGTTCGATGGAAATGTCAGTCTTGGTGAGTTCATAATCTTGACCTTCGACGTTGATAGAGGTCTTCTCTGAAGCATCCAACTCATCCTTGAGCTTTTGGAGACCATCTTCAGAAAGGGCCAAAAGGGCGTCTTCGACGGTCTTAGCATTCTTCTTGAACTTGGGACCAAACACCTTCTTGTTGACTTCCAACTGAAGCTTATCAATGACCTTGGGCTCATCAAGTTGTTCACGAACAACCAACTTCTCCTTGGTACGCTTGGCGTGGACAGTCAAATCGTAGGCAGATCGATCAGCACAGCCAACACATTCAATCCAACCCTGTAGAATAGATCAAACGTTAGAATAATGAAATTCACGCTTTCTAAACATGTAAGCACACATACATAGCTGGATTTGATTTCAGCATCCCAGCAGTCGCAAGCATAATGAGCCATTTCGTTGCTCATGTGTTGACGGAATCGGAGCTTGTCAGGGTTGATGCCAACCTTGATCAAGAAGAGGTAGATACGACCAAGGAAATAACCGAGGGTCTTGTTGTCAACAACACCTTGTGCAACAGCATCGCCGATGGTCATGACGGTGATTGCAGTGCTGCCTTCGAGTTGGACCTTGGCGGGCAAAAGGTTCAACTTGATATCCTTAACATCATCGAATCGAGAGTGGTCTTTGTTTTCGGGATCGACAAAGTGCTCAATTTCAGCCATGGTGAATTCACTGAATAATCCAAAGTTAGGGATGGTACATTTGATAAAAATAAAAAAAGGATAGTTCGCAAATAACCTACCGAACACGAAGGAGACCAGATCTGGGCGAGATTTCGTTACGGAAGGAACGACCGATGGAAGCAGAGGCAAAAGGCATTTTATCGTTGTTGAATTCCAAAAGCTTCTTGAAGTTGAGGAATTGACCTTGAGCGGTTTCTGGTCGAAGGTAGCTTTAAGAAATGTTAACACTACGGTTTTATGAAATGGTAAAAAGCAAAGACAGTATCCATACCCCTTGAGGTGACCAGTGGGACCAATGCTGCTGTCGAACATAAGGTTGAATTCTTGAGGAGCGGTCAAGTCGTTACCAGATTCTGGAGACTTGATGTTCCACTTTGTAATGATTTCGGCAAGTTCTGGACCACCGAAGTTGTCGATCTACGGTAACAAAGCGTTGTCAATATCACATCCAATTTACAAAGGCAACTCCCATTGATGATTCTCTCACCTTAGCCAAAATGTCCTCATAAGCAGCCTTTTCTTCGGGCTTAAGTTCAACGACAACGACCTTGCTCTTCTTCTTCTTGGAAGCCTTCTTAGCAGTGGCTGGATCAGTGGCGGTGGGAGTTTCAACATGGGCAGCACCAGAGGCAGCAGCCTTGGCTTCCTTGTCGCCTTGAAGTCTGGCTTCCAAAACGGCCTCAACCAAGTGATCGGCACGGAAGATCTCGCCATTCTTAACATCCTTGCACATCCAGTCACTGAACTTCTCAACGTGACCAGAGGTCTTCAATACTTCGGCAGGTGTCATGATAGTGGTGTCAACTTCGAGCATCTCTTCTTCGAGGACAAAGTGGTTACGCCAAAGCTGAATGATGTTGCTCATGAGAGCGCAACCTGTCGGGCCATAGTCATAAAGACCGGCGACACCACCATAGATGGAGAAAGCGGGGGCGTAGAAGAATCGCCTGCTGATCAATTGCTGTCAGCGGACCCAAGAAGTTAGCATGCCACAATCATTATAAGACGCCTTTTCATATCAAGTCAAGCATACCTCAAGCTGGCTTCTGTTAAAACTGGGATCGGACATTGCTGTTAACGTTAGAAGAATCCAGCCAGGCACGCTCGCAAAAAAAACCATAAATCTTAAACCGTGACTGCTATTGTCAAGATGACTCTTCGCCAACGACGCACAAGTCATTATTTGCAACAGCATATAGCCTGCGAGAGCTCATACAAGAGCGAAAAATAATATTTTATAGAAGTTCCAGAACAATATATATGTACAAAATTAAGGTAGTTGGGAAGGAATAGAATCTATGACCTAGCACAGGTTCGTTTACATGGCATCTTTGAGACATACCGTTACAATAAATTGGGACGAGGTTCGTCGTTAAATCTTACAAAAGAGCATATTCCTTCAGAACCATCAACAACTGATATAACCAGCGTGCTTTCATCGCTATCAGATATCAGGGGATACTTTTTTTTTTGTTGTGTAGAAAGTATGCGATTGTCATGCAACAGTTGTCGCAAGCCAAGAGGTGTTGGAAACGGATCACTAGCTCTGAGAGACGCTCACTATCAGCTTGCTATTTGTATTAGAGACCTTCTGTATATTCCATTTCTTACCTGCACACTGATACTCTATAGGTTGGTTGTCCGGGATTGGTTTTCTTCCAGGTAGGTAATGGCTTGTGCACATCGTAATCAATTACATGTAGCCTAGTCGATGGCACATACGGTGACTGTGAGGAGGGTATGATACGTAAAGCGGAAAAAATTGATGCTAATTTAGAGGTAGATTCGTTATGTTATGCTTCACGGGAATGGATTCTATGCACAAATGAATATCGTACCATAATTGAAATGTGACTGAATACGTGGCAACAAGGGATGGACAGTATGATCACGCTGCCATACCCACAATAACTTTGTCCTACATCCAATATGCCACATCTTCTTCATTCTATCAATCATCGATCGAACAGTTGAGATGGTGTATTTGATAGCGATTGCGGTGATTGGGAACATCCACGTTAGTGGGTGATGGTTCACGTTGTGTGAGATCGGTAGGATGGCGTCGCTTCGTATAACATGATATCCCAATCTTTTCAGATACGCATACGTCTATAGTTTCCAGTGGCGTACTTAGTAGACGATAGACCTTTGGCTCAATTGTAAATGTAATCTATACCTGATACCGCTCAAATGAGGACCAGCCATCAGCCGAGTTCAATACAGCTACGTACAAGTCACGAAAGCTGATACTGTTTCCTTCATAATCTTCAATCTGCAGCTGGCCAACATTCATCAAGAAACACGCCTCTTCCAAATATAGCGTGAGAGTGCCTTTGACGGATCGTCCGATACTTTGGAAATAATTGCCACGGGGAGCACGAACGAGAACCAGCTGTGCGTCACGGTCGAATACACCCTTCGAAATGCCTTTGGTGCTCACTAATCGTTTCTCAGTTAGTGCTTCAAACATGGCATCGTGTGACGCTTGTAGTTTTTCGTGTTGAGTAATAGATTCGTCTGGTTCGAAATCTTTCTGTCCCTGCCACGATATGTCCTTTCCCTTTCTTGAAAAGTGAAAATAAGAATGAGTACATTCCCTCAGACAATCGGACGTAAACCGTTACGTACCTTTTCTTCTGCTTTAACGTAGCATAGTCTGCAAATCCCTCTTCAATGTCGGCGTCCATTGGTTCGTTGGCAGCGGAAAAGAACAACGTCCTGAAATTCAGCCACGCACGAGCCACACGCTCAATGCAAAAAAAAAAAAGTCTTGCAGCAGAAATAAAAAAAAAAAAAGTTTTTCGGCAAGCTGTCATTCACTCAAACCGTTCAAGCATGGAATCCCATAATTTCAAGAACCTCGACTGGAGAAGAGCATCGACTTCTCAATATACGGAATCCGAAGTCGATTCTAACAGTAAGTGTGAAGAATGGAGCCTCTAATTGCGAATTCTGTCACTCAACTCGAATGCTCGTTTAAAGACGAAGACTGGGACGACTGGGAAGGCGAGGAAGAACAAGAAGAAATGAAATGTTTGTTCTGTCCTTCGTCGTTTGGAAGTGCATCCGATGTCTTCCGTCATTGCCAAGACGTACACAAGTTTGATTTTGTCAAGACCAGACACCAACATGGTAAGTGATACAGTTATTGCGAGCAGATCAATGTTATCCCGTTAACACAATCGGTCATTCAGCATTGGATTTCTATCAATGCATTCGATTGATAAACTACATTCGCAAGGAGGTATGCCGTTGGAGGTTTTAAAGCGGGTTGTTATAACGTATGGCTAAAGTTTCGATTGACAGGTCATGAACAATCAGGAACTTGGCAACAGCCTTCCATTGACAATTACTGGATCTGAGAATTTTTTGATGGAAGACCAGTACCTCACCCCCGTCCTTGAATCGGACGCTCTTCTTCATGGTAGGACGGTTCGATTTATTTTGATTCTTGACGGCATGTGCTGACACCATATGGTATCTAGCTTTTGAGGATCTTGATTTGGATGACGACAACGAAGACGAATTTGATACTCCAGCAGCAAAGGAGGATATCAAAGTTACCACAGAATTAGAACGTGATCTCCTTCAGCGACTTCGACAAGCCGAATCTCACGTCGAGGCCCTTCACAATCAATTCGCAGAATACCAAAACATGGTTCGGAAAACGTTTTTGGATGACGAAATCACCAAGCAGATTATGGAGGAAGATGGCCTTGCTGTTCGAAGTAGTCCAGCATTAGCTGATCACAAAGATGATGGCAACTATTACTTTAACTCATATGCACAAAATGGTGAGTTTGCCGGAGAGACTGCATGGCTACCGAAACAGGGCATCACAATGACTGACCGTCGTAAATATAGATATCCATGAACAAATGTTGAAGGACCGAGTGCGAACTGAAGGATATAGAGATTTCATCTACGAAAATAAGGATGTCTTCAAAGACAAGGTACCGTTAGATCGAAGATTGTTGTGTTTACAATTCTGATTAGACCTAATATCCAATTTGTTTTTCCAGGTTGTTCTTGACATCGGCTGCGGAACAGGCATTTTATCCATGTTTGCAGCTCGCGCAGGCGCGAAAACAGGTTGGTTTGTCACTTTGAAAGGATCCTAGGGAGATGTCTCCAAATACCAGACTAATGTGGAAATATGTTGCCATCAGTTATCTCTGTCGACAACTCGGCCATCATAGAAAAGGCAAAGGCAAACGTGAAGGAAAATGGATTGGATGGTATCATCACGTAAGTATTGTCTTTTGAAATTCCTCAATGCTTAAGGAAAACTGTCTAATATTTTGTATTCTGTTGACAGCTTACTACAAGGAAGAATTGAAGAAATTACTTTGCCTGTTCCGCAAGTTGACATTATCATCTCAGAATGGATGGGCTATTTCTTGCTTTTCGAGGCTATGTTAGATTCAGTACTTGTAGCTCGTGATCGGTGGTTGGCACCAGGCGGAATTCGTAAGTTTCTTGGGGGTTCTTATTTCTGGAAGCGATATGAGATTGACAGCGCCGACTCTCTTTGTTTTACGCTAACACTCCATTCTCCACCCTAGTTGCTCCAAGCCAAACAAGAATATTAATAGCAGGATTAGACGACGAGAACGTCAAAAACGACCGACATTGTTTCTGGGATGATGTATATGGATTCAAAATGTCCGCCATGAAAGAAAGTATTGTCAATGAAGCTATCGTCGACTTTGTCTCAAAGGAAGCCATCATCACTGACGCTGTATGCGTCAAAGACTTGCCTCTCCAAACCATCAGCATACCACAGCTTGATTTTGTATCACAATTCAAATTGACAGCTAGCAAAGAAGGCACCATTTATGCACTTGTTGGCTGGTTTGACACTTGGTTCACCCGTGATGGACATGACGTCCCACTCGATCAAGAGGGCGGTAAGCCAGGTGTCGACACGTTCTTCACGACTGGCCCACATGGTGAAGACACACATTGGAAGCAGACTATCTTTGTCCTGGATAATCCCATTGCCGTTGTACAAGGTAAAAGACAGTATGGAAGCGTATAGAGTGCATATGGGGATGTAAAACTAATGCTTATAACTTGAATAGGTACTATCATCGAAGGTATCTTCACCTGCCATAAAGGCATTGACAACCCACGCGAGCTTGACTGTGAAGTCCAGTACAGCGTGGACGGATCACCTGATCTATTAGTCCAAAGCTTCCATTTACAATAGAGCTGGCACAATGTGTCCCCTTGAAAGCAATAATAGCACGCATATCCGGATAAATGGCACTTCCAGTTACACTTTTTGCCATAAACAGACGTTTTACAAAGAGTAACCTACTCGTGAAACCAAGATAATGGTAGAGCTTTCAAACAATAAAAGCAGTTAATTGCTATGAAACATGTGTATACACACGCGATGGACGTTATCACAGCTTTGCGTTTGTATTAATTATAACAAAACGATGCATAAAGCGATGATGAGGCGGACGCAGGAGGTGCGTTGAACTGGGGATTTTTTTGAATGCAAGTAACACTTGAAAAACCAACTCCTTTTTGGAAGACGAAGAAATAACAATACGGGTCCCTATTGTCAAGGGATCAAGCGATGCGTGCTCGAGAGGACGCATCTGATTTGTCGGTGGATATGGTTCATTGTGAAGCTGAAGCCGTAAACTCCGCATTATTAGCAGCAACCGTTTGTGCCTCAAATTAGACGCCTGTATCTAAAATTGGGCTTTCCACACTTGGAAATAAAATGGCAATTCGCATCAGATAATGCCTTGCAAGCCAACGAAGTGTCATATTTGAGGAATTTTTTCAATTAGACACCACCGCTTTCTTAGGCATTGGCATGCACTGTAGGAACTTTTGAGAAACAATAGTATAAACTGCAACTGGAGCGGTATTCAAACAGATCGATGTATGTATAGCCTAGTAGACCAGTCTACTAAGAAAGCGGCACCATGGAAAAAAAAAAACCTCTCCTCCCCCCCCCCAAGTTTGAGCCCCACCTCACATGCAATAATAGCACTATTTTACTTAACGAGGAGCTCCGTTCAGTATCCTGGTATTCTCTTCTACCTTTTCTCTCCTAACCTTCGTCCATTGGGGACGTTGCTATACCACCATGTTGTATTTGACAAACGATCTGGGTCTATTACCCTTCTTCCTCCCGTTAGGCATCATTGGTTTCTATAGATACTTGTGGTATGCGATCAAAATCTTAGCATGGTTTGTATACCGCCCATTACAACCCAAAGAATACCCAACGTATACAGCAGAACACGACGTGACCATCATTGTGCCAACCATTGATGCTGGTGAAGAATTCAAAATTGCTGCACGAAGTTGGCTTGCCTGTCGACCCAAAGAGATTATCATCATTACCGAGACAAAAATGCGAGGGCCTTTACAGGAACTAGCTAATGAAGTGGATCCAAGCAAGATACGAGTGCTGACGGTAGCCAAAGCCAACAAGCGCTTGCAAATGGTAGCTGGTATCAATGCTACATCGACTGAGATCCTGGTTTTTGCAGATGATGATGCTATTTGGAAGCCTACTATGCTGGATTATATCTTGGCATGTTTTGAAGACTTGAAAATGGGTGGTGTAGGCACTTGCCAAACCGTTCATGCAGTCAATCCCAATGGCCATCAAACGGTTTGGGAAGTGCTTGCTGGATTTCGTCTCTCAATTCGAAACATCGAAGTGGCAGCGTCAACGCATATCGACGGCGGTGTTTGTTGTCTGTCTGGTCGTACCGCCGCTTATAGGACTTTGATTTTAAAAGATCCTGCATTTCAATACGGGTTTACAAATGACCTGTGGCTGGGCAAATACCCACTCAACTCGGGTGATGATAAATATCTAACAAGATGGATGGTCTCACATGGGTGGAATACATTCATTCAAGTCACACCAGAAGCCGAATTGTATTCCACATTTAAGAATAATTGGCGGTTTATTAAGCAGGTTCTGAGATGGACCCGTAATACCTGGCGTTCTGACTTTCGATCCTTGTTTACGGAACGCTATATCTGGCGACGACACCCCTATGTTGCCTTCACCATGGTCGATAAAATTTTCAATCCCATCACGTTACTGTCTGGACCCATTCTAGTGTGTATCTTCGCCATTGAACAAAAAGACAAGGCTGGCCCTACCAATCCCCCATTACCCGGTTGGAACATTGCCATATCCTACATTGTATGGTTGATGCTAACCAGAGCTATGAAACTTATCCCACATTTCATCAAGCGACCTCAGGATATCATTCATATACCAGCTTGGCTGATTTTCAATTATTACTTTGCCATCATGAAAGTGTATGCTCTCTTCACGTTGCACGAAGTCGGGTGGGGTACTCGTGCTGGCGTCGGTACCACACTGGCGGCCGATATAGCCAAGGAATCTGAACAAGAAAAGGACATGGCTGCTGCCGCCGAAAAAGATCATGTTCAAATTAATGTTCCAGGCGCCCCCGAACCACCATATCACAGGGACAGTCCCTATCGAGACGACGATAGTGCAAATGCATTAAATGATCTTGACGTTCGTGAATACAGAGAGCCGCCTCGTGAACAAAATCCCTTTGAGTATCATTTCGAAGACGAAACCCGTAGTCTTTACTCTGATGACTATCATATGGAAGCTTTGCCAGTCAATCCCTCACGACGATGGAGGTGATCTGTGTTAAAAAAAAAAAAAAAAGAGCGGGTGTTTGTCTGGCTTAAGCATTCAGAAGGCATACAAACACCTCGACCATCTGTCCAGTCCAAATAGCAAGAAGAAGAAGAAATGAAAAGAAGGGAAACGAAAAACAAACTGAACTGAAGCACAATGTATCCATTGCTCTTCAGGTTGTTGAGGCAGCCATGCACAAAGATTTCATGTAAAATAAAAACCCCTTTAAATGCTTTGTTTTATTATTATTTTGACTTGCGCCTCCATTTGACCCTTGATTACCATATTAATTGAATACCTTGAGGCAGTCGTTATACATATCACCAACCCTACAATCGATGGCTAACCAGGATGTTATGCAGCAATGAATGGTATGGAAAAGAGTGTTTTCTTAGGTTTATTTCTACATTTTATGCATGCGTGTGTACTTATTGGTTTTGCAAATGACGATGCGAGCTGCATTATTTACACATGTGGTGGTTTTGGTGGGTTGAAGGCAACTAATTCACGATCAAAGTGGCCCATGTGATGAGCATCCCAAGCACTCGAGGAGCTGATCAGAAAGTCGTATAAATCAACTTGACCCAACCTATGTCTGACGGCTGCATCGGACAAGGGATCAGGTCTGAGCGACTCCATCAGGTAAACAAGGGCATGGATGCTAATGATTGTTCCGGGGAAAACTATTTTACTAGCCTCAGATAAGAATCGCCGTCTGAATGCTTCAGTGTGATCGTCCTCTTGACTTCGTCTGTGTTGGATGTCTCTGACTTTCAAGCGAATGTATCTGGCTAATGGATTTCCAGGGAACATTGTTAAAACGACATGACTTGACACTTCAGTCTGGAGATCACTTTGCAAAGCATGATTGAGTTCAGCACCTGAAAGGAATCCATAGAAAAAAAAACATAAGTGACTGTGCCATTAGCCAAAGACAGGATAGAAATCACCTGTTGCAAAAACATGAAAGCAAGAACAAAGGGAACTATAATGTACCAGTCATGGCGGGAGACATGTTGACCCGAAGGCGATCGTAGGACTTTTCAAAAGCTCGATAAGGCATGTAGCAGTAGCCGCCGTCTTCGACTAATAAAGAGGAAGTGATAACATGAGGTGAGAAGGCGCATTCATCGCAATTAATGCGTTGATCACCAGGTACTTACGGATAGCATTAATGACCGTAATGGTATTCTTGATCTTTCGATGTATGGAAACCTGCTGAAAAACGGGTAACAATGGGTCAGAAATTTGCACCCGTTTGCTTTCAAGTGGGCTTTTCATTTCCCAGAGGAATTCTCCTGCTTCATAATGTGTTTAATGATTTACATTCATTGATATTAACACTTACCACTAAATCCGTTGAGGATGTCGGAACGGCCGCTGACGCACTGGTAGTAGCTGAAATCCTGCCAACATGAGCATCAGCATTACCACTTACACTACCATTCGAAGAAGCTGCTAGCTTGGAAGATGGTTCTATATTTGAGTTTCTGCTCGAATTGTTTTCAAGATCATCCTTAGATCTATCATAGCTTAAATGCTTGCTTGAGCCTCTTTCATATTCGGTAGAAGTGGGTTCAATCCTTGACTTCTTATGAGAACGTTCTTCATCACCAGAGGTAGGCGGAGGAGGAGCAGACTTTTTTAAAGTTGAGACTGACGGTGATGGAAATACAGGAACGTCATAAACGAAGTCAACCGCCAACACCATTGGAGCTTCCCAAGAAATCTCGTCTTTCTCGATGGCTTGAGCAAAATTTTCACGCTCTGCCAAAGTCTTTGGACCGTTTTTCAGGATACCGCCTTTTCCACACGCGAACTTTGCAAGTTGTCGAGAGTCTTTCGGTGATGCTGAGACCCATTTTGCGACTTGCGCAGCAGTAGGTTCTTTTGATGATTCTCTCAATGGTTCTCTGGATGTTTCTCTTGACGAAATCTTTGGACGGTCTTCGTTCCGGTGTGATGTATCATAGCGATCGTTATCAAACCCAGATGAACCTGCAACGGATTTGCTCGATACCTTGCCTTTATCTTGGCGTCCTGATTGTTTTTGTGGCATAGGCGTAGGTGATTCATATCTGTCAGAAGAAGAAACAGAGGATGTCGGTGATGAATGGTGTGTTGATCTGGAGTAGAAATCAGGTTGCTTGATAGGGTACCGATGAACTGATGGTTGTAATCGATGGTGACTTCCAGCATGTGATGAATAGTTAGAATGCGAACCTCTCGTCGATTCTCTCGTACTGCTTTGATAATGAGAAATTCTAGGGTCCCGCGAGCTACCACCTTCACTAGTCCGGTACGAAGACTCATTCATGAACTGAGATGGATACCGTTGCGCATCTCGATAATAATGAGCAACCTGATCTTTCTCTCTGTTCACGATAGTTCCTCTACTGGATAGTTCAGGTCTTGGCGGCATGTCATACACTTGCGATGGATTTGCATCTACGGCCCAACTAATTCCCATATGATAGTAGGTATGAAAGACTACAGGTCAGACAACTGAACAAAGAAGAAGTTTCTTTCACATTCGCCATGCAAAATATTGAATTCTTCCAAACGAATACTACGTCACAGCTTTTTTAAAAAGACGCCTCGTGAGCTTTGACCAGCGAAAACGCAAGTGCTCATATGATCAACTAGCGAAAAAAAGGGGATAAAGGCCAACGAACAAAAAAAAAGTGTCATTTTAAACTTCTTTCTTGAAAGACTCCCGGTATTTATTGGAAACCTCAATTTGATATCGCAGTGATTCTTCTTTTCAATCTCTCGAGACACCGTTTCGCAACCTATTCTACAACTGCCTTGTGTTCGAAAACACCTCGTTTTTTTACTATTCAACTCCCTTCAGTAATCAGATACGTACTGGCTTAGCTTGTCGATCCCCTTCCTATTTCCCAGCTCCCTTTATTCAGTATTGGAGTAGATATCAAACGTATGTAAAAGAAAAGAAGATAGCCACCACCCATGGCTTCTTGCTCTTTTTTTCTTTTCGTTTTGGGTCATTTCGGTTTTTATCCATAGTATATAGATTAAGACTTTTCTTTTTTTCTTCTTCCGACCTACAGAACTATCTCTATCATCGCATTGCTCTTGACCGAAAATGGTAGACGAGAGCTCAGGTTTAAAAATCATACCAGAGCCAGCCGCCGATGGCGATACCGACGACGAGAGCCATGATAAATTGGCAGGCTCTACAGACCCAAGCAAACCAAAAATTACATTGCAGTGGTTAGAGCAGTATGAACTTGAGGATTTAAACGAATTTGATATAGTCAATACGGTTGAGCAGTTGGCCATGGCCTCACAAATTCATTCAGTGATGACGGACTTCCTGCAGCAGCCGTCACCGCCACCATCACCTCCTTGCAATGCTGTACAGACTGATGATATAACAATGGAAGAATTGGACACTTATACATCAGTCCCTATAATACTACGGTTGATCTTTATTGGCGAAGCGCCGGATGAAGTAAAGATGAACGTGTTGCATAAGTTAGGTGATATCAATACCTTGTCGATGAACACATGTAGCACGATGAAAACCTCTGAAGAGGAATCTCCACGGATACCACCGTCCATGTCGACGCAGATGTCCCAACATCCTTTGAGTGTGACTGAAACTGACTGTCGTTGGTCTGCCGCACCGGAAGCCATTATTGACTACTTGTTGGAAAAATCTGGCCCACTCGACGCTAAAAAGCCTCCATGTTTAGACACGCACGCCATTGATATTATAGTCTACTTTATCGACACTGAAGCATCGAAATTAGAGCGATCTATCAAGTTACTGAAGCACTTTAATAGCATGCATACTGCGGTCCTACCTATTCTAGGAACGCATCTTGACGCAGAGCCTAGCGAAAGTTGCCAAGCTGCACTGCAAAAGGAAGGCATAAAATTTCTTGTGCCCAAACATGATCAAACTTGGTCTGAGCAAGAAATTAACCAAGCAATCACTGAAATTTGGCAAATGGAAAACTTGACACAAGCTGATCCACCATGCATGCAAAATCTAATTATGACGGCCCTCACTACCACGACAACCATGGCATTTACGCCAGACAAGGTCACTCCGTCCCTCGATTTTTCGCCGCCTCCCAAGCCGAAGCACGTTCATATTCTAAGATGCCAAGCGGAAACAGATAATATCAAGGCACTAAAAAGCTTCATGATGCTTCTTCTAGCCCTATTTTCCATAATGACTATATGGTTAGGTTGGGGCGAGGATGAAGAAAATCGACCTGACAGGCTGAGTTCCAAATGGTTAAATATGTCCTTAGATACCAACGTGCCATATTTCCAGGCAAAGCTAAATCCCATGTGGACTACCCTGGATCCGGTTGACCACACACACTATTTCGTCGTAGAACTGTACGATCATGCCGGACAGCGGCTGCCTAGTGAAATTGGTCAAGAGGAAATCGTGGACGCAGTCATTCGAAAGCAGACTCGAGTAGCAGGCGACGTCATAGAAGAATATGAAGTGATCAATGTACCGCATCTAGAGAGAGGCATCTATGGAGTGGAAGTTGGAAGCCCATGCTACATTGACTGTGTGGAAGAAATCCGTGTGGAACTGTGGTTGAGTGAATACGACGTTCAAGTGGATGGCAGCCCTGTAACATTAAGTAAAGAGACGTGCACTAATGGTCGACACGGGTCAGCGACAGGTACACGGGCGACGGAGCCAAGGGTCGTTTTGAAACAGCCTTCACGGTCAAGTCAGCCAAGATCAAGCATTAACCCAGACGGGACTGGTAGAGGTCACATTCTCTTCACGACCAAGATAAAAAAGATCGTTCCCAAGACCCACCTGTTACAACGTTGGTTTCGAGCACTGGACTCATTCTTAACCTCTGTCTTGGACTACTTCACCAAAGCTACTCTGTCATCTTACCGCTTTCTACCTCAACGTGGAGATGCCACGTTACGGGACTGACAGAAACCCTACGTGGTACCCGGACTCGCGGATCGTACTTGATTGGACAATCATTAGCGCAGATCTCGTGAGCTGCATTTCAAATTAAAAAAAAAAAAAAAATTGCAAACTCCATTCCCGCTGCACTTGGCTTCATCTATTGCTGGCCATGTTTCAATGTCATTTTGGCCATTTTGTACGTAGCATAGCAAAGCACCTTTTGACATGCCTGGTTTTTGCTTATCCTTTTTCTGTACTGTACCTGAACAAGATTATTTGGGAGAATTTGGTGTGGAAAGAGTCGATGATTGGGGGTTGGGTCCTCACTTACTACAATAATAAATGGATGTTTTGCACTTGCTTCAAAAATGTCAATGGGGGCTCCGTTTAGTAAAATCCTGATGAGCAGGATTTTTTGATCAGCAGCGGGCTTTCAGGTTGAACGGGGTGAGTCGGTGATAATTAGCTATGCCCATTTCCAAAGTCACTTACTTCCCTTTCCTTTTCCTTCCTTTCGTCTCTGCCTACCTTCCTCTCCTTTTTAAACCCTTGTTCATCTTATGGCCGATCCCTCCCAACCATCTTCTATTTCATCAGAGACATCTAGTGTCGCTAGCCCATCCAGTCAAAAGAAACGATCAAGAGCTACCGCTGAGCAACTGGCTATCCTCGAAGACACTTTTGCCGTCAATGTGAGCCCCAACAGCAAACTGCGTGCGCAGCTTTCCGCGCGGCTCAATATGACAGAGAGAAGGTTGGTGTTGGTGTTGGTTTTTTTTTTTTTTTTAACTAATGCTTTAGATAAACCCCACATAAATTCACTAATTTATGTTTTGGGTCATTAACCTTGTTTTTACTCGCAGTATACAAATATGGTTTCAAAATCGCAGAGCAAAAGTCAAGCATCTCCAGAAAAAAGCAGAGATCCAAGCGCAAGAAGATGCTATCAAGACATCGGCCTATTATCATCGACACAGTTTAACACCGGGATATTACCCTCGAAGTGCCATGGCTTATCATCGACCCTCTTTACCACCCAATATGACATTTCCACGCTCATACAGCGCAGGCATGGTCACCACTTATCCTATGAGACCGAACATGGCATCGCATTTATATCATTCAACAGGCTGGCCAGCAGGGTGGCAACCTGATCCTACCAACCCGCATGGCATGGGTCATTATGCCGCGGAGCACACAGCATCTCCAGGGCATTCGCGCACCAGTACGCCCATCCCGATGGATGGTAGTCAATATCGAATGGCGTACATGTCTGAACCCCCCAACGCACACGATATATCGCTTGCTTTAGGCAATGAAAGCCATTCAATCTCTTTAGGTAAGTCAGTGCTTGGTGGGATTGGCTGGCTTTTGGGAATTTAAAATTATCGAAAACTAATTTATTTATTGTGACTCCAAATTTAGACCCTGAATATCCAGATACCACCACCACGCCTTCCGTTAATAACCCAATGATGACAATCTCACCGGCAGGATCGACAGCCCTACCTCCGTCTCTGGCGCTTTCCGGTCAACCTTTTACGGCATTTTCACTTACCATTGGTACCTGGCATCGAATGAAACTTCAGCAAGCCGACTTATACTGCTCGTTCAATTTACAAGAGCGCACTTTCAGCTGGCATATTTCCGACTGTGGTCATTTCTTCAAAGCTGAGTTGCCATTTGACTCGATAAGCAGTATTAAATACACTCTATGCGATGATGCTGTGTCTGGCTTGTTGATATTCGACCTCCGTCAAGCACCCATGTTTTTTATGGACAATGACATGGCTACGTCCGCGGATGGTTTAATCTCGTGGATTCAGTGTAGTGACTTTACGGAAAACACCCAGGCCAGTCAATGTTTACAGCATACCATCAAAGGGGTATCTCAAAACCTTCGCCAGGAACTACAAACCATCATTACAATGGATAAAACATTGGAAAATATCACTCACATCATGCCCTCCATGACCTATTTGCATCAAACCGCCCATCAAGACATCCCCACCACAATGTACCAACACCCATCTGCTACTACCCACTCCACATCGGCGTCGTCTTCATCGTTATCTGCGCCCGAGTACGCCTGGCCGGGGTACTCGGCCGATTCCAGTCATACGTTTGACAATCTTTGAAATGAAAGGAGCACGTTCTTTTGATTTGAAAAAAGAAAAAGACACCCTCCAGAGCTGAGCCGAAGAAATGGGTTGCTGGTTTTCCCTAACTTCTTCTGATTTGTCTCCCTCTCTCCTTGATTTTTTTTTTGCATGTCATCTCCCTCCTTGTATATATATATACCGAATCCCATGATTCTTCTCTCCACTTTGTTCTCCCCTCTCCTTTTGTGATTTGTCCATTTATTGCAACACTTGGACATATAAAAAAAAAAAAAAACAGATTAAGGCAAGGTTATTACCATTATCCTTCTCTAGCCCCAGCCCAACAACCCAAGCCTAACCCCCGTCACCCACTCCTTGCACTCCTTTTCGGCTGATGGGATTATCTAGGTTACCATATTGAGCGCTAATAAAGAAAAAAATCCCCAATATTACACATATCATGAAGACGGGGAAATCATAATTGAATGAGACAGTCTTTGTCGTGTTCATGGCTACCCACCAAAAAAAAATTTTTTTTTCTGTCAATGAACCCACATGAATTATGATGTATACAATTACACAAACCCATAATTTCCTCGATCCTGTTTGGCGTTGCACAATGACATGGGTCATTGAATACGATGGGGAACGCCCACGGTCTTGGCTGAGCCAGACCAAGGGTCAAAAACGTATCTCGTACTAGGGGATGCTTCTTTTTCAGAAAGCAGGGACAAAACAAAGCGAGACCACGCTGGGCTAGTGACAGCTTGGGTCCATTTTCTTTTTACTCATAAACCTTTGCAGATTGATCACCTCTTTTTTTCCCTTTTGTATACTCTTTGGTTGTCAATTTGATTTTTACCATCCTTCCCTTTCATTTACTTGGTCGTCATTGCAATTTTTCACCATTTTTCCAAATCATATATATCTAGTAAATCATTCCTTCACCCATTCTCCCATCAATAACATTTATGACTCGCTCTTCTCATGATTCCTTTGCGAGCGACACCCTTCTTTCTGAACGTCGCAATTCTGCTGCAACCACTACAGATGATGATGACGAAGATAGCCTATTCTCAACCTCTAGCTTGTCGCGATTGAAGTTGTCACCTCATTCTACTTGTGAAGGTGATGAGTCCGAGACAGACACGGTGGTCACAGTTCCTTCTCACTCCGATCTCAAGTCGTTCTTTGTCAATACAACCTATGTCAATCAAATTCCATCTTCCATCAACGGTGTCTCTACCAACCTTGTTCACACCATCAGCAATCTGGAGGAGCATATTCGATTATCCCAACAAGATGCAGTGAAACAATCGCGACAGGTCACAGAGTTGAAGCAACACTTGACCAAATTGAAGTTTGACCAGGATTCTGACGTTCGATTGACCGCTGACTCCATTCCATTGCCATTGAGACAAAAAATGATTGCTAGGATCGACGATTTTTTCAACCAGCAACAGCAAAATGTGTTGCCAAAATCGTTGACATCTACCAAAGACCTGTCGGACGAGTTCCAACACCTCAATCGCCGTCAATTGGTAGATCGATTGATGTCTTTTCAACAAAAGTATTCCGATTTGACTCAAGATGTGGATATTCTGAAGCGCGATCAGCAAAGGCTGGAAGGCACCATCTCCGTGCAACAGACGATGCATGCATCGTTAATTGAAAAGATCGATTCTGTCGTGGAAGAATTTCAAAATGAGTGTGATGTGCAGGGCACTTCATACTTAATTTCGCTAGCAAACCACCACCCGTCGGACACCAATGAACAAATCGACCCCTCCCAACCCCTCCTTTTAAAAGAACATACCATTCATACCCACCAAATTGCCTTTTTACATCATCTACGTCGCCAGTTGGATACATACCATTTCCCAACTGAGTCCGTAGGACCCATTGACCAAGAACAGGATAACACTCATATCCTTAGGTCTAAACTAATCACGGCTGAAAACCAACTAGTCACACAACAAGAATTGCAAAATCATCAAATTCATCAACTTTCTCTCCAGCTTGCTACCCAGAATGAGTTGATTCAAAATTTGAAATTGAAGAACATGCAATTGGAGGAGGAGAATCGAATGCTGAGCGAACAAACTTCTCAAGCCCAAAATATTGCCTCACATCAAGATCACAAGGTGCAAGTATTGGAACGCAAATTGGAGCAATCCGTGCAGCAGGCTGCAAGAATTTCTGCCAACCTCCAGACTGAACGCGCACAATGGAGTACCAAGATGGAACAGGAACTTGAGGTCCTAGAGAACCGTAAACGAGAGGCTTTGGCTACAGCTCAAAAGGCCATCGATGATCGAGACCAAGTGATTCGCGATTTGAAACTCAAGGGTACAACCAGTATCTATCTTGGCCAAGAACCCGATGTCAATCAGATTTCCGAACGATGTGAACGTCTCAAGTATGAGAACGAAGAGATGGAGAAGACAATTCATCGTCTTAGAGTCGAGGTTTCTACGGCGGACGAAGAACTGTCTTATGTGAAGCAGCAATGTGAACGCAAGGACATCCAAATCCGAAAGCTTGAAACGTCTGTGAAATCCAGCTGTCAAACCGGGACCAACTTCCAAGACTCGGATAGTTTAGTGGAGGGTCGAAAAGTCCAAATGCTGATTGCTCTCAAGGACGAGGCTGACTTGAACTCACTCAAAATGGAACAAGAACGCCATAAAGCGGTGGAAGCTGCCAAGGCGCTCAAGATTGAACTCAAAAATGTGGTGGCCAAATTGAAGCAAAGCAAAATGGACAATGCCAAACTAGAGAGCAGTATGCTGAAATGCGTCAATGGAAATGACATGGTGAAAAACAAAATCGACTATCTGCAAGATGAATTGGCTAAAGCTGATAAGCGAGTGGCTCAGGCCGAGAAGGAAAAGGCTGAATGGGAGTTGAGAACCGAGGTTGCCAAGTCTGAGACCCGAAAACTTGGAAATCAACACCAATCCCTAGTCGACGAGCTGTCTAGCCAAAACGAGAACTCAGTGGAAACGATGAATCATTTGCAACAAAACGTTATGGAACTAGATATGGCATTGAGCAAAGCACAAAAACAGAACCAGGAAACTCAGTCAGTGTTATCAGCCGTACAAAGTTCATTGGCCGAACGGGAAGGTGAAATTTCGCTGATCAAGATACAGCTCACACGCCAAATCAAGGACCATGAAATGATCGTTGCCTCTAAACAAAAAGTACATCAGACGGCTTTGGATCGTTTACAGCGGCAACATGAGGAAGAACTCAATCGACTTCGTAAACTTTTGGCCGATCAACATGAATCCAATTCAAAGCGCAATAAGGATATTGCCTATCTTCAAACAGCCAGACACGTGCATATGCTGGAAGATAAAATCAAGGAGTTAGAATATACAATGGAGAGTACGTATAAACAAGCTAACGAAAAGATTCAAGTTTTGGAACAAAGACTTCACAAAGAGCATGCGCAGGCTAGCGAAACCATCGAACGATGGGAAAGCAGAGAGCGTAATTGGCGAATGCAACTGGCTGGAGTCGAAGCTGAATACTGGCGACGTGATAGCAAGATCAAAGAGATGGAACAAGAGGTGGTGAGATTATATAGTAAAAACTTGGAATTGATAAAAGAACTCGCAAAGTGGACACCATGAGATCAGAGTCTATACATAATATAGTATTTCATTGGTCATGTACAAACACACACACCCTCACAATAGCGATATATTCTTTCTACTATGATTTCATCTATCTACAACATATACCACCTCTCCTCCATGCTTTGATCTGCACACACTTTATCATCCTATTACAATTTTTTTTTATCTTTCTTTCTCATTTCATAAACCCATTCCCCTTTCATTGATTACGAATAAGCTCAAGATTAATTTACCTTTACATATTTTCTTGTTTACCATTTGATTATACCAAGCGGGTGTAAAAGCATAGTATCATTGTAGCGTTGGGGGGGGGACTTTGGCCAAATGTCATCGGGATCTTGGTTTTTTAAATGGCCGCATACTGAGTAAAAAAAACGTGCGAGGAATACCGCAGCACGTTATTCATATCACCATTGCACGTTGCTGTGAGTCAACAAACAAAAACATACCGCCTTTATATCGATTAAGGTGTGTCAAGGAAGAATCTAGTTCTAGAATGGCCATAGTACTTTGATGTTTTTGGCTAGGACCATCACCAAACGGTCTATCTACGATATCTTGGTGGCCAAGGTAATTATCTCTATATGCCTCTGATCATGATAATTTTAAACTTCCGGTCTTCTTTGTTGTTGATAAGACACTATAATTTTGTACGGTCAGATACCAAGATTCTCTCGTCATCTACGGCACGTATCGATCGTAATGTTAGGGTAAGTCTTTCCCCTATCTCCCTTGGCTTCTACGAACATAGAGATGCCCATAGTACCTCGTTCTCTAAGCTCATTGATACACAATCGACAACCAGCCACCGGTAAATAGTCCAACCAACCAATCCACATGGAACGGACCGGAAGCCGAATATTCTCAATCATAAAGCCAGATGAGTGAAAAAAAAACTAATAATACGTGCATGGTGGTTTGGAATATAAAAAAAAAAATTCAAACACCCGCAATAGCGATGTTCCGAGCAGGCATTATCGCACGTCTGATCTTGTTTATTAGGAGCCATTCTTTTCTTTCGCTTTCTTCCTCTTCTTCCGACTTCTCATGCCAGCATCAAAAATTGCACCAGTAGCTATCATCCCGGCGAAATCTTCTCTAAAGCGCCCAACTGAGTTGAACAAGCGATCCAATCTGGCATCACCTGTGAATGGTCCAATTGATAGAAAGTCGGGAGTTATTCCAAATCTCACTGCCGGGAGCCTAGTTCCTCGAAACTACTGCTTACAACACAACTTATTTTTCATAACCTCTTGGTGTCCCAAGTGCTGCACCCCTATCTAAGTTTTCTTTCTCATCCAGCAGCAAGAACCTGTGATTTCATACCATATCCACCATATCTCCCCAATCTATTCTTCCATTTTGTTTTTCTCTTACATTGATACCCCCTATGGTATGCACGAAACATCAACTGACACATACGTATATATGCTATACTTTTTGTACAAAATAACACAATACACTCCTGCATTTTTTAAAAAATCTACAACGTGGTGGTTTCGAAAAATTTCCATTGTGTGCACTGACTTTTTTTGGTACTTCATGATAAGGGTAAATTTCCCGTGATGGGGGTTGTGCCTGGCCTGCGAGAACAGACAGAGAAAAAAATATCTTTCAAAAATTTTACTTTTGGAGAGAATTCCGATAGACACAACCGTACAAAACAGTATAATGTTCTCCAGGGCAGGCTCCCATGGAGCTCGATCGACAATATGGAAGGCAGCATTAGCCTCTATAGCATTAGGCGGTGCAGCATACTACTATAATGAGCATTCTCGGTCGCATGGCATTTTGGACAATGGCCGGTACATTCCACTTAAAGTCCACTCTCAATGTCAAGTAACGCACGACACGTGGAAGCTTCGACTTGAATTGAAGAAAAAACCTAGATCATTCCCTGTGCCGTCTTCAGTGTACATCAAGGATGATAGTATTCAAATCATGCGACCGTACACGCCCATTAATGACCCCTCGGTGGACGGTCACATTGACCTGCTGGTGAAGCGATATGAACAGGGGTCGATTTCCAAAATGTTGTGTCGCTCGAAGCCTGGCGAGGATGTATTTGTGCGAGGACCCATGGTGGAATTCGAATACCCTACAGCTGCCTATAAACACGTTGCCATGGTTTGTTCCTCTATAATTCATTTTTACCGTATTTGTGGAATATGCCTAACCTGGGGGATCTCACACCTACTTTAGATTGCTGGTGGAACAGGCATCACCCCCATGTATCAGCTGATACGACACATTCTGTCAGATCCCAAAGAGTGTCAAACTAAAATGACCTTGATCTACGCTAACAAGACGGAACAAGATATATTATTGCGAAACGAACTTGCAGACCTCGAGAAACAACACCCCGATAGACTCGATATTCATTATACTTTAGATCACCCATCTGATCAATGGCGGGGAGATCATGGTTATGTATCGTTGGACATGGTTCGCAAACATTTACCAGTGCCTAGCACCAACGGCGCGCCCAATACGGATATATTTGTTTTTGTGTCCGGGCCGGAAGCGTGAGTAGACATATATTTTTGATTGGTGTGTTTGGTCATTCCCTTGGACGAGTACTAACCTATCTATGCTGATAGAATGTTACGACATGTAAGTGGAGATAGAGCGCGAGACTGGAGCCAAGGCAAGGTACAAGGACTGTTGAAAATGATGGGTTATGACGAAAATCAAGTGTGGAAGTTTTAGAATAGAGTGAGCTCATGTGATAAACCAAGCAAGAAAGAGTGTGCACAAAGCGTATAGAATTTTTTGGGCTGGCTGGGTCGCATGTGAATAATAATTATTATCACACCTTTTCTTCTACCAACCAAACCCCATGTTGGTTTTCCACTCATTATAATCTCACTGTCATTACTTTGTTGCATAAATTCTAATGTTATTGGCCGCGCAGAGACGCCCCACCCTCAATATACCCAATGTCAAATCCTCCGCTTCCCTTGTGGCATCGTCTGGTCCTCCATCCCCCACCATGTCAACCAACTCTATCATATCCTCCATGTCGTGGATCGTCGAAAAATCTCCTACTGATTTAATTCCTATGCTGAAGAATGCCTACACCGCTTTGAAGGACAAAGAACGTGGTGGGTTTTGTTTTTTGTTTTTTTTTTTTGGTTTTGTGGCAAACTGTCTACATTTCCCATGACTAATTTTGGGAACCACTTTGTACCTGTTTCTTGTCCCCTAGATCTGGTATTAGCGGCAGAAATTGGAAAGTCACTTTTAGAAAATAACATCCAATTGAAGAGCAAATATGAAACCCTATTACAACAGCTTCATATGTATCAAAATCAATCCTCGGCGTCCAGCGCCACTCCTCCTAGCGCCACCCATGAACCTACGTCTGAAGAAAATGATCAATGCAGCAGCAGGATACCCTCCAAAAGCACCCGAGATGCCATCATCGATGTTTTGGAAACCAAAAATGCCGAATTGACCAGTAGACTAGAGGCTTCATTAGAAGAAGCCGAAACCCTAGAAAAAAGCAATAAGAAAGTTACCAAGAAATTGGAGACGGAAATCGCCGCATTGAAGGACGATCTAAATATTGCCGCCCAGAAAATCCAGGAACTCCAGGACATGAACAAAGAGGCTGCCGAAAGACAACGAAGATTAGAAGCCGAGGCGGCAGAAAAATCCGAAAGCCCATCGGCTGAATCATACGAGTTGATCGGAAACATGTTTGAAAAAGTCGGCAAGCTCGAGATCGAAAATACCTCATTACAAGCCGCTAAATGGGAATTGGAAGCAAAACTTTCCACTACATTTCGAGATTTGCGTCTCTTAAAGGATCAATTTGAATCTTTCCAATTCACCCAAGAAGATTACGATTCCTTACAAGAGGCCTATCATCGACAATTCAGTCATATTGCCGAGTTGAATGATTCCTTGGAAGAACACCGCAATCTTGTTCAGAAACTACGTGACCGTGGCGTGCAAATCAGCTCCCCTAATCAAACCCCCACACCTAGCCAGTACAATGGTATTAACGAAAAAGATCCTTCCGTGCACAAGAAAACGCTCTTGAGCGAACTTGAAAGTGAATGGTTCAAAGGCATATCGCATAATAGCCAAAATATGTCGTCACCCAGTCATGCTTCCTCTATCTCGCGAATGTTGGATTTTGCTCAAGCTACCGAAGACTCTCTCCTGTCATTTTACAACAACCCTGCCGAGTACGCCCTCAGTAGTATTCTCTCGGGCAATGGCATCACCGATCCAAGTATCCTCGATGAAGCGGTTGAATTTATCAATCGCCTCGAACAGGATGACTTGTGGTCGCCTGCCGATAGCTGTACAAGTGATCCGCTCGATTTACCCGAGTTTGGCTTATATCCCGATTGCGACGACCTAGTGGAAGACATTGACGACAATGGACTCGTAGTCATCCTTGCTCCAAAACGAAAAGCTGCCATCAGTGGCAAGATGAGAAGACTCTTGAGAAGTTTTTTCAGAACTATATGGAAGTGGTGTCGATTTGCCATGATCCTCACTGCCGCTGTTCTTATCAACCTATGGCATGGACCTAAATCCATGCTGATTGACTATTAAATTTCATTCATTTCCATTCCTTACTGTATTCATTATATCTTTATTCACATATGTATAGAACTCTCTCATTCGCTTTACCCATAAACCAGACGCACTACCATATCAAATCAATCAATGAAACGCTGCTTTCAAAAATCCATCCCAAAATAGAAAACTCCGCCTTTCCATCCACTGCCACCCACTTGTTAGCTTTCTTCACAGATGATTGGCATTGACGAAATCTTGAAGCGACGTGAGTAGTCATATACGCCGCACGTCCGTTCCATATCTCTAACCACGTTGCTCCCCCCCACTTAGGGTTCCTGGAAACTATCAAGTCAGTGCAGCCGGCTGGACGGTGGAAAATCGTCGTGGTGGATTCCCGGTCGCTGAAGATCCTTAGCTCGGCTTGTAGGATGTACGATATTCTCGAAGAAAATGTAAGTGATTCGCTACAAACGAAGGCATTCGTCCAGCTTGACGAGACAACCATGTGAACTTATCCATCACCTTTGCTTGAATCCTATCCGCACCCGACTTCTACAGGTGACCCGTACGTGAAATTTATACAGAGTCGAAACCAATTCGTCTGTTAACCATGCGCTCTACATTTTTAGTCGTGGAAAACATCGAAAAACAAAGACAACCTTACCCCAATCTCGAAGCCATTTATATCCTCACGCCTTGCATCGAATCAGCTTCCCGACTTGTCGATGATTTCGCAAGAAAGGGCGGTCCCATGTATGCTGCTGCTCATGTCCATTTCACAAGTGGTAAGTATGGTAAAAGCGTGAGAACGGAACACTTCGTTGATTCTGATGGCTGGTATGTTTAGGTCTCGATAATAAGGTGTTTGAAGAGCTGACCAGAAAATTGCGAGTGTCCGACGTTTCGAACTACATTCAGTCATTGAAGGAAATGTATGTCGACTTTTACAGTATGTATTGAGGTTTTAATGGATGTGCCCAAACACAAGGTCGGCTGGATCTGCTGTTAACATGAATTGACATCACCAGTTCGAGAATCCGCCGTATTCTCTTTAAATAGTCATCATCACTTTGCGCATTTGTTCGGAAAGGAGTCAGCATCCAGTAACCGAACAAGCTCAGCTGGCAAATTGGAAGCCAACTTGGACGACATTGCCAAGCAGGTAAGAAATCAATGGCAAATGTCTAGATCCCTTTTGATTTGCCACCAGTAGCCTCACGTCTGCACGTTCTCATCTACAAGATCTTATCCGTATGTGCTACTGTGGGAGAAAATCCTTTGATCCGTTATCATCGACCTTTGGATGTCAAGGGTACTGTCAACAGAAATATACCATGGCATTTAGCCAAGCTTGTACAACAAGAACTCGATAATTTTTGTAAATTGAACCCTGAGTTTCCGGTAAGTCTTGATCCCCTGATGGATTGGTATTGATACGCAATTCTGACCTTTTTCTGGTCTGTGGTAAACTTTTACATCTCTCGATAATCCTTATGTGCGCTACATGCTCGCCACCTTTTCCAGCCATCGCGAGATCCTCCGCTTCCTCGTGGTACTCTCATTATCCTGGATCGCACGATTGACCATCTTTCGCCATTCCTCAATGAATTCACGTATCAGGCTATGATGACTGATTTGCTCAATGTTGAGGAGAGTCCATTAGGCTTAAAGTACTCGTACGAGTATGTCCAAGAGGATGGATTGACGGCATCCAAGGAAATCGTACTGGACGAGCAGGACTCGGTTTATACATCTATACGACACATGCATATTGCTAATACCACCGAGCGACTTATTGAAAGTTTTAACGAATTCATTGCCCAGAACAAAGGCTCTGGCGGGTACGTATGACGCGGTGGTGGTGATTGTCCGCAAGGTATACCATGGCTTGCTAATACGATTCTTTGTTCTCGTCATCCAGTTCGTCCAAAGTACGAAGTTTGAATGACATGAAAGAGGTGATGGCCAATTTGCCACAATTTCAAGAAATGAAGTCCAAGGTATGGCTGCGGGACTTCATACATTCCCATTTATGATCTACGTTGCTCACTGTATTGCTTTTTCGATCAGTACTCTGCGCATATGACCATCGCCGCTGATTGCATGAATGAGTTCAATGCACATAACCTGGACACAATTGGTTTGACACAGCAGGTAAAAAATCGTATTCCATGGGGTGTGACAAAGCGAACAATGGCCTAACTTTTATTTTTGGGATTAGAACCTTGCCTGTGGTGAAACGCCAGATGGAGGTAGCATCAAACATATTGAGGAAGAGATGTTGCCTGTTTTGGATGACCCTTATACTAGGTTTGTAGCAGGAGAACAGCTAGACATGCTGGCCTTTCTAAAAGTGTACACGGCCGCTCACCGTCATTCATCCTTTGCAGCCAGTACGACAAAACCCGTTTGCTCATGTTATGGATAGCATCTTCGGAAGGCCAGGTTGATGAAGATAAGAAGCAAAACCTTTTGGCGCATGCTCGACTTGATCAAGAATACAAGGATGCCATTGATAATCTGTCCCTTCTTGGGGTCCAACTGTCAAAGTCAGCCAACAAACAGGGCGAAAAGTCAAAGAAGGAAAAGAAGAAGCAGGATAGCTCTCAAGAGGTTCCATTTGATCTCTCTCGCTATGTGCCTGTGGTTAAGCGTGTCAGTGAAGTAAGTACAGTGGTATCGTAGAAAATTAAATAGTGAGCGGCTCCTAACCCCAGCTTGCGTATCAATAGGCTCATCTGAAGGGAACAATTGATCACAGCTTATTCCCTTTGATTCGAGTAGCTGAACCGGAAAGCAAAAACCAGGATACTAAAACTGGAAAAAAGCAAATCCCTCAACTACGAGTGTATCATACCAAGTGGCACAAGAAGACGGGTGGAAGCAATGTAAGTACAGCGATCTGAGTGAAGGGATGAAAACGCCCAACGGGTGAACTCATGATGTTGTGTGTGTGCAGGCTGGACCCAAGCCTCCTTCAGGCCCTCCTATTATCATTTTTGTAGCCGGCGGCATCACCTACTCTGAAATCAGATCCGCCTATGAGCTCGCTGAAGCCTATGATCGCGAAGTGTATATCGGTGAGTATACTGAGTGCATTATGAAGAAGAGTCACTACTGTTCACTAAACTAATGACCTCATTTTCCATAGGATCCACCCATATCATAACGCCGAATCAATTTATAGACGACTTGAAGTCGTTGGACCGACCATCCCTTCCTGCTAAGTCTGAGGTACCAGCCTATGCTGCTGCTGCTGCTACTACTACTACTCCAGCATCTACTGGCAAGTCTTTACCACCGAGAACCTCTAGTAGTCAGCCTGCTAGCTCCAAACTAAATTTGAAAAAGTGGTAATAAAGTGATGGAAATGGTGAACGTGGCGTTATATGAGTATTCATTTTTTTTTCTA